ATTATGGCTTCTTCGTTATCCTTGTGCTTATCAGTGCTAATTCAATGGCTTAGATCTTCGTTGAAGCAGATATGGATGTGTGCTTAGGTCGCAGGAGTGGGTTGCCCCGATCGTGCTACCTTAACTCCACTGACGATGTATATAGTCTTGCGTGATGTCCGTGAGCGTGGGCGTGACATTGAAGGAATCATCAAACAATGGTTCGAATTTGTGAAGCCTTCTTACACTCGATACGTGGAGCCTCAACGCCCTATCTCAGGTTGGTAGTCACATGAGTTTGCAAAGCGTTAAAAGACTTTCTGTTAACTTTGAAATCTCAGACATCATCATCCCACGTGGCATTGAGAACACGACCGCTATCGGTATGCAATCCCTTTGAGCTGCTAATTTTGAGAGCTACCCACTAATCGGTGTAGACATGGTGGTCAAACATATTCAACGCAAGCTGCAGGAGAAATCCGACAATCACACCGAAGAGCTTCGCAAACTAGGTTTGGTTGCAGCAGAAGTAGAGCTGCCTTTAAATGTGCATGTCTTGCCCTCGACACCGCAGTTTGTTGGCATGAATACTATTCTGCAGAACCCAGAAACTGAGCAAGAGGATTTCATTTTCTACTTTGACCGACTAGTTTCGATCTTGATTGAAAAGTATTGACCTCCATCTCAAAATGCGCCTTTAGTTACTCTACTAACGTCACCATCGCAGGGCCTTGGATATGACATTGTATGTATCCGCAAATGTGGAAACACCACAAGGGAACACATACCTCGGTTTACATCCCAAGGGTACCGTATCAGCCGTGGCTATCTTACGTGGTGGCTCTTGCATGGAGACCGCGCTTAAGCGATCCATTCCCGACTGTCTTACTGGTCGCGTGCTCATCCAAACGAACGAGAGCAATGAGGAGCCAGAGTTGCATTACTTGAAACTCCCTTCGCAGATTGAGGAGCATGCAACTGTCCTCCTAATCGACTCTCAAATGTCCAGTGGAGGTGCTGCACTTATGGCTGTTCGTGTCTTGATTGATCATGGGGTGGAACAACAAAGAATCGTTTTCGTAACTTGCGCAGCAGGAGAACGGGGCCTCAAGAGGCTTACTGCTGTTTATCCCAGGATCAATGTGGTTGTCGGACGCATCGAAGAAGAGGGGGAACCGCGCTGGATAGAAAAGCGATACTTCGGATGCTGAAATCTTCATTCAATTGTTGCACCCTCCCAAAGTATATATGTTGATCTGCTCACTATGACTTATTTCCGAGACCAAGCATTGGGTTACTGGGATTGACACTTAGCAAGAGCATACTTATACATACGTTGCATATTCAATCAAATCTAAGCAAATACCATTACAATTTTTCTTGTCTGAATGTCTTGACAGTAGGAAAACTAAAGAAAAAATAATAGACCTGCCGTTTTGAGAATACACGTGCCTGACCGCCCTGACTTCGGCGGGCAGAAAAATAATTTATCGGTCTCGATTATTTTCACTTGCTGAATCCGACGACCTCTATTGATATTCAAGCGTTGAAAAAAAAAATTCTTGCATGATTGTGGTGTGAAGTGATATTTTCAGCGCTCACAATGGCAGGCTCAGACAAGAAAAAGTCCAAGGCTGGCAAGCCCAAAGGCGAAGCTGGTCCAGCGATTAGTACGTACAGTCAAAACTTAAGACTTGTTTTCAGAAACCCCATGACCATGCTTACTGACTCTTTCTGTTGCTATAGCGGATCCTCGATTTGCGAACATCCAGACTGATCCTCGCTACCGTCTTCCTAGCAAACGCCAGACTCATGTCAAACTCGATAAGCGCTTTGCGCATGTGCTAAACGATAAGGATTTCTCCAGCAACGCTCCTGTTGACCGCTATGGACGAAAGCTCAGAAAAGACGACACCAAGGAAAAATTGAAGCAGTTTTACCAGGTGGATGAGGATGAGGACGAGGATGAAGATGAAGAGGAGGACGAGGACAGTGCCGCCGACGACGAAGAAGTCCAGAAAGAACTGAAACGTGTTAATGCTGCCTCATATGATCCTTCCCGTGATGGTGGCTTTGAGTCCTCGTCATCTGAAGACGAGACCTCCAGCGAAGAGGAAGACGAGGCGGAAGAGGATGTGATCGAATTCCCGGACGAGCAGCGGTCTGATGTGCCGCTCGGCGAAGTGACGAAACGGATAGCTGTCGTCAACCTCGACTGGGAAAACATTCGTGCTGAGGACTTGATGGCAGTGTTCTCCAGTTTCCTTCCGTCTGGGGGGCGGGTGTTGAACGCCACAGTCTACCCCAGCGAATTTGGAAAGGAGCGTATGGAGAGGGAGGAGATTGAAGGCCCCCCGAAGGAAATTTTCGCCTCCGGGAAGAAAAAGAACAACGACGACGACTCCGAAGAGGAGGAACTCGACTCTGATGAGGAGGAGGAGGAAATTAAGAAGTCTATGCTGAAGGCCGACGACGGTGAAGAATTCAACTCTACACAGCTACGCCGGTACCAGCTTGACCGACTGCGGTATTACTACGCCATTATCGAATTTTCATCAAAGGAAGTCGCAAAGCACGTCTACGATCTGGTGGATGGTGCCGAATACCTCTCTAGTGCCAACTTCTTCGATCTTCGTTTCGTGCCTGATGACACTGACTTCTCCGATGACAAGGCTCGGGATGAGTGTTCTCGGATTCCTGACGGTTACAAGCCTACTGAATTTGTAACGGATGCTTTGCAGCACAGCAAGGTCAAATTGACATGGGACGCGGACGACAAATCAAGAAAAGAAGCCCAGGCACGTGCCTTCCGAGGCTCACGCCAGGACATTGACGAGAACGACCTGAAAGCCTACCTTGGTAGTGATAGTTCCGAGAGCGAAGATTCAGACGACGAGGATGGAGGCGTCGAAGTTGTGGATAATACTACAGGAGAAGCTACGACCACAAAGCTATCTAAGAAAGAAGCCGAGAGACAGCGCATGCGTGCGTTGCTGGGTCTGAGCGCCGAGCCTACCCGCACGAAAGCGGAACGTCCCGTCGGCGAAATGGAGGTTACTTTCACATCGGGCTTGGCTGGCGGCCATGGCAAGGATACTATCTTCGAAAATGAACCGGAGGTCGAAGAAACCACACTTGAAAGATATGTGCGGAAGGAGCGTGAGCGCAAAAAGCGCCGAAAGGAGAAACTTAAGGCCCCTAAGGCATCTGCAGAGGAGGGTTCCGCAGCGGAAGGCGAAGACAACGAAGCTGCTCCAGCCGAGGTGCCACAGCAAGAGGAAGAAGAAATGGGATTCAATGATCCATTCTTTGACGACCCTGATGGAAAGGCTACAGCAGGTGCTCGACGCAAGGAGGAGAGACGCAAGAAGCGTGAGGAACGTGCTGCCGAGGAAGCCGCCTCAGCTGCCCAACGGGCTGAGTTGGAGCTACTGATGGTAGATGACGAAAAGGTCAACATCAAACACTTCGACATGAACGAGATTGAAAAGGCTGAGAAGCAGGCCCGGAAGAAGGGCAAGGGCAAGAAGGGCAAGAAGGTGGAACCTGCCCAGGCAGATGACTTCAAAGTCAACGTCAGCGACCCCCGTTTCGCACGTCTGTACGACACTCATGATTTCGCCATCGATCCTACCAACCCCAGTTCAAGTCGACTTCCGGCATGAAGGCCCTGTTAGACGAGGGCCGTAAGCGCCGGCGTGTCGGCGATGACGCGGAGGCTGAGGCTCCAACAGAAAGCCAGGATACCAAGAAGAAGCAGAAGAAGTCCCCCAAGGAGTCTAGTTCTGAGGAGTTGAAGCGACTGGTGGCAAAAGTCAAGCGTTCTCACTGAAAGTATAGTTCAACCGAAATGATTTGGAAGTTAATAGACACTGGAGTTCAATGAAAGGAGTTGAATTGTGAAATATGATATCTTTTACATATGTACATTGGCAATATGAGACCAGATGCATAGCAGTAACATGCGGTCTAGAATATGTAGCTGAAAGTCAATGTGACGGCTTGTGTCAACTTTCGGGAACGGAAACACGAAAAAGGACCGGCCCCAGGGTACAACCACGTGGATAGAATAGCTTAGTAGTCAACATGGAGAGGGTTCCTTTCCCCTAGGGTCGGGGTATTTACAAACGTGATTATAGGGGCCTGTCGGGAGGTGTGGTATCTGGGGTTGCAAGACTGATGCTTGTATCACACGAGGTATGAGTGACGGTGAGAGATGGCATGTGCCCATCATGAGTAATATTTGGGAGATAAATCATTTCCCTCCAATCCCAAATTCAGACCCGCCTCAGATCACACACAAATCAGCGCCCCCGAAGTAACACGATTCCTTGCAAACCCGACTATACGGTGACACGAGGACGGTAGAGAATAGCGGCATAGTGGGCAATAATAGTGATTGGTATAGGCATTATTGGATGCAGCTCCGATAATCGGAAATAGTTGATCAAGATAGGCCATTCCTGTGCTATATACTGTGTACCTCGTTATGTTTCCAAGGGGGCATTCAGAGTCAGAGAATCAGATCTATAAGGACAGACTGAAAAGGTCACTGTTCCTCACCGTAGGGAATGAGGCTGATATCATGTGACTTCCTTCACCGCCCTTTCGCATTCCCTCTCCACTGTCTCCCCAGGTGGTTTCTCTGTTCAAGGAACTGGGTCCCTTAAGAAGCTCTGGGATCATTTCATTTGACTTCCTGATTTTCTACACAATCCTGATCAGACTGTGGAGTCCTCGTGGGTGCAAAGCCAATTCCTAACCCCCCTAATTGCTGATCCCAGCCCCACTGCTGCACCTCATCCCACCTTCCACTCCCCTCATAACTCTGGATATTCTCAATTCCCTTCATCGTTGATGATGATTCTTGCTTCGTTGAATTAAGCTATGGGTGGACGCAGCCTAGATATTCCTAGCTGCCTGATACCCATCGTTACACCGTGTGAATTCGACCGGCCCGTTTTCTTTTCCCTGCATCCCCAAGTACCTGTTCTCTGCGGGTTTCCCCGTTCTCATTCACCATGCTTGGCCGACTCTTGAGTACCGCCGCGTCGACTCTGAATCCGGCGGCATACTCTGGACGAAGCAATGGAACGCCTCTCGAGTCTGTGACTGAAGAGGAACATACCTCCGGTCTTCTTTTCCCCGACGCCAGCCTCCTTCGACGTTCCAATACCCATGCCTTTCCGTTGCAGACGACTTTCAATTCCCCCAATGCCTCGACCGCTGGTGCATATGATGATCGTGGGGGAATGGAATTGGATCCAATTAAAGATTTTCGTGTGATTGTTGCACAAAATGCATTGGGCGACCGAGATGCATGTGTCCTACTTGACACTCGTGCGTCCGACTCACCCCCGCCGGTCTTGGAATCGACCCACAAGGCAACGATCAGTCCGGTCTTAGACATACTCGAGCTGTCTCAAGTCTTTCTCGTGGAACACGTCGCAACCTTCTCACTCAATCCTCCCTCATCGAATCGAGTCCACTCTCCGCAACTGCAGATGCACGCAGATCGTCACCAGCCGGCCCGGGTGCTTTTTCCCGGGCTCGAGGCCGTAGCTCTACACTGGCGCCACCGGGAACATGGCATGACCCTGGCCCATCACGACACTCCTCCGATTCCAATGATACTGGCCTTCTGAACTGCATTTTCGGCAGCAGCGCCTTCAGCTACCGGGGGTCGTCTACAAAAATGCATATAATTTCCGCTGATGAAAGCCCGGCGACTGGGGTGAGTGCATCACCTGCTGCCCGCAGCCCACTTTCCCGGGCCTACACCACAGGCAGTCCCTCAGCTCCTATAGGAGGAGCCCGAGGAGTGGACGACAAGCCACCATCCAAAGTCACAGTTCTCTTGACTCGCATGTTTAGTGTGAATCTTCCGGAAGGAGCGGAAGCATCGGCTGAGCGACATGACTATGCCAGTGCTCTTTACCAAGAGTCATTGCCCGAGATGGAGTTCCCATTCCCGGATGTTTCTAAGCGCAAGAAAATCAAGGAAAAGAAAACACCGATGTACGCGGTTGCAATTACAATTCAGATCCCGTTGCTGCCACGCAATACCGGACGTCCTGTATCAAGGTTCAGTACTCCAGGCCCAGACTCTCCTCGGCCAGGGTTTTCAAGCTCGCTGGATTCTGATCACCGCTGGCCGGGTGGGTTTTTCGATGATAGTCTATCCTCTGCCTCGCCACCGGCTAGCCTGGATGAGCGCCTGGACTTGTTAGTTGATCATTGGGACGTCATCACTCGTACACTCTCCCACCTCGAAAGACTTGTTCGTAACGAAATTCTCTTTCTTTTGAAGAAGGTGGACTCTTTATCCGGGCCACACCCGAAGCCTGCGAAGCCTCCCAATATGCAGCGGACTAACCAGACCATTGTGCATTTACCTGCCAACATTCTATCGGTCAATTCGAAGCTCAAAGAGGAAGCCATTCGCAGCTCTCGCCGGATCTGCCTTGCTCTTCAAACCCCATATGTGGTCACTGGACAAAGTCGTTGGGGCGTCTGGCGGGAGGAAGGCCGCTCAATTGTCCGTGGTCTTGGCGACAAAGAGCAGAACTTCTTCTTCTTGGTCGTCTTGACAGCATTTTTGGGGAACCATACCGAGTGGCTCAACAGCCTTGGGCCCGAGTGGTATCGTCGCCGCCATATCCAGCAGCACAAAGCTCAGCAGGATAGCGAACTCATCCTTGCAAACAGAACAGTCATTGTATGCCCAGATAAGATGACGGCTCGTCGCCTCGTGTTCTTACTAGCAGCTTTCTTGCCCTCGAAGCAACGACTGGAGCCGTTACCTTCCCCTCTGAGACCCGGCACATCGGCCTCAATGCGTGCTATCTCTCAAAGCCCACCGACTGTGCCTGTCCTCCGACAGGAGTCTCTTCGGAGAGCGATCGAACGACGAGCTCGTGCTCAACGAATGATCATGGGCGATAACGAGCATCACCAGCGATCAGTGAGCGTTTCGTCTCAGGAGACAGCCCAGCGGTCAATAGATGGAGCTGAAATAACCCCACCAGCGGAACACTCGGCCTCGGCCCGCAGAGGATCTGATGCTCGCTCCATCAAACCCCCCGGATCAAACATCCATCCGAAGGATGCTCGGGCCATGAATACGAGCGGGGCAACTACTTCTATGATCACTCAGAGCAGCACTGTTCCTGTTCCCCATTTTACTTCTCAGCCAAGCCATTCCACTCAGGCTAGAACAGAGCGCAGCGCAGCTGAAGGCAGCGATAGCCTAGCATCGGAGACTCTACTGAAGAGCCTTCAGCGAAGTGACAGCTCTGCAGTGAGCACAAACGGCAGCTTTTCTTCAGCTGGAGGCCGCTGGGGCGGTATTTTCTCCGGTCTTTGGAGCTCCCGCCAAGGCTCATCTACCGACAGTACCGAGCCATATTCCCCATCTGAAGCTCGCAAAAGGTCCGTCTCTACAATATCTGGTCCTGCTAGACGCGGGTCAACCACTTTGACTCGAATGGTGAAGGAAGTCACAGAACATGAGGATGAGCACCGGCCTGAAACAGCCCCCAGTGGAAACATTTCAATTCCAACTGCTTCTGCTGCCGCTCCTCACAATACCGAGCCCGCCTCGCCAGAACCATCATCGCTCACCAGCCAAGTTCGAGAGTCGCCTTTGAAGTTGTCAGTCCGAGCGGAGGAAGGCGTGGTGGACGTTGACCTTCCACTTCCAGGTTTCATGTCACTTTCTTCGTCCGGTGATTCGACTATTGCCTCGCCAAAGAAGACTCGAACATCCGTCACTAGTATGGATGCAGTTGCTTCTACGCACAGCAGTGGCTCCGGATTTCCCGGTACCATGAAGGATAGCGATGGACCGACTGCCCATGTGGCTGGTTGGTTGAAATTTTTCCACGAGGATTTCTCGCTCCAAGCGGTCCGGCCTTATGCTTCTCTTGAAGCAGAAATCAAACAAGCAATGCGGGCTGAACCATCCCCGTACATCCCCTCCACATCTGATGTGGACGGATCAGAGAAATGGGTAGATGTTGCGACAACTTTGATTGCAGACACCAAGGCTTCTATGGTGAAACGACTTCGTTTGCGACGCAAGATCATAGTGGGTCACAACTCTGGGGCTCCTCATACGCCTTCTCCGACTGCCAACACTAACCCCCCGTGGATCTACTGGAGCTGCCTCGGCCTCGCAATTCACCAGCTTCTTTTCTGGGCATGATAAGCCGACTCACGGCCTTGGTACTGATGAACGGGATCAGAGCTTTGTGGAAGAGCGGTTCGTCGAGGAGCCTGTGATGGACCTCGACGGAGTTCTAGTTGACGCTGTTGAGCGTGTCTTGGGACAGAGCGGTTACTCCTCAATGGCACAGTCACGTGCCCCTTCGCCTAACCGTGCTCGTAGAGCTGAAGACAAAGGCCCCTTCCCTAGAGGCGATGAAGCCCCTCCCCTTGAGGTGCCTCGTGGTGAATGCCGCAAGATGGTGCTTGGGGCCCTCGAAGAAGTCGTCCGCCTTGTTACCGCCGAACACTGCCGTGAAGATGTGGACAGCACACTCGGGCTTGCCGACCGCGAGCGGAGAAGAGCACAATCAGGTGTTGATAATACGTTGCGTGAAGGAATCCGAAAGTGGCTCCTTGACGTCGAAGAAGTTTGGTGATTCTGCTTTAATGCTTTACCAGGCTTTGATTTCTTTACGCTTGCTGATTGCATATTCATGCCTATTGCATTCATGCATTGTTTTTGTTTTCCTTTCCCCTGCCCAATAGTTTCTGATTTGGTCTTGCCTGATATGGTACCAGACCTGGGCTTCGGGTTTTTGATTCTCTTTCTGTTCTTTGCTTTCTCTTGCGTTTCTTGCTTTTGCTTGCTTTTTTTCGGCTCTGCCTCTTGCATTGCGACCTGTTTTGAATATGATACCCACCTACTTCATACTGAAGTTTAGTTCTGCTTGTGGGGGCTCTTCCCCTACGTTTTTAATATGACTCTTGACCAATTTGATGCAAATGACATAAGTTCCATGAATTTCATTCTCTATTTGATACGGATCTAGGCAACATAGACCAATTTCACACTGTGGCCACTTGCTTCAACCTTTCCATCCTCAGTAGGAGCAACTCGAACAGTCTTCAAGATCTCGTCTGACTGGGCCGAGTTGACAATTTCGACTGTAGTCTCAGCCCGCAGGCGCCCATTGACCAGCAACTCAATTCCCGACAAGGCATCATCCTCAGGGGCCTTGATCGTGGGATTGGTGACAGTAACAGAGCCGGGACGGATCAAGATGGGCATGGTATCAAAGCCATGAGTCTCCGTGTACCAACGACCAGACTCATAAGACTTGGAATGATCAAACCACGAAATCCATTTCCCAGCCTCATCATCAGAAGACTGAGGCACATAGAAAGTAACCTCACCCTCCTCGGTAAACACCGGCGCAACCAGCAAATTCGGCCCAAACATATACTGCGTATCAATCGCATACGTATTAAGATCCTCAGGGAACTCCAAGAACAGCGGCCTCATAAGCGGCGTGCCGGTTGCATGGCCCTTCAGCGCCTCCTGCAGAATATACGGCGTAAGCAAGATCTTGCGCTTAACGCACTCCCGCAGCACATCCGAGCAATCCTCCCCATAGATCCACGGCACCCGGAACGAAGACGATCCATGCAGACGCGAGTGCGTCGACAGCAGCCCAAATTGCACCCATCGCTTGTACAGCGCTGGCGGCGGCGTACCCTCGAACCCACCGATATCAGACGCCCAGAAGATATATCCCGACAGCATTAGGCTCAGTCCGCCGCGCAGTGACTCGGCCATAGCCTCGAACGTGCTCTCGCAGTCGCCGCCCCAGTGTACCGGGTACGCCTGTCCGCCTGGTGCGGTACTGCGCGCGAAGAGGAGACCCTGGTTTCGTCCAACGCCCTTGCTGAGCGTCTCGTACACGATCTTGTTGTAGAGCAGAGCGTAGTAGTTGTGCATGCGCTCGGGGTCGGCGCCGTTGTGGTATTGGACGCCCTTGACTGGGATGCGCTCGGCGAAGTCGGTCTTGAAACTGTCGACGCCCATCTCCATTAGTCGCTCCAGGTGCGTGTTGTACCACTTGCTGGCGGCGGGATTCGTGAAGTCCACGATTGCCATGCCGGCTTGCCACATATCCCATTGCCATACTGAGCCATCGGTGCGCTGTGGATTGTTAGTGGTTGTTTTCTTCATATGTCATTCTCTTGTGCCACTGTCTAGGAACATACCTTGATGAAGTATCCGTTCTTCTTACCCTCTTCAAACAGTGGCGATGCCTGCGCGATGTACGGGTTGATCCAGACACTGATGCGGAGACCGCGCTCCTTGAGACGCTTGAGATATCCCAATGCATCTGGGAACATCTCCGAGTCGAAGTCGAAGTCGCACCACTGATACGACTTCATCCAGAAGCAATCGAAATGGAAGACGCCCAGTGGGATGTCACGGTCACGGAATCCATCAAGGAACCCAGTGACGGTCTCTTCGTCATAGTTGGTCGTAAAGCCTTTATAACAATGTCAGCCTCTTCCATCCAGCTTTCCAGAGCAAATCATATCCCGAACTCACTCGTAGTAAGCCAGAGGTTATAACTCCATGACGGAACCAAGGCCGGCCTGCCAGTCAAAGCCGTATAGCGATTCAGGATATCCTTCGGCGTAGCTCCATATACAACGAAGTACTCGACCTCCTCACCAGGCACGGAGATATTGACGCGAGTCGTGCGCTCAGACTGCACCTCCAGACTAACCTTGCCAGGATGATTGACGAAAACACCATATCCCTTCGAACTGATGTAGAACGGGATATTCTTGTACGCCATCTCGGACGAGGTACCGCCATCCTCGTTCCAGATATCGACCGTCTGTCCGTTCTTGACTAGAGGCCCGAACCGCTCTCCAAGACCGTAGACCTTCTCGCCAACGCCGAGATCCAGCCCTGCGAGCATGTATCCCTGACGCTCGGCGTACATGCCATCCTCGTAGCGATGTTTCTCGGTGCGCTGGTCGCGCACGTATCCGATAGAGCGGAACGATTGACCGGTTAGTTTCTTACTGGCTGGAGACTGGAATTCTAGACCTAGTTCATTGGCGGAGGTGTTCACAGCCAGATTAACGGGACCGCTTGTGTAGTTGAGTTTCTTTTCGTCCTTGTCGTGCTCGATCTTGGTGTGTCCGGTGGTCTTGTTCAGGTGGTAGTGAGGGCCGTTGTCGTTTTGGCCCGCCCTGTGTGCTGTTAGCAGTTGCTAACACCAAGATTAACAGCTCTGGTTTGGGCCCTTGATGTACTTACCAGTGGACAAGCTTCACGCCGATGATTCCCTCTACTGGCGAGGTGACCCGCGCGGAGACAGTTGCTGTATAGATTTGTTAGCTTCTGGATTTCTATACTAAGGGAGGATTGGAAACACACGCGAATTGAGGGTATGTCCTCGGTGTGCCTGGAACTTGTTCAACAGCAGATTGACCGAGTCGTCTTCAATGGAGAATCGCTCTACGTTGCTCATCCACTCGATGCTGACGCCATCCTAGATAATCCGGGTGCACGTCAGCATTAATTCTTTTATTCTATACCCAATTCATTAGCCAGGAGCGATCGGAATTACCTGCAGACACCACATCCCCGCAGTGAACTTCATCTTGGGAGAAAATGTAGGGAATCTCAGATTCTTATCCTTGAAATCGGTTCTGCACAAGCTACCCCAGAGATACCTGGAGGCTATCGTTCAGCTTTGTATAGAATTGAAAAAGTAGAATGAAAGACGAAAGTGAATGACAAGAGGACAGTCAAGCTCTATTTGTTTTACGCCGACACAACCTTGGGGGCAGGCTAACCTGCTTCATTTGACACGGTGTATCGTCCGCCATGGCCTGATTCTGAATAGCGCGTTCGCCAGAGATCTGCGCTATTTCTGGAGCTCGGGGTAGCACATCAGGCGGGGGAAATTCCTCGGGGGTTTGACGATGCCGTTGGATCGGAATGTCTCACCAACCAGAGCGAGCGGTTAAAATTCACTGCATGGAGGATATCAGGCTAAATTGTCAGTTACATGGGTGCTAACAGGCTAAAATGCGAGATGTCTTACCTTGGAGTTGAGAGAAGCACATGTGTTTTGGATTTCTCTCAAATCGAGATGGAATTGGAAATCTGTACGAATACGTATGTTGTAGGTAGCTGGGTAGCTATACGACTTGATATCCTTTGGAATTTCCTATCCTGGCAGTTCACTGAGAGTAGTGGAGATTATTAAATGAGTCATCGGTGCCAAGGTGTTTCTCGTAAAACCATCTGCATCGTAAAAATGACACTCTTTTGCTCAAATATCTTGTTAGACATGGCTTTGAACGATCCTCTGACATCCTGGGAGTCTTTCGCCCATTCCTGGGATAAAGGAATGGGCGACGACGGAAATGACTATTTCCGCTTTCTAGAACTCCCCATTTTGGAGAAACTGGTCGGTAGAGTAGAAGGGTGTTGTGCTATAGACCTCGCAACGGGAAATGGTCTTGTAGCTCGCTGGTTAGCCCAGAAAGCTGCCTCGGTCATTGCGACCGACGGCGCAGTGTCGATGATCAATCGTGCAAAGGCACGAACGGACACTTCCCAATATGGAAATAGGATTTCCTTCCACTGCCTCGACGTCACGAAGCAGTCCTCTTGGGATACTTTCATGGTCGATACTCGTGTCATGGTCAGTTCATAAGACTTGTAGAGAGTATTGCCCACATTTTAACGCACTTGTGTAGGAGGACGGGTTCGACGTTATCACTATGAACATGGCTCTCATGGACATTCAGGATCTGGGGCCATTGGCAAGGTCTCTGAAGAAACTGCTCAAACCGAACGGTTGGTGAGTGCTAGGTTTTTTTTTGCTTTTATACACGTACCTGAATACTTGGGCAAACTAATAGCTATCTCCCAGCTTCGTTGCTACTCTGCTTCATCCGCTCTTTTTCACATCCGGTGCAGCTCGGCAGATATTAGTCCATGAGGATCCAGAGACTGGCCAGCGAATCGTCGACCGTTCCATTGTTCTAAGGAAATATTTGAACGTTCCCCCGGCGAGACAACTGGTTTTTGAAGGGGAAACCGAGTCGCCGGTATGTGACTACACGTAGAAACCTTCCCAGTCTTAGGGAATAAGAAGACTAAATAACGCGGTAGTACATGTTCCATCGGCCTTTAAATCAGCTCTTTGCACCGTTCTTCCAGGCAGGTCTCGTCGTGGATGCACTTGAAGAGACCAATTTCGACGAAAGCTTTCGTGATCCTCTACGTGAACACTCATCGAAGAATTTTACTGAATTTCCAAAAATACTCGGCTTGAGGATGAGGCGTGTATCTGAGATCTAGATGGACAGGCAGAAGGAAATCAGATACGTCAGGAATTGGTTATAATCAAGTCCGGCTCACGGCCACTTTTCATTCACAAAAACAGGAACATAGCTAACATCGCATTTCATTTGGGTACAAAATCATCAGAGCGTCAAATGGGTATCTTCGAATGGTTAGATCAACGGTCGTAAGCTGCCACTCCTAGGGCTTGCATTGTAGCTGAGACTTTCTCCTCGAGCCCGGGCACGCGAAACTTCCGGTGACATAAGTCCCTCACGCGACTCGCGGGTAATCCGGGATGGCAACCCTTGCTGCGGCGAGACAGGATGACTGACCAGGCTGGCAGGAAGCTCGAGCGACGGGATCGATGCATCCATCAAGTTTGTGGTAGTCGATTCCACCTTCGTGGATACTGGACGAGCATGTGACTCCGAGTAGAACTTTTCTAGTTGGGCTGTATCATTGCAGAACTCAGCCAGGCCGTTAAGAATGAGTTCCGGAGCGCGGTACAGGTTTCCCGAGTCAGTGTTTGCGGATCCAGGGGTAAGTGGGCTGCCGATGTTGCCGATGTCATGAACAGGCCGGGTAATTGGAGAAAGGCGGGGCGAGACACGGTCCAGTCCATCGTGATTCGCTGCACGGCCTCGGAAGTCGGACCGATTGTGGCTATCGAAACGGCCTGCGTCTCGACTTGCGGTGCTGCGGGTACTCACCAGCCGATTCGCGAGGAGGAGGAAATCGCCTTCGTCGGTAATCTGGGCCAGGAGGCTTCCAGTTCGGTGGATGTATTGCGGGTAAGTGTAATCGGGCTTCCCCCAGGAGTAGGATACTTCAACGTCTGCTGGGAACGCAGAGGAAGCTTCGAAGTCCAGTACGAAATCAAACTTCCGCAATATGGCTTTTTGGTAGTAGAGGCGATCTGGAGGACCCGGTTGCGCAAACGACGCATTGTTGAACACTGTGTGCAGTGGTCCTTTGGGTGGCGGGACTTTGAGTTTGATCCTGTAGGGTTTCCGGAATGGCTGTGTCTTGTCGATAGCACAGGCTTCGGCGATCGGCACCTGTACCAACTTCAGCCCGAATTTGTCGGCAGTCGAGGCCCAGGAAAGCACGGTATCCTCAATCAACTTGGGGGTCGTGCTCATCCAACTGAGTTCAATATGGAAGCAATTCTCGGGGTTATGCAGTCGGTCCCAGTGAAGGTCGACCACTTCCGGCCGGTTTGACCGCTTGCGCGGATCAACATCGAATTTCATCGATTTGGATAGCATAATGGCGACCTTGTTCTTCGCCTTGGAGGGAGTGTTGGGAGTCTGTGGTATGCGCTCGTCGATGCTGTCTGATCGAGCTTTGAGGCTGGCAGGAGAGTCCTTGGCAGTTCCGACAGCGGGAGTCGACGGCATGGATTTGTCTGGTCTAAGCTGAGGGAACCAGCTTCCTCGAGACTCTGGACGAGTGACACGATACTCGGGACACACTTGATAGAAATAGTTGCCGTCTCGGAAATTGTGTCTCTTCTCCACATGTTGGAACAAGCCATGCTCGATTAACTCGTTGCCGAACTTGACTGCTTGTTCACGGGTATCGATATCGCGTATGTTTTGCAATAGCCAGGTTGTGAATTCAAACCCGATGAAGCAGTTGTAGTGTAACCTCCAATGCCACCTCCGGTCCATCATCCGGACGCCCTTTTCGCCTTGGATGATTTGCGCCAATGACATAAGACTGATGCTGGATCTATCCAACAGTTCGGACTCGGGTAAGAGCTGAGCAGGGGCATTGTCGAGTCCTGGATCAGTGAGTAGTAAACGGTCCAGCTCTGCCGTAACGACTTCTGATGGATTGCGTGTCTGGTACATGATGTTCAAAGGATTCTGGTCTCGCTTGGGATTTGACGTCTCGAAAAGCTTTTCCTCTGGCGACACGTATTTGTATCGTTGCCAGATATGGGTCAGTTGGCTGATCCCCAGCAAATGAATTTCTTCCTCGTTATCCTCGTGAGAAGTCTGCAAGTTTCGCCGAGAATTGCCATGAAGTTGGAGTGGAATCAAGACGTAACGGACTCGCCAGAAGTGCAGCTGCTGTGCTGGGTTCTGGAGATAATCTCGATGACCAGCTACATAATTATCGGCGTAGTTCCAGTTGTACTCTTCGGAGGTTGGATCCAGCTTGATATTCTTCACTTCATATTCCGCGCTCAATATTGTTTTCATCGCCGGTTGATAAAGAGTAAAGGTAGGCCTCCTGGGAGAAGTGACCACCGCAGAGTTTTGATGCGTAAAGCGGGTCACTTCAACTTCTCCCCCCTGGATGCAGACAAGTCGGTGAATCGTGTTGCCCTTGGAGAGAAACATTGTAAGCCCATCGCGCTCTAGACCTCGGAGATCGAAGACGTTCAATGATCCAAGGGCGGGCTGTGAGGACACTTCGGCCACATGCTTTCCAACAACGATTTGGAAGCCATGAGAAAGCCGCAGCGAGATCATTTCTCGTAAAAGGACTCCGCGTGTCTTTGGTGCTTCAATGCCTTCGGAATCTTCATTTGGGAAGACACGATACGGTGTCTGTAGATAGTCTGAAGCAAGCACACTGGCTGTCGGAAATTCTTCCGTCGTCAATGGAAGCACCGCGGGAGACTTCAAGCTCTTCCACTTTACCACGGCCACATGTGGAGGGCGAGGATACGCATGTTGCCAACGGCCGAACCAACTGGTATCTCGCAGCACGTCTTTAGGAGTATTGCATGGGTTGACTGATCGGACCCACGGAGACAAAGCTTTGCTCGGGGAGGGTCGCGAGTGTGGCTCGTGTGGACTATGGCTGAGAGTGATCTCGATCTTGTGGTCGTTCAGATGATCTTCACCATGGCTCCGACCGACTTCATTCGCTGGCGTTTCCACCGGCAGTGATCCATGGGGGCCTGCCTCTTCTGGATGTTCGGATTCCTTTGGTGGGTTTTTGGGAGGTATTTTGATTGAAATCGGCTTAGCAGGAGTCTGGGAGGATTTGGCTGGTGTTGAAGATGTCGAAAGTGCATCGAAGACTGATGTAGTGGATGCTGTTTCTGACGGACTCAAAGAAGTGATGCTCCTGGCATCGGAAACTGACCCGGCAGGAGTTCTTTGGTTTGTCATGGGCATAGCACTGGCATGTTCCACATTGACCACCGTGCTCGCCAAGGCTCTCGGAGGAGTAGCGCTCAAGCCTCGAAGCGCAAAGCTAATCGTCCGAGAAATTCGTGATGTCATTGGCGCCGGCGTCTTTTTCAACGCTGGTTTTATGGAGAGACATGCTCTTGGCCGAGCTTGGGCTTTTTGGTGTAGTCATATTCGAGTCAATTCTTCGAGGTCCAGAGTGCAAAGAATCATTCTCGTCCGCTGGATTCGTTTCATGATGACGAAGGCGCGTGATGGAGCGGGCAGATAGCCGTTCATGCAAGCCGCCCCCAGCAGCCTGGACTTCTGATTCACTGGGTCGCTTTGCCTTGGGCGCTTTGGTAGCTTGCTGACGTTTCGGAGAGACAGCGAAAACATTTTCATCATATTGGTCCATCCAAGACATCACTTCCTTGCGTGAACTCTGCGTATCTCGAGTTTGCGATTCATCTTGGTCTGCCGCGTTTTGAACAAAGGACCCCGGGCGAAGACTATCACTAAGCTGTGCCTTGAGAGATGAGGGATTCGTGGAACGGGTTTTAGGGGGGGCGCGACTACCCGGGTTATAACCGGGCCAAGGCCCACGAGGTCTTGTTCCGCCGCGCCCTTCGGTAAGGTAGGGGATTGTGATGTTTGCTTGTTCACTCTCCATGACTCCCATCATTTGGATCTCATACATACGCACTCGTGGCGTGAAAGCCTTTGATGGCCGAGTGACGGTAAGAGAGATAGGCGCATTCGGGTCTTTTTTCAAGATTCGCCGGGCCTCTCGGTATGTTTCAGGGTTCCAATAGGAGATGTCAAGCCAATGAGGAATACCAAAGCTCCAGTCTTTGGCTTGTGGTGTTGCGCGTTCCCTCATTCTAGTTGCAGCCAGGTATGAGCTTGGGGAAAGATACGATGATCTGCTAACAACGCTTGAAAGGGAATGGTGTATCTCAGGAGACATCCGATCCCTGTTAAATTCACTGAATCTAGCCCCCTCCAAATCCCCAGAATGTCGCTCCACTGGCTCCCGGTATTTGAAGAGTGGAACAGAATGCAGAGGCATCGGACTCAAACAGACCAAGTCAATTGCTATGCCTCGGTTCGCAAGGGCTTCTGTTGTAGAAGCCAAGGACTCGTAAGAGACCTCGAAAACGCCGCTACCGGGGGTGATAACAATGATTGAGGTGCCAGTGTGGACCATGTCTCGATCGATATGATCGAAAGCCAGGTGAGCAGAGGCGAGATGAATCGCTTCTAGGATGTTTCCTCGTAGGGCTGAGCTTGGGTGCCCGGCAATGGTCGCCAGGTTTGGCTTGGAAGGGCCCTTGATACCACTGCCAGATGCAGCATCAATGTCGTCCGGTTTCAGGATTGACACATCTCGCAAAAAGGTCCTGAATTCCCTTTTCAGCTCGTCCAGAATGGTTGTCCAATGGCCGCTTGCCATATCATTTACTACCACACGGTAGAAATCTCGGGTCGGAACATTGTTTGGTCCGGATTTGCTGTTCAAGTTCCCAGCGCCGAGTTTAGGCTGGCTTAAATTGCTGGACCTGTCATATTCGACTCGAGTGAACAGCACAATGGTCACCAAATGCTTTGCGTCCGAATTAGCCCATCTCTTGAAGAGCTCCGGTAGGAAACCATTGATAACCCGACTGAAGAGGATGTCTCCAGTCCCCTCCGAGTCAAAGTTCCACATTTCTTTCGACATTTGGATGAATAGGACATATTTGGCGGACTCGCTTCGGAAAATAGGGATCGTCTTTGGCGAGAAATATCCGGACAGACATTTCTTCTCTCGGATAAAGATGTTTTTGACAGTGGCTTTGATGCTCCCCATAAACATGATCTTTTGTCCTTTGTATATGATTTTATCTAATAACTCCGACATGACTAGTCTCCACATGTCCGATCGGACCATGTATTGATCGCGAAAGGCGATGTCGACGTGAGACGCCGCACATTGGTCTCGATCCACAATGGATAATAGAACTTGCGTTCTATTCTTGAAACCAAAGATGTTGGCAATGTTGTTTGTTACTGAAATCTCTAACTGAGGATTCCGAGCCTTGGTTTCTGGTGGCAAGGCCTTCACCACGAATAGACAACGGCTCTGCAGTGGAGTCTTGAATTTCGAGGTATTATCCGCTTGAGACGCCGAGCTGAGTTCGGCATGACTCTCGCGACCAGCTTTCGAAGCTGCTTCGGGTTTTAGGGTAGAATAACCAGCATCGCCAGATCCCCGCATGGGCAGGATCTCGACAACATCCCCAACTTGCACTTCAGTTTCGCCGAAAGCCGATGGATTCAACAAAATCTCTTCACGTGAAAACGTCTCATCGTGCACCCAAAGCGCACATTGGTGCCGTGTCCAGCTTGCTGAGGACAACCTGACAGTCCGATCATCTGTGGCTTGATCGTGGTCGTGGTCGTGGTCACGGTCACGGTTCGAAGCCTCCAGTGAGTGGGTGGAGCTGCTCTCTAAACTCGCCGCGCTCACTTGCCTCAGGTGCGACCGCCGCATGGGCCCGCGCAAAGACATTTCTGTATGCCTTTATGCTTGCATTTCACTGCAATTAGATAATTCAAATATCGCAATGCGTCCATGAGTGCTTGGAAGAGATAGTCCGCGCCAAGGGGAGATACCATGGTCACGTGAACTAATATGGTCACATGATCTTAATGCCTGAGGCAACCTATAAACCTCGGATCTATGGAGCATAATAGCAGCCGTTCATTTCCAGATATCGTACAAATTGAATCAATGGAGTCAATGGACAATAGACAGCTATCCCAAGAGCCCGTGGGAAACGATAACGAAGCTGATTGAATCCTGGGGAGTCTAATTCTGACCTAAACCGCAGGTTTCTAGAGCATTCCCTGCGTGCAAAGCATGCATGGACCGACCTATTCCAGCCGGTAGACGCATATTACCTGGATAAGCAGAGACTAAGCATAGAAACACGATTTCTAGCCTGCGTTACGACAGCTAGATTGTCTCTCGGTTGGACTAGATTCATAACAATGGCCAGTTGTAGAATCAAAACAATCCCTCGAGACCAATGAAGAGATAAATTTCGCGCCTATGGCCTTTCGGAATCTTCCAACGCCCTTTTGAGATGTGACGGCTTGCAGGTGGGTGGGTGGTCGTAATCCCCTTGAGCAGGTCAAAGATGTGGCTTCCCCCAACTCCCATGTTTGCCACTGACAAGCTCGGAGCGGAAATTCAAATTACGCCTAAAATGTAAGGGCGGAAAAGCCCATGATGTTGGTCCCTTCGACACCCTGATTGGTCCGACGCCATTCGGAGTTGATTTCCGCCTTGCCCCCAAGTCATTGTCCATCACCTACACCCAATCTGAACAACACATCCTAGGTACCCTCAACACAGAGCCTGCGGATATCTTTTTCAATCCATATCTGGGATTTGCCTGGAAGAATGACACTGAACGATGACTGAATGGGTTTGTCCGTGTTCCACTAACAGAAAAAGCAGGAGCAACGGGCGCACTCCCAAATCCAATCCCTATCCTCACGTCCTGAAGCACCTCGAGGATTCCGAATTATAACTGCTGGTACCCGCTGAGAACGTGTCGAGGTTCTCTTGTACCAGATGGACGAAGTTGGTCTTTGAAGCTCATGAGACTCGACCATGCACCACACTGTCACGGGGACTGTGCGGGAGACTATGGAAGCTGAAGCCACCTCAAAATTGACTGAAATCGCCCACCTCGCGCCATTAATCGTCATTTTATTCTTGCATGCCACTCCTTCATCCTGTTTTGATGTTGCTGATCACAATGGTTTCTTGCTTAGTGCGCCTCCTTTCGGTATGATGTAACCGCGTCATCCATGGATCAACCGGCCAACCTTCTTTCGACAATACCGCAGATTCGTCCTCCCAACACACTCCGGGCTCTCATAACCTCATGGCGAAACTGCACGGCCCAGTCACACCGGTTTTGAGCACAGCTTGCTGCGAGATATGAGTACCACCACCTCATGTCACGGTTCATGTCACGGTTATATCCTGGGTCACATCAATATCACGGCACTTCTTCCAATACTTGCAGTATTGGGATCAAACCAAGACCGAGGCTTTCGTTCACGTCTGTGCCACCTGTCTCGCCTGATTTTAATGCTCACTGCAGACTTCTGGTACTCGCAAGGCCTCACAAATCGCAGGCCGTGCTAGGATTGCTGCCCATAGCGAATTACTAAAAACTCGAGCATTAGAGCCGAAAGGACCCCGGGGTCCGGAAAAGACTTTGACGCACATTTTCCAGCTATACAGAGGACCGGTCCCTTGAGTCTGTGTGGTTGGGCTCAGCCTGATCAGCACGCGCATTTGCAGTCGTCATTCCACCCCGGGAAGAACCATTCAGCAGTTTACAGCTACGCAGAGTTAATGAAGCAGCAAAGCCATCATGTTTGAGCGTCGATTCTGAGCCTGCCCCTTCTGGGCGGCTCCTTCTGTTCTCCGAATGAGCAGGTAATGCGATATCTTTGCTTGATTCATTGGCTCTTTGTAGCTGTAAGCTCCTGAATGCCTGGTTGGTCTCTTGACGAGCCGCCCTTATGCAGGAGGACGAAGGAAACCCCCGCCTAGTCGCTTACGACGGCCACAAAGCCCATGATGCGGAGCTGATCTACCCCGTACACGAGAAGAGCTTCTGGCCACCACAAATTGGCCACCAAATTAGCATGACCGTTGACGAGAGACAGGGTCAGTCTCCTCCCTTCGCAGGTTCATCGGGTGCTTGGATTGCTCTGCTGTAGTGCTGCAGACATTCAGCTGCCCCACTGCCAGCCGCAGCTGCTAGCGCAATCAGACCTGTCGACTTGTTACAAGAGACCTGGACATCTAACAAAAGCCAATCCCGTCAATGGAGTTGTGGTGGTTGTCTTGCCTGTGGGGTCCGGAGGACGCAGGCATCAGTGGGTCTTCCATTTTGACGACGGACGAGTATCGACCCACCCGGACCGAGGCAAGGCCAACAAGCCAACGTGATTGACAGAAAAGCACCCGTCGACCCAGACAGGCCCTATTATGATCTTCCGTGTTTCCCGAGTCTGAAAGCACAGGAACGATCTTGCAAAATTTCCCAAGAAGCTTGAAGGGAGAGGAACGCTTAGGTAAACCTTACCGCGAGCGGTATGTGGTTCTCTCCAAAACAAATGTCGTTTCATGAAATGGATCCATGATGCACCCTGTCGGGTCCTGGAACAAGGATGAATGCCAACCTATTAACGAGATTTGGAATGATTTCGGACCGAAAGAGGGCGACACGATTTGGAATGTCCAAACCCTCCAGAATACGAGTCATGGCCTATCAGAGATCAGGTTCCATATAACTCATATGGAAATCACGGATGGTTCAAACCCAAAGAGGACGGCAATATATACCCCATCGATACAAAACTGTCCATACTGAATGGGATCCAATGTCAAAATTACCAATGTGCAAAGCGAAGCGCTTATTGGCCTTAGCGTTGTTAGTGGCGAACCGGCAAAGACCTCCGACATACCAGAAGGCCCGATTTTGGTTGAAACCCACTTTATGACAATCCACAGTACGGTGATCGACTACTTTGTACGGAGTATTTTTTATTTTTTTATTTTATTTTTTTTAACTCTCGTGCAAGGGGGGTTTTATTCTTCCACAGTTATTGTGTGGCCTTATGAGTTGATGTTCCGCTAGCGTCTCGCATTTCGCGAAAAAAAAAACCTTCAAATCCTTTTGCAGACTATATCCTAACACGATATGGGTGAGAACTTTGCTCCGTATTCCGAATATCCGAACTATGCGAACCTGGAAAATGAATTCAATTATGACTGGGCCGTCCCTGAATACTCGCAACCTTCTCCTTTCGAGATCAATACCGAAATCCCTCGTGATAACCGTGATGACCGTGATCACCGTGGTATCCGTGATCATCCTATATCCAACACAACCGACCGCGTGAATGCTAAGGTGGCTATCCCCCGGAACGCACAATCAAGTAGTTGGACCAGCAGTGGTCGAGTCAGTCGAGCTTGTGAAAATTGCCGTGAACAAAAGGCCAAATGTAGTGGCCATCGCCCGGCCTGTCATCGATGCCTGGATTCCAATGTCCCGTGTTCGTATGGCGATCGGAAAAGAGAGAAGATGGTGAAGTAGGTCCACGGGTAATCTTTCACCGGTCTCAATACTTGTCTCTAACAAGTCATAGACAGCTGAAGGATCTAACTACACGGGTTGAAACCTTTGATGCGTTGCTCCGCGATCTTTATCCCAAGTTGGATGCCTCGTCGGCCCATCGGGTCGATGAAACACTGAAGGAGCTAAACGCACGCACTCCGCTCAGCCAAGTCCTTTCCCCTACCCCTGTCCCTGCCTTGTTCACCAACCCAAGCCATATCAATCAATCAGTGCTATCTTCCGCAGATGTTACTCCTATATCTATTCCCTCGGGGGCTGTAGACTACACCGAAGAGGACTTCGATCGTGATGAAAAAGTACAGTCAACGGGATTTGTGGGCGAACATTCGGAGATGGCATGGTTGTACAGACTCAAACGCGACCTTGACCATAGCAGCCCGAAAAGAATCGAACACACCCTTGAACGGCCTTCGATCTCTTCCTTGAACTACTTCCAAGATCACTCGGAGATTCTGGTTCCCGACGATATCGACCTCGCACGCCGGCCTCCACAACAAATCGCTAACAGGCTGGTCGACACCTACTTTCATGTCGTGCATCCTACCTTCCCGATTATTGGAAAGGCAATCTTTCTGAATCAGTATCGATCCTTCTACTCTAATTCAAATGTGCGACCCGGGAAACGATGGATTATAGTGCTAAACCTGGTGTTCGCCATTGCGACCAGACACTCCTTCCTCATCGATCAGCCTCAACCAAATTGCGATGATCATCAGACTTATTTTACACGGGCGTGGAGGCTGAATGTAAGTAACGTGGTAGATCATCCCGACTTGCAACAGGCACAGGTGGAGGGCTTGGCTGCTTTTTACCTCCTATCGGTTGGCCAAGTTAACAGGTTGGTCTTCCCCTTCCCTCCCTTCTGTATTTTTTATACGTGATCTATATCTAACTATGTGACTTGCTCATCTAGGTCATGGAGATTCATTGGAATTGCAATTCGATCCGCGGTGACTATGGGTCTAAACATTCGAAGCGAAAGCGAGAGCATCACCCATTTTTCAAAAGAACTTCGATATCGGGTTTGGTGGGCGCTGTTTATGTTGGATATGGTGCTATGTGAGACGACAGGCCGTCCGCCTGGCACGGGGGACATCTTTTGCTCCACGCCCTTTCCTGTTCCCTTTGCAGAGGAGGACTTTTGGGACACGCGTGTTATGCAAATTATTACCGACAAAAGGGCTCGAAATGCCTTTTTCACCTCCTTAATTTCCGGTACGGCTGCTTCATCAAATGAGAGTGTGACTCTTATAACGCCGGAACAGCAAGAGTCGGGCAAGGGCAAGCAAGAAGAAAGGGCTAGTCCGAGGGGGCCAGAGAATCTGACACCCAACTCCTCTCTGTACTTTCTGTACGCAGTGGACTTGGCTCATCTCCTACGCGAGGCTATTAATATCCTTTACGCCCCAAGGGCAACGCGACAGTCATGGCTCGAGATTGAAACCGCCATTCCCACACTAAACAACCATGCCGACAACTGGCTGTCTCGTCTCCCCGCAGAGTTCGATTTCACAAAACTAGACACAACCCATCAATTTCTACAGCAGCGTGCTAGCCTTGCCTTCCAATTCTATGCCACCAAGCTGATAATCCTGCAGCCCTGTATCCGCCATCTATCTCAGTCATCTGAAGCAAGCTCCCCGGGAACAGTGTGTGACCAGATGGCAGTCTTGTGCGTTCAAATGGCGGGTCAAATGCTCGACCTTCTGCCCGAGGAGCCAGACCTGTTTTGGCTGTACGGTGTCGCTCCATGGTGGTGTATCCTGCACAACATCATGCAGTCAACTACCATCCTCCTCGCCGAGCTGTTCACTCGCACTCATGTAGGCACCGCCAAGGCTGTCGATATCACTAAGAAGATCGACAAAGCGACTCGCTGGTTGAAAGAGATGTCGAAGAAAGACCTTTCTTCCCAGCGAGCCTGGCTTGTCTGCATGGACCTCCTTTCGCGGCATGGCTCGAAGTTTGGGTTCGGTGTTGACACCGAACTCTAAGCACACGCGTTCTCCAACCTGTCTCATGTAATTATGGGATTCTGATCTATATCCCTACTTGATTGTTGGGTAAAGTGACTTTAAGCGATGCATCTGCTTTTGCCTGCTGGCTTTAACGACATATACCATGAAAGTTTTATCCATTACGCGTCCCTCGTCACTTTGGAAATTCTTGTTCATCTGATACCTCAATTATGATTTCGGTTTATCTTCACCAATACTGTCTTGTCATAGGATTGTGTCTTGCATCTACTCTCAGGGGTATTTCTGTGTACGCGCGATAGAGTATCTTGACCTGAGTACCACCAAGCATTGGAGTGTGGAGTCAATTGTCAGCTCCACTCAGATTAGAAAAGTTTAGAACGTGCATATCATCATTAATATTTAATTTCCCTGGCCAATCAGGCTCAAAATTCATGACATGTATATAGATTCTCCGCCTCGTTGAAGAACGCATCGACAGGATGCAACAGCCCAAGGTCGATATCTGACTGCGCCAGGAAATCCTGCATAGTCGGCTCTAGAAACGCCATTTCAGTCGTGTACCCACTAACAGTATCCCTCAAGGGATAGACATATGCATCGATTCCATGGCTGTGGACAGGTTGAGTGGTGGCAGAAGCAAGGACATGATGTGTGGCGGGTATTGCAGGTATAGACGTCGATTGGTTCAGTGGCGCCATGTTCATGAAAGGAGTAGTAGCTGGTAAATGCGATGAAGGTCCGGACAAAGCCGGTACACCAGCGCCAGGGGGAGGGTTGCCACTAGCACTAGCATTGGTATTACTTGTAGAAGCCTCTCCTCCAGCAGTCGCATCGGTATTCCGCTCACCCCGCCTCAGTCCCCGATACGCAGCCAGACAAACCTTCACCTGCTCGAGATTATGGTAGAATTCCGCCGCAGCCAAATTGCCATTCTCGGTCATGGAGCGCAGCAGATCCAGCGCGGAGTCGAACCCTGTCATATCAGTTGGACTGCCGATCGGGACAAAGCTAGACATTGCCAATATCAACGCCGAGGAGAAGAGGTAGTGGGCGTGGAAATATCCAAAGGTTGGCATGGACCCGTTGATCCACCTTGTTAGGATCATGGAGTGGGAATGTCGCGCTGCATGGATACATGCTTCGCTTAGGGTAAGGACGGGTTGGGAAACAGATACGCCTTCGCCCTCCCTTTCGGTCTCGGCCCCACTGGTATTATTGGTATCGGGGTAGGGTTTACTTTTTTTACTTAGTGTCATCAGGAGGTGCAGTAGCGTTGGGCGCGTAGTTAGGATCACGCATTGGTTGAAGGCCATGTGGAGGGAGACGACGGGTTTCTTGCTCGACTCCAGGTCCTCCATGTTCAGTCTGAGGGATTCGGGGAGTGTTTCTACCCAGTTTTTCAGGGCTTTGAGGAGTTTCTGCACGCGCTGGAGGAAGGTCTCTTGGTACTTTCGACGGCTGTATAAACGGGTGATTGTCTCGCCGACTATGCGTGCCAGCTTGATGTTGGCGGTCATGTATTCTGAGTCGGAGAGTTCTTCTTCGTGACGCCAGCGTGGGGAGATGGTTGAGGGCATGTCGACGTGGATATCTTCATCGAGGATTTGCATTGGGAGACCCATTTTGGATCCCCACATCCGGTCGAAGATGTAGATTGTCCACCATATTTGGATGCGGTGTTGGCGCTCCACTGGGTCGATTAGCTGTGATTCTGGGATGTTGTGGTTCAGGCCGATCGTCAAACCCATCCGCATAGCGTTTCCAATGAGAATGTACGCCGAATGGCGCCGGTTGAGATAGTATGAAAAAAGAGACTTGGGATGTGGTAAGTACTCTGATGTCGAACAATAGGACATGCTGAGCCACATACCAACAATAACAGTGTTTCCAAGTGTGTAACACTGGTTCTCTTCCGGCAGGATCTGGACCAGACTCATTGATCGAGCAAAGTATGATGTGCCAGGTACTCTGGAGCCAGAATTGGGCTCAGATCGGATTGAATACGCCTGGCCGAAGGCGAACAGGGCGAAGAATTTACACTTGTTAGCCGTGCAATCAAAGTCTTGTGTCTGGTAGATCTCTTCCAGTTTGTCTAGCGTCGACTTGCGCATCATGAGGTGGTACAGATGTCCGATTTGATGGATTGCTATCCGGACCAACAACCGAGCATGGTGAAGGCTCGGCCACTGGATATCGGCTTCGTTCGCTGTGGCAATTGTCTCTTCGCGCTCATACTGTGTTCGAGGAATATGTGGCATCGCGCTATTTCCCGACAAGAAACGCCGAAACCGTGTTGCGAATGCTGAACATGCTGCCTCGCCGATGTAGATGGGTGGCGAGGATGGATCATACCGGTGGAACCAGGCTCGATCTCCAATCAATGGATTCTGAATCCCTGTTCCATCAGGGGCATCTGCTGTCTTGGAAGGCGCTCTTTTTCGCATCTCAGTATGTTGTTCATCTTTTGCAAAGTCAAGGGATATCTACCTCTGCGAGTGATCGTTGGTCTCGGCAACCTGAGCCGAGGTGATCGACCGTTCCTTGAGTCGCTGATTCTCTGCAAGGATCTGCTCCAGATAGCTGGAGACGATGGTTTTAGCTTCTTGACACGTGTGATAAGACAAGCTTTTTAAACGGCTTGGTCTAATAATAACCTGTGGCTTGCATACTTCTCACTAACTTTCACCTGGCGATCTCGAGTGGCGTAGGCACATTCATCAGCGAGTCCTACCGTGCGACATTTGCTACACGGCTGGTCTCCGGAACATTTGATTTTATGCGAGTGGCATCTTTGGCAGCTGTGATGCCGTGAGTCAGTGTTCGGTGGGTTCGGCATGAGGTATTTGGAATACGCACGCAACAAATTTCCTTCTTTGGGACTCCCTACCTGGCTGTTCTTGCTCTTCCGTAAGAGCACGTCTTTTTCGCGCCATCTGATAAAATCCCTTATCTTCAGGCTTTTCAGGTGCAGAAAAGGATGCCGTCCGGATGCGGTCGGAGATTTGAGGTTCTTTTCCGAGTCTTCGGCAATTTTGGGATTTTGCCGAGCTTCTGAGAAACTGACTAATCAATTTGCTGCCCATCTGGGCAGCAACCCGTGGATCTTTGCCTAAATGAGCATAATACATTGTATACCTAATTAGAAACGAGTAATGTGTCTTTCACTGGTTTAATAAGTTTCCTTTTGGAGGCTCTATATGGTCAAAGACTGGTATCGGATTCTATACTTATTTTATTTCACGAAATCACCATATCTGTCTATCTATAAGCCAACTCTATCATGCAGCTATTGTAAATCGCCCGGGATGCAAAGACATAAATGCAAATAGAAAAGAAAGATTATATGGTTGTGGTCAAGTCTTCGCATCGAGGCTGAACTTCCTTTCAAACCATCGCTGCATGTCAATGCCCCATTTCGTGATAGTAAGCACAATGAAGCCACTTGCTATAGCGAAGAAGACACCTAAACGGATGGTTAGATATGTCCCAATCATGATTCCATTGAGAAAGCTCACAGATTGTAAATGTCCATCCTACCCCGATAGCACCGATTACCGGCTCAACAGCCGCCGTCGCTGCGGCAGCAAAGATATATTGCACCATGTACTTTGCGCTGATTACCTCTGAACGAGCTTGCGGCATAACCTCTGAAAGACGGATAGTTAGTTTGGGAGCCTGAGAATGGTACAAAGATATAACACTCACCAGCAGAATAAGTATTCAGCCCATTAAAAGCACCCAGAAGTCCTACGCCCGCAAAGAAAGCGGCGATAATTGGCACAACCATGCCACCCACTTCTTCCTCTAAGGTCCAGCAATATATTAAGGTCGCACCTGGGAGGACCCCAAATAGGGTGGCAAGACCACTGTTCAGTCGGTCCTGAGGCAGACGCACACCGTTTCGTTTAACAATCCATTTCTTGACGGCGCGGTCGGACAGCTTGCCGCCAACGACGCTGCCGATCAAAAAACCTATTCCTGGGGAGAGGTAGAATAGGCCGCTGACGAGGGGAGACGTTAGGTTGAAACGTGGGTTGAAAATCGAGCGGGCTGAGGTGAGAAGTGCGTATTGGAATGTAGAAAGAAGGCCACATGTGAGGCACTATTGCTTGTTAGTCAGTCACCCGATAAGCTCTGGAGGTACCAATTTAGTACTGGCAGATAATGCTTACTGCAAGAAAGACATTGGGATACACAAATCGACGAAAGATGCGCATGGGATTGAACATGCTTATGACAATGCAAAGCTCCAAGGGTTTGTCGGAGTCCCGGTTCTTTTCTTGGATACTTGGGACAAAAAGAAGAGACAAGACGAGGCCGAGTAACGTCATTGCGAATTGCAACCAGTATATAATGCGCCATTGAGCAAATGTGACGATGATACCGCCGATGCAGGGTCCTAATTTTAGAATTAGCTACTGAGATCCGACAACGAGCATAGAGATAGTGATAGTATAACATACCAATTGCAGGCCCGCTGACAGATCCAACCATAAAGCAGCCAACAGCTGTTCCACGCACAGTCTATCAACTCTTGTCAGTAACCCGAAGACAACCGGAACCAAACCAACGTACCGGTTCAAAGATATCCGCAAGGATAGTCTGCCCAGCAACCATGAAGAAAGTACCCGTAAAACCTCCCAAAATGCGCATTGCGATAAACATATGCAAATTGATCGCCACGGCGGTACCGGCCGAGCATGCACAAAGCACAAGGATAGCTGCATTATAGGCATTGCGACGCCCGAATAGATTCGTGATAGGACCCCAAATAAAAGACGAAAAGCCCATAGCAATTAGCACACCTGCGTTGGTGACATTGAGAATCTCCGATGTAGTAGAAAACTCGGTAGCGATCTCCGGGGTTGCGGGCAATAATGAAGTACTAGAGAATGTGACAGCGAGGGTCATCCAGCTGACGACAAAGAGGATGAGGCATTTGCGCCATGTTGGGATGCCGTAGGCGTTTGACGGCTGGGGTTTCAGGGCCAGGTCATCTTCTGATTCCGTGTCGTGGGGAGAATCGACCTGTGGGGTTGGTTTTTGGGACTCGAGATCGGGTTTGGTTTCCATGATTTGGTGGGATTAGATGGTATATAATCGATGTAAAAGATTGATTGACAATCTGTGCATGTCTAAATCGGTGAAATGATGTACGCAGAAAATAACCTGACAGGATTCAGTCGACATTTTGTACGAAAGACCTCTCGGCGTGTTGAAGCTATCGCCGAAGCCTGGGTTTTCCTCTGGAGTAGTTTTTCCTCCGAGGTGGATCTGACAGGGCTATCGGCGTAAGCGGCCGACAGTTTCATTCGGAAGATGCGAGTCAATTCAACAGCAGTCAGGGAATAACAGCGCTAGAGGATCCCAAAGTGACTGGGAAGTTGAAGTTCATCCATGGATGTTTCTGGTGGACACCTGAAATATCAGGCCTTATTTTCCATTTCAGAACCAACTCGAAGAGTTTGACAAATTTGACAACATACAGATTTCAAGGTAGTCCGTCAAGTGCAATCTCTCATCTATTCTAGGCGCAGGAGATGTTAGGAATGAATTTTCGCGCCTACGAACCCAAACACCCCACAACTGACCCAGAGCCAAGCTGACGTGTCCCCCAAGCTTTCCCCTACTCGTACAGTGGGACCTCGGAAATATTGGGCTAAACCTTTGTACCCGGATATACCGCCTGCCCGGTATATACTGCTATATAAAGTGTCGGCCGCGTAGTCTTCCTAGTGATCTTCTCAGGTAGTCTTCTCCGATAGTCCTTTCATGTGTGTTTTCAGTGGTCTTTTTTTGTTAGGTATATACCTTTGCTACTAACCTCTCCATACCAAATCACGTGCCTACAGCCTAACTATATTAAAACGTTTAGAACCGGCAGAACCGGCGGAATTTAGAGGGCGGTATATCTTGGTACGAAGGTTTAGCCCAATATCTCCGAGGTTCAAAGAGCTCGGCAAAAGAGCTTGGCGAAATTAAAGCTTTGGATCTAGCCCGCCAAGATATATTGTGTCCCAGGGCGAGCTGAAAAAAAAAAGGGGAGACGTCAACGCAAGGGATAACAAAAGACACGGTTCCCAAGGAAGGTTCTTGGTCACTACCTAGGTATACTGGATCCGACGAGGCAATATAAGAAGCCAGCTATGGACCACAAAGAAGCACACGATGTCGAAACGACCCGTTCTTTTTCAACTCCAATGGAAAAGCAGCATACAGATCACCTTGTCCTGGTCCCCCCAACCTAGTGCTCACCCCCGGGACCCTCTGGTACGACAGAAGACCCTCGAACATCATTGTCCCTGAAAAACAACTGATTAAACCCTCCCAGAACTGGACCGTTACTCGCAAATATGTAATACTGGCTGTGCTATGCCTCGCATCCTTCTCTGGTGCTATCGCGCCCTTATCAGGACAGCTCAATCTGGCCGATCAGGAGAAACTGTACAACAAGACGAAGCTGGAGGAATCCTATGCGGTATGTTTACAACTCCCTTTACCAAAGAGTTTACACTCCGCATTACCAAATCCAATATCAGTCCATCTAACATCCCCCAGAATTCAGCCGCCCTAGCCGGCATGGCGGCGGGCCCGTTTTTCTTCGCCCCGATATCTCACATGCTCGGTCGCAGCTCCGTGATCTTCTGGTGTGTGCTATTCACACTAGTATGCCAGATCTGGGCCGCCCTTATGACCGATCCTGATGACTATATCGCATACGTAATCTCCCGGCTCTTTGCCGGCTTCTTTCGGTGCCGTGCCCACAGTGCTTGGCCCTCGCATCGTGACCGATCTGTTCTTCTTGCATCAGCGTGGTCGCGCTTTTACTGCTCTGCACATGGCGTTCTTGTTTGGAACGATTGCCGGTCCGACCTTCTCCGGTTTTGTTTCTGCGCACTCTTTCTTTCCTGTTGAGTTCTGGTGGACGGTCGGTCTGCTGGGGTTCACGCTTATCTGTTGTTTCTGTTTCCTCGAGGAAACTGGATTCGACCGTGAATGCCTTGAAAGGAACCCCAATGTTCCGGGTGGAATTTTGGCCAATAGATTCGCTACTTTCTTCTTCGGGCAGAGGGTTGTCTTGCCGACTACCTGGAAAGAAACGGTATGTACAGAAAATAGAAAACATGAGGCTCTGTGCCGTCCCATAGGAACTAAATTCGATCTAACGTTAATTTAATCGAACAGGCAAAAGTCGGAATCACCCCTTTCCTAATTGGAATGTGCCCCGTGACAATCATCATGGGAATATTCACACTAATCTCCTTTGGATTCTACGTGGGCGTCAATGCACTCACGCCGGTATGGCTCCAAAAACCCATTTCGGAAGGTGGCTACGGGTTCTCACTGGAACAAAACGCGGCATTCACATTCTGCCATTGGATTGGAATCATATTCGTCCAATTCTACGGCCACTATCTGAATGACCGTCTGCCGCTCGCACTGGCACGCCGGTACAACGGCGGTGTCTGGAAGCCCGAGTATCGACTACATGTCCTGTGGATTCCTAGTCTCGTGATCAACCCTATTGGCCTGGGGATCTTTGGCGCCGCTTTGCAGTATCATTTGCATTACATGGTACTCGCACTAGCAGTTTTTATTGTGACTGTCGGGTCGCTGGCCAGTGTTCCGGTCACGGTGAATTATGTTGTCGAGTGCTTTACGCGGTACCCGGCTGAGGCGGGTATCGTTATTGGTGCTTATCGTATTGTGTATGGATTGACGATCAGCTTCTATATCAATCCTTGGGTTGAGGCTGTTGATGTTGGCTGGGTTTATGGTATGATGGCTTTCTTTGCGGTGTTCTCCTTCATGTTTGTTATGTTGCTCATGTGGAAGGGACATGCTATTCGCAACATTCAATTTGCAAGTCTTGGTTCTAGCGAGGAGGGGGAACAGTTGGTAGGTAAATAGTTGGACTACCTGAGGGAGGTGCTACTATAAAGATGTAGGATACTCCGGAAAATGTGGTAGATGCGCGTAGATGCGTGAAGAAGAGAGAAATTACGCTCAGCAAAATAATTCTTAAGAAAGATACGTATAATAAAGGCACTAGGTGGCTAGATATTAAATACTAATTTATTAAATATACTTTAAAATCGAAACAAATCGATATCTAGCTTATTGATACTAAAGAAAACCCTATAGATACGCTAATAAAAGCATTACCGAAAGTCGATTTCGAAAGACTTCGACAGCTACTAATAAGTAGGTAAGAGAAGGCGGATTGAAGCTGTGGATACTGTGTTTTTCTCTATACTTTTTACTACGATTTTTACCATGTGAACCAGATTGATTTTTGCTTTTGATGCTCAGTCTAGGGGGGTGTGTTGACATATCTAGGATGTCTTTGGCTCTTTGTGCAGACTGAGCCTTTGCTAGTTTGCCATTTCTTTGTTAGTGCACGCTTCATATACAGCCTGCTTTCCATAGGTTTCATACCACCTCTCTTCTTTCCGATTTTCCTATGCTAGTATTCACTAGGTCTTCAGTATCGTAGCCCTTAACAGTTGGTGGCACGATTGATCAACATTTTATATATAAAATTGACTTGCAAAGATGCTGCTACAATCAAAGCCGTTGGGAGAAAGAGCATGGATGAATCTTGGGCTATCGAGAAAAGACTCGGGGGAGAGGATATAGGGGCAAACGAGTAGACCTCAAGAGTGATGCCTCTAACATAAGACTTCTCGGCGACAGGACCTCTCGGCGACAGCACTTCTCGGCGAGAAGCTGAGATCGTTTGCTCAAATACGTGAAATTTCCGTCTCTCTCACCTCTTCCTTTTTCTCTTCTTTCATCTCTTCTTTCATCTCTTCTTTCATCTCTTCTTTCATCTCTTCTTTCATCTCTTCTACCGACTACATCGAGATAGCGTGGCGACACACTCTCTACAGGACAACGTTATTGCTACCACAACATGAAAGCCATTAAAGATGCCTTTGCAGAATGCAAGGCCCAAAACCGTGCTGCTATGATCACTTACGTGACGGCTGGCTTTCCCACCATAAGCGAGACACCGGACATCATGTTGGCTATGCAAGCTGGGGGTGCAGGTATGTTATTTCAGTCCTGTCTCTTTCATGAGACATGCACATGTACCACTCTACAGTAACATTCACTAATCTTAACCCTTGAGATATCATCCAACTTGGAATTCCCTTCACAGGCCCCACGGCCGAAAGCCATGCCATCAAGCTGGCCAATCTCAGGGCCCTCGAGAACGGCGTTCAAATTTCATACATCCTGCATATGGTCCAGTCAGCCCGTAAGCGAGGCCTAGCTATTCCCGTGCTGTTCATTGGGTACTACAACCCTGTCCGCTCCTATCCCTATGGAGAGGAGAAGCTGCTTCGAGAATGCAAGGCTGCTGGTGTAGACGGGCTTACCATCGTTGATCTTCTCCCCAAGACCACGGTGGGGTTCCGTGACTTGTGCAAATCGAAAGGGTCTGTATACAATACTTCCCAGACCTACATTTGTATGGGGCTAACCAAGATGCCAGACTATCGTACATTCCTCTCATTGCCTCTTCCACCTCGGATGCTCACATGAAGTTGCTTTGCAACATCGCTGACTCTTTTGTTTGCATCGCATCTCGGATGGGAGTTAGCGGGACCCATGAGGAGCCTTATGAAACCCATGAGGAGCCTTATGAAACCCATGAGGAGCCTTATGGATGCGTGGGAGACCTGCTCCATCGTGTGCATGCTTGCACTGGAAACCCAGTCCCAGTCGCTGTCGGATTTGGTATCGAAACCCCACAACATTTCGTTGATATTGGCCGTCTTGCCGAAGGAGTCGTCATCGGCAGCCAAATCATCCAGATACTGGGAACCGCAGTTCCTGGAAATGGAGCTCGGAAGGTCAGGGAGTATTGTCTTGAAATTGCTGATCGCACTTGGGATCAAAATGTCGTAACCGCAAGAGGACAGCAAGCTACCCAACCCTTGTCTTCCACTACCATCTACCTTTCCAACGATGGAGCAAATGATGCACCCGAAGACACCGACAAAGCCACCAATCCCACAGACACAACCCAACTGAGAGCCTTCCGCGACCAATACGTCCCAACATCCCTAACAGAAGGCCTGACCGAACTAGAAAACGGATTCGAGGCGGCAAACGCAGACCCAACCTTCTGGGCCGAGATAAATTCCTACGCAACATACGCCAACAGACCCTCCACCCTCCACCTAGCCCCACGCCTAACCGCACACGCAGGCGGAGCACGCATCTGGCTGAAACGCGAAGACCTCAACCACACCGGCAGTCACAAGATCAACAACGCGCTGGGCCAAATCGTCCTCGCGCGCCGACTCGGCAAAACCTCCATAATCGCCGAAACAGGCGCTGGCCAACACGGCGTCGCAACAGCAACTCTCTGCGCGCAATTCGGCATGAACTGCACTATTTTCATGGGCTCCCAGGACTTCGAATGCAAAGATCTAGCTTTGACTATCTTGCGTATGCGCATCCTCGGCGCAGAGGTTGTCCCCGTTGATGCGCCGCGCAGCGGCGAAAAGGGTACACTCCGCGATGCAGTCAATGAGGCCTTCAGTGTCTGGGCGAGGGGTTTGAAGACGACGCATTTCATTATCGGCTCCGCGTTTGGCCCGCATCCGTATCCGACTATCGTGCGCACGTTCCAGACTGTCATTGGAACCGAGACTCGGGTTCAGTTCGGTGCGGTGAATGCGGGTGAGACTGCCTGATGCGCTTGTTTCCTGTGTGGGCGGTGGATCGAATGCTGTTGGTATGTTCTATCCTTTCCTGGGTGATGCATCTGTTGCTCTTGTCGGTGTCCAGGCGGATGGTGATGCGTCTATGGCGGGGCAGAACTCTGCTTCGCTGGATGGAGGCCCTGTTCGTGAGTCGCGGGGGTTGCAGATTTCCTTGTCTTCGGATGAGGATTGGGAGGTTGATAAGATACATTTTGTCTCTTCTGGGCTTTATTATCCTGGTGTTGGGCCTGAGTTGTTGAGTTGGAAGGAGTCTGGTCGGGTTAGGTTTGTTGCGGCAAATGATTCGGAGGCCCTGACGGCTTTTTCGTTGCTCTGCCAGCTTGAGGGGATTATGCCTGCACTTGAGAGTTCGTATGCTATTGCTGGTGGTATGCGTGTTGCGAAGGAGTTGGGACCTGAGCGGGATGTTGTTGTTTGTCTGAGTGGACAGGGGGATAAGGATGTGCAGGCTCTTGCTCAGATTATGTCTACCATGTCTACCCTTGCACTCGACGATGAGATCTAATGGTTTCCTGTTGTTTAGCTAGACCAGGAACAATGTTATGAGTTGAGAAGCTTTTTTAACGTTTACCCAACCCTAGTGGTAAATCGGCTGTTGAAAATGGCTACCTTGAACACGCTGCTTTGAGGTCCCATGGAAGATGAGAACTTCTTATGAGAACCGCAGAGATAGTAAATTTACCCTGTAACAGCCTCTCTCTGGTAACCTATATCCCCCCCAGCGAGGACAGTTTGGCTCTTCAACCATCTAATGCTGGTTGTAGTGGGATCGTGACCTCTCTAGTAGATCTCACTTTGTCATTTTGGCCATACCAGTATCGATCTGTCCGGAAACTAAAACATAGCAACCCGTCATATGGTTAGGAAACAAGTGAAGTATAAGAAACGTAGAGAGCCAAACCTCCAATTCAAATTGGCCAAAGCCACATTCTGGACCCCTGAAAGATACAACTGTACCTGACGATCAATATTCTCCTCCCAGAATGGAAGCTGGGCAAAATTGCGATACCAGTCACGATAGCGCGACTGGAGTAAATTGCCGGACTTTTCGAATGCGGCTTGGAGAGGATATCCCTTTAGCAGGTATGCAGTCACAATATTGTGCTTTTCGTCAAGGTCCTTTGGAAGTATCAGATAATTCATCCCTGAGATATTATGTATCGACCTACCTGCTCCTTAAAATAGGAGACAATGTCGTTTTGGCTGTATGGGTTAGAAAAGGCATGGATCATGGACATGGGGGGATTAATACATCCAAACAATATCGGTGATGATAACACGAAGCTCTTCTATAACAGGGTGATCGACCACTTCAACCGGCAGGTCAAGGTCAGATGCATATCTGTCGTTCCCTTATAAGCTTGCAGATCTTCTAGCTCGGAGCAACAAAGGAGTAGAGCTCACTCAATCAACGCAAAAATGGGTGTTGTGCAAATCAGTCCGCGTCTCATATCGGTTAGCTCATCGATATCTGCTATGTCGCCAGATGGTTGACGCTGGACCTGCTCCAGATTGGCCCGACAAAATTCCTTCATATATTTTGCGAACCGTTTCTGAACACCTGGATTTAATGTAGGTAGAGATCAAACATAAGGAAAATACATATCATACCTTTGGGCGCCTTTTTGTCATTAGCTGAGAGGAATTAACAAAGTTGTATAGATCAATTCTCACCTCTGATATTTGCTTCCATGTCAGTTGGAATGCCTTTAGTAGAGGTTCTTCGGGCTCTTCTAGACTCCCTTCCATAACGGAGATCAGGTCTTCAATCATTCTTTGAGCCATAACTTGATCATCTTTCAATGCACCATTATCAAATTCTATTGGTATTAGTCATTCTTTCATTGGAGATATAGTATTATAGATTAATGGTCTTTACCATCATCGAAGGGAAATATCTGCATATGGAGTCAGCACATACTGGAGTCGAATATCCAGGTTGAAAAAGGGGAAATGGTTATAGTATACCCAATTTCCCCAATCGCATAAGAGGCGCAGCTTTTTTTCATCTGCAAAAGGGATGACCACCGCGCAGAAAAATCCGAAATCTAGACTATGAAGAGTATTCGACTGGCTCGGGCCAAATCCGCACACACTTGTGCCTAGTTATTCCAATTGTCTGGAAGGCAGTGTCCCAGGGAAGCATACCTTGAGAGCCATTGCTCTGATTCTTCTCGGACTTTGTCAAAGTGAGGGTTGACTTTGACGGTAGAAGCCATAAATGACACGAACATATCAGGTATGAAGATCGACATAGTGACTTGTTAAGGAAAGGGTATAAAATATCAGCAGATTGGATCGCAGTACCAGATCGCTTAAAGGATAAGGTGAAACACGGAGTGATCCCATGTGGGAATTTGGGAATTTCCAATCTTTATAGAGTTGCCTCTAGGCACGTGGGTGGCACAATTTAACCTCATGATTGTAGATCCCTTCATAACTTTAGGCTTCTTGTACTACAAGAGATGCTCGTAATTACCCCCTAGCAGTATTCCTGGCCGGTGAGAGATTGCGCTATATAAGTTGTTCAACCATTTAGGCTAATTTCCAGGTTTCAGGTGACAATCATGTAACGTGAGTGGCTATTCGACTACTCTCCTAACCATATGCGATACTTGGTGGGTAACACATAGTGGCAAACTACTTTTATACGCGAGTTTACGTTTTATCTAGGTATATATGCTCTATATGTCATACACAACAACAAAAGCATTAGTTCTTGCGGCTGAATTATCTGGTTCGCAACTAACCATACAGATCTTAAGCTTTTGCCAGTTATCCCATGAGAACATGCTCGTTACGTGGAATACGGTAGTGTCAACCTTATTCGAGCGAATGAAGCACAAAATGCAGAAGAATCCCTATGGGATTAATGGGTGATAGTCGTACAGACACACCGCCAATTTCATGTATATCGGGGATCCTTTTTGTTGGAAAGGTATACCTATAGAACTGCGAGGTAAAATGACTTCAAGCATGACCATAAGTGCTTTGTCTTGCATTCTAACCGATCTGTCTTGATACAATGCAAGTCAGGGCATCTCCGTCTCCGGCAAATCAAAATACATGCAAGATCGTAGTCGATATTGTTTCAAAGACGAACGTAGTTATTTATAATTTGTTCCTTGCTATTTGAGAATATGCTTTCTCCTCGGTGAAATTAGGAGTATTTTGGGCACAGCTATATTCATAGCTTGTACCTATCAGGTCACGCTAGCATCGATTTTTCCGGCTATCATCTTTGTATGGCTTCAGGTCTTTCGCAAGCGCGCAACCTCACTTAAGTTCATAATTAGGTGAAGACAGGCATCTTCCAAGATGGAGGTTATAATTCTAATTATTTGAAGAGGCTACTGGAAGATTAAGTGTAAGCTTGGGGTTGGACATTGTACCCTTGAATGCGGATGTTGTCGAAAAGCTCGAGCCTTTGACGTCTCTAAAGACGACAAAACCTCGTTAAAAGAAACAAGCCGTAAAGGTATAAGCAAGCTTGCTAGGCACCGGATCACCCGGGTTTCAATGTGGGGGCTTGTCGGTGGCAGCCATGAGAGCCCGTTTGATATGATTGCTGCGTCACCAAGCTATGGACAGATTTCAAAAGAAAAGGCTTCTAAGAAGAAGAACAAGACTGGCTGATTAGAATTGATATGAATATTGCACCTGTCCAGGCGACTAAGCTCTGACATCACGTAGGCCCGTACCTTCCCTCACCTTCACTTTGTAAGTCCACAAAATAATTTCGCAGGACACAGAAGTTTACCTCCGCATGATTCAGACATACTACTACCATCCACTATGCTTTTACCACGTTCTTCTTATTCCTTTTTGACCGTATCTTTGGTAAGTTTGGACTCTTTTGACCCCTTTTTGTACTCCTTTCTGGGGTTCTTGGAACTTCTGGGGTGGTTTCTTCATGCCTTCTTTGGACCCTTTCTGACATTCTTTTCGAGCAGACATACCAAAAGCGGCCTCCAAAGGAGATGAAATCTGGGCCGGCGAGCTCATTTGCCTGGCCTCCGAGAGGTGGCCCAAAACAATGTCCCCGATAATGTTGACGGTGGTGGGAGGCCTGCTGCTTTATTGGTTTGGCCAGCAGCTCGTGCTGCTGGGTTTCTGAATGTCCCCCCGTACCTTTCATGACAGCCACGGGCCATGATCTCCTGTGGCTTATTGCCGGGTTTCTCTGAGCGATAGATAACCCATGTGATTGGCTCTGTAAGTTTGAACCCCTTTCTTGTTTTGGTCTCTTTCTGACCGTTTTCGAGCGCCCATACCAACCCTCGTGCATCGTGCTGAGGACGACTCCGTCCTCGTAGAGCTGTTCCAACTAGCCCGGGAAGCGGGGGACGTCCCCCCCCCCCGGGCGGCCCTAAACATCTTGTGGCTGGCAGTAGTCTTCACCTTGGTCTTTGAGACCACCAAGCTTGTCTTCTGGCTTGTGCGGCATCTGCTCATGCGGTATGTCTCTGGTACTCGTTTGCGAAGAGGGTCTTTGGTAATAATAGGCTGACCTACGGTGTAACGCACTACTAGTCTAAGAGGAAAAGAAGGACGTCACTTCCTCGACTTGGGCTAAACTGGGAGCCTTTGTGGGTGGTTACTTTTATAATATGATCGTTGGTGGGGAGGAAGCGTTGGCCCTCGATTGTATATAAACCAACTCGGCCACTTATGCATACAACAACGACCCGAAACTCTCGTCATCATCACAGTTACCCACCCAGTGGATGGTCAGCAGTCGGAAACGAACACCTGGAGTAGCTGGATGAAGACAACCTCCGTGGAGCGGAAGAAAAAGTGTTGGAATACCACTGGGCGACTGCGATCCTGCACGATCTCCAGGAAGGTGACTGGGGCATTCCCGTTGTGTGGATCTCCGACCGTGATAAAAGATTGTTGAAGGTTTCTGGGAAGGCCTTTTCACGGCCTTACGCACGAAGCTACTATACACCGCAGCATACCACCCGTCGGTCGATGGCCAGTCTGAGCGTTCGAACCAAACCGCCAAAATCTGGCTTCGCCATTGGCAGAACCTACATCAGGAACTTCATATCATTCTGTCAATATAAACAGACCCATCATCAAAATGTCTTTTTATACCACTTTTTCTTTTCTTTTTTGACTGGCATCTCAGCCGGTAAGTTTGATCTCTTCAGCCTCTTTGCTAGTGTGTCTTTTCTGACCCGTTTTCTAGCGCCTATACCAACCCTCGTCCTCGGAAAGCTGTTCCAACTGGCCCAGGAAGCGGGGGAGGTTCTTACCCCCTTAGCTCTGAACATCCTATGGCTGGTAGTAGTCTTCACCTTGGTCTTTGAGACCATCAAGCTTTTCTTCTGGCTTATGCGGCGCCTGATCATGTGGTATGTTTCTGGTACTCGTTTGCGAAGAGGGTCTTTGGAATAATAGGCTGACCTATGGTGTAGCGCACTACCAGTTAAGAAGGAGGAGGAGGAGGAGGACGGCACTCCAACGACTTGAGCCGGAATTGGGGGCTTTTGTGGTGGCTCTTGACAGAGATCGACTAACACGTATAACTTTACGCGGTCTCCCCACACGTTGCTGAATTGTGTAGATCCTAGCCCGCGGCGCCGTTACGATACGAAGGCCTGAAATACGCACAGTCAGAGTCAGAGCATGTCCTGCCAAACCTCAATTGTATATAAACCAACCTGGCCACTTGTACACACAGCAGTGGCCCAAAAATTTCATCATCAACATCATCATCATCACAAACACGCATCCGTAGACGTATCCATAATGTAGTCATGTAAGCTCAGCAGCTCAGCCTACATTAAGTGCTTTGGCGGTCTTCTTAACGTGTTCTCTAGAGGCATTGTCAATTTTTCCACTCTCATGGAAGGGAAGTGAGGAGATCTGGGGGGCGGACAGAACCTCCGTTTACACCATTTGACGATATGACCATAAGCAAAACGCTTTCCTCTTAGTTTCCAGCTCCGGCCTTGTGCTGGCTAGTGACATGGGACACCTTTTTGGCTCCTTTTTTTAACTCCCTATATTCAGATAAGATATGAGGATATAGATTCATTCTATCTCTACGATATAATTGTAGGATGTATATCTCGCATTCTATACGTCGAAGCTCTTAAACTAATTGATTTAGCAGCCCGCGTTAATTTCGACGAGCTAGATATACAATGTAGCATCCTTTGATAGATATAGGACTGAAGTATTTCCTGAGGCTACTGAGGCCATTGTAAAATCCCATAAGAAGTAAGAAACTGTGAATCAAATATGTACAATCTATGCTTGACAATGTATATTGCTATCGACAGAGGAGTAAGGAAAAGCAGGAAGAGAGGAACAGAAAGCTGAATACATTCCTGGCTATAAAAGATTTCCGAAATTTATTTACAATGGCCTTGGCTGCAGATAGACCGGGGAAGACATTTGTTTCAGTCTTCATACCGACCAGTATCAATGTTAGCCTCGATCGGCTTCACGAATTCTGTGCGGAAAGCAATCTTGTGGCCGAAATATAGTACCGCAAACAATATGAGACTGAGGTAGTTGATGAAAAAGTCCGTGACGCTGAATGTTGGAATGAAAGCAGTAAAGCCTTGGGTGATAATGATGAGGACGTTGAAGAACAAGCCATACCAAGAAAAGAATGGCTGCCAGGTAGCCTTGTAAGGAAGGCTGTCGCGCGGTATACCTCGCGCTTTCAACGCTCTCATAAATGCCAGGTGAATAACGTTTAGAGATGCCCAAGTGATAAAGCCAGCCAAGCCAGCAATTTGCATCAACCAGTTGAAAACGGTGGCACCCGTGTTCGACAAGTTAAGGAAGCCCAATAGGCCGAAAAGAGCTGTGAAGCCAACGCTACCATATGGTACACCGTGCTTAGTTGTTTTGGCGAAAAAGGGAGGAGCAAAACCCTCGTTAGCCAGCCCGACGAGAATTCGGCTGCCACTATAAACATTGGAATTGGCAGCAGAGAGCACGACGGTGAGCAGAACCGCATTTATAATGCTCGGTAAAGCATTAACACCAGCTCGTCGTGCGGCGATGACGAAAGGAGACGAATTTGCATCTGCACCGTTGCTTTCTCCGAGATTCTCGTCATCAGACGGTACGACAATTCCGATAAAGAAGACCGTGAATATAAAGAAGAACACAATGCGGAAGAATGTCTTGCGGATGGCGGAAGGCACATTCTTCTTCGGGTTGGCGGTTTCACCCGCGGCGATACCAACAAGCTCGGTGCCTTGGTATGAAAATCCGGCTTTGATGAGAATAGCCCAGAATCCAATGAACTTAGCCAGGGCGTCTTGGCCCTCGATCAAATAGGGAACGAAGGGACCGGGGTGAGTCCAGTATCTAAACCCTAGATAACCTTCCTGGCCCACTCCGGCATTCATGCAAATGGCGAATATCATGAATCCAACGACGGTGATAAGTTTGATACTCGAGAGCCAAAACTCAATCTCACCGTAACAATTAACAGGAAACATATTCATAATAATAATAACAACCCAGAAAACCGCGATAAAAACAGCCATCGGAACTGTATCATCCCAGAATTGAATTATGAGGCCCGTAGCCGTTAATTCAAGGGCAAATGTCGAAGCCCACGAAAACCAGTAAATCCAGCCCATTGCAAACCCCAAACTGGGATCAATAATGCGATTTGCGTATGCTGCAAAGGCTCCTGGGATAGGTAGGTAGGTAGCGACCTCACCTAGGGCCGTCATCACCGAGTAAACAATTGATCCGACAAAGGTATAAGCAAGTAGTGCACCCACTGGACCAGCAGTGGCAATGGCAGTCCCGGTACCGATGAAAAGACCTGTTCCGATAGCACCACCTGTGTAAAGATGTGTGAGAATTACCTCTAAGAGAAGAAAATGTATTTGCGGTGCTTACCCATCGCAATCATCTGCAGATGTCGGCTTTTGAGCCTCCGCTGCAACTCCGGTAGTTGATGAGATTCCCCATGGCTGTGTTTTTCTTCGGTATCAAGATCCCGATGTGCGAAGTCTTCCGGATTTGATGCGCTAATATCCTTCTTGTCTGTTCCAGAAGCGTTATATATGTCGGGGACCTCGTCGGTGGTCATTTCTGGGTAGTTCGGAAAGGTCGTGAGGCTGAGGAGCGATGGAAGTTGGAATTGGGTCAATCCCCCATCTATTTCAGGAGAATTGACACATTTGTAGGTCTCAATCGCGTTGAACTTCCCAAAACGATTTCTCCACGGGGAAGATCAGGCTGGTCAGGCTGGGGACCCCGCGTTTGGCCGGGCCGGGACACTTTTCGGGATCCACCACGAGGCCGAAGTGAGCGAATGTAAGCGATCGATTTTGCGGGTCCGTTCAAGGAATTGATAAGCTGTTGGAATTCGATTAGGTGTAATCGGACAGATTTGAAGTTCCCTTTGCTTCTTGGGTGGCCACGAGCAAACGAACCCACTAATTAAGCTAATTGTCTCCTCGCCTATAACGTAAATTGCCGATTGAGAGCGACATAAACCGGCCCGGTGCGTCCATCCCGCATTTTCCATTACCCCATGTTTACCTTAAGCCGATAATAAGATGTATAGAAATCGCACCTGCCTGCGGCCGTATCGCCCTGGTCAAGCGGGGATCAGCCAAATCCTGTTTCGGTGATACGCTTCCAGGTTTGTGCATCCCGCGTTCTGCAGGTCCAAGCTGTCGAATCATATCCGAAATTCTCTCCACCCTGTATATAGTAGGGCAAATTTAGAAGCCAGCTCATGAGAGCATAGCCTTTCCCCTTCCGAATCATGCTTTGGATGTGAAGGGGTATAAATAACAACTGGGGGCACCTTCTGGTTGTATCGTGCAATCACACATCTGTAGCGGTGCTCATTCAGATCTTACCAGTTGAATGTAAATTCGAGACGATGTGTTTGATGAGCTATACCAGGTATATCATTTCAGGGGGTTTTGCCGACAAATCTGCGAGGTGTGCAGATTCACGAGGTGGTGTTGAACTGGGTAAAGCGTGTTGAATTGGGTGAATTGGGGAGTGAATGAGGATGGAGTTATGGGATTGAAAAGTTTAAAGAGGTTGATACTGAACGGTTTCAGCTTCACATCCAGACGAGTACATAATCGGGCGTATGCTTGGCCGAAGACATCATGCGACTGAGGCTCGAAAGCTGTGTTGTTTACCATACAAAGCTATACCGTAATAAATGGCACCTGTATTGAAAAATAGCAAGGGGTACTACACCAAAGGGGTTAGACTTCTGTTAGGTGAACTCACATCGTCCGGTAGTGGCCTTCGTAATCAGGTTGCGAAATCCACGTTGGGCTCGTCAACAAAGGTCTATATATCAAATGTTCATTCACCGAACGTTTCGCTCGCTACTTGGTTATCCTTGTTCATGGAAACCTTGTATTGGTGGACTTGCACGCAGGCCATGCATACCTTTTAGGAACTTCTCTAGTGCTGACTCTGCTCCACTACCCTTTAAATACGTACCGATAGATGAGGTCGAGGATCTTGAAAACTACCAGCCTGGTGGATATCACCCTATCCTGATAGGAGATGTTCTTCAATCCCGATACCGAGTCGTCCACAAGCTAGGCTATGGAGCCTATTCAACCACGTGGCTCTGCCGGGACTACCAGTCGAGTACGTACGTGGCGGTCAAAGTTGGAACAGCGGAGTCAAACAATCGAGAGGTTGATATTCTCAATCACCTCAACGACTCTTCCCCACCTGACCACCCGGGTAGTAAAATGGCAACGATGCCCTCTATCAAGGACGGATTCGTCCTTCATGGCCCTAACGGCACCCACCCTTGTTATGTAACAACCTTAGCAAGGTGCAGTGTCTCTGGTGCGAAGGGAGGGTCATATAAACGCATCTTTCAAGCTACGACTGCTCGGTCACTTATTGTGCAACTTGTGCTAGCCATCGAGTACATCCACAGTAAAGGAGTTGTTCATGGAGGTTAGTCAACATTCTTTACAGCTTTACAACCCATTTACAACCTTATGCTTATACGATACGGATACCTATGTCAGACATTCATGGCGGGAACATTCTTGTCTCCAAGCCGATTTCGATCAGCTCTCAATTGAGGAGGTATACGAAAAATACCGTTCGCCAGCATTAGAGCCAGTTAGTCGTTTGGATGGTCAGCCCCTCGACCCTGGGGTTCCATCTAGCGTTGTCCCTCCAATCTGGCTTGGAAAAGCTTCAGAGAAATTCACTCCTTCAGAATCTAGAGTCTTACTTAGTGATTTTCGAGAGGCATACAGACCCCTTATGGAGTGCTGATATAGCTCGCAAACCCCTATATCATTTGTACCACCTGAAGCCAGATTTGAGCCAGAACGCGGCCTTTCCTTTTCAGCTGATATCTGGACACTCGCCTGTTCGATATGGATAATACTCGGCCAGCGCCCCTTGTTCGAGGATATACTTGCTACGCCGGATGATATCACCGCCGAGCAGGTTGATACTCTAGGGAAGTTACCTTCACGGTGGTGGGGGAAATGGGAGGCACGCGACGAATACTTCGATGAAAGAGGAGAACCAAATCAAGGTCGGCAGGCGAGGTCTTGGGAAGACCGCTTTGAAAAGCACATTCAAATCCCACGGCAGCAGGCTGGAATCCCGGGGTTTGATGCAGAAGAGAAAGCTGCCATTTTACATATGTTAGAGTCGATGCTGTCCTTTGAGCCGGAGAAGCGGTTAAATGCGAAGGATATTTTAAGATGTGAATGGATGGAGAGATGGGCAATACCGGACTTTGAGAAATCTCACATTGGGGAGTGCCCTCGCCGTTGACAATGTTGTTCATTTTCTGAGATGTGTTGTCTCAGCCGTGTGTCATATCTAGTGCTTTCGTCACAGTGTTAGAGGAGATGATGAAGTCAAATAACTTCAACCTAATTGGGAATAGTACCTGTATGTAAGTTATGGGTCATTATCCATAAGTGGTCGCGTGGTATTGATTACGTCGTGATTGCGCATATCTATTCTTTCAGTATCTCTCCATTTTGCTTCGCCAACTTCCTAACCATATCCAGACTTTGAATCAAGATGGCCGACACTGCTGCTAAGTGCATATGCTCAAGTGGTCTACCAAATTTTCTCGGTTCCCTAGGTATAGCTCTATGCGTTGCCGTTGGCTACAGTATTTCCGCTTTGCATGCACATCTATGCAGACATTGTGTCCAGTATGATCCAAAATCGGGCCCAAGGAGCGATCAACCTCAGAATACCGGTGCCACTCCCCACGGGATACCCACTGCCAAAATAAATCCTGAGCAGGCAAGATGAAATGCAGGTCGAGATATTGGGAACCACGGTGTATATCAAGGGCTCACGGATCCTTGACTTCGCAACACACCAAAGCCGCAAGGACCTCGGCAGTTTAGCCTGGAATAGCAATGCTACAATTGTTTTCTAGCCACTGTGTCCTCTTTTGGTTGTCTTTTGCTTCACAGAGTGCCACTTGCTCTTTTGTTTTATGTAATGCCTTGACTGTTTGTTGCTTGAACTCGCTTCAATCTTTAAAGCATTCTGTGAACCCCCTTTAGTCGTTGCAATAATAACGTATGAAAACAATTGTGTTCTATTTTCTTTGAGATTAGTTAAGCTAAGGTGTATCCACGGATGCTATGCCCATATATATTATAGAAATTGTGGAGTTGAAAACCTGTCGTCGTTTGTTTGAAAGGACTAGTATAACCATGGTCCATGTCTTTGCCAGTTTTGGAGCAATCCCCTCTCTAAAACACACCATACTTGAAAGGGGATCGGCTCTAAGAAAAGGTTATACAGAGCCTGTTAGGTTAGCGGAGCTCGAATTAGCTACCATGGCTCTGGAATCCATATTAGGCGGCGGCTGGCGGGTAATAGAAGCCAGGATACAGATATGTTTCTTCAGCTATTTAAAATCCAGGGATCCTTTTGTCTTCATTTCTATTTCCTCCCTGATACAAAAGCTTCCAACTATACAAGTCTCGTTTAATCATACCTGAAAATGTCCGAACTTTTTGAAAGCCAAGAACCAAAGACAGTCCCCTGCTGCGACGACCCCCCTCCTCAATACGACCCCTGCCAGCCAAGCCAAGATGTACTCACCTCTGTTATTGAGAACGAGCATACCCGCCGGATATTAGCCCAACGATTTATAAAATGGGGGACAGAACTCTATAACCTAGGAAAGAAAAACCCCACCGACACTGATTACCTTATGCTTGCGGAGTTATTTCAAGAGTTGGGTCAGTTATGTGCAGAGGGGGTGCAGGTTGCTACAGAGTTGGGAAATATTTATAAAGAACGCACCGTTCGGAACACCGGACTCTATACCGCTATGGAAAGACTCACTGATAGTGAGTTCAACCGGACCTATGCTTCTTTAGGGCGGGAGGATGCAAACCAGCAGATGCGACACCAGCTGGCTCGGGACCACGAGGACCACGGCGACTGCTACAGGGACTGTGGATACAATTCTCAGCGCCCTTTGGGGACCAAACAAATACAGGGAGCTGGAGATTGCACGTGCGACTCTCCGTGCTCTTCCGACCGGTTCTTCGAGCTGTCGGCAAAGGTGGATAAGATCAATGATAAACTTGGCCAAAGCCTTCAATCCAATGATACAGCCAGTGTTTCGAAGACGACTCATGATGCTGCCACAAAGCCACCCAGGAGCTTTTGGAAGAGAATTTTGAAGCATTCAGCTCAACCTTGAATGGTAAAGTGATGTCTGGAGTGATCAAATTATGACTAGACTGCCGAATATTGGTGTTTATCTTGCTTTCTACCGACTTGAACTATCCATGTGGATATGTGCTTGGTGTATGGATTGCTTCAGTGTGCTTTTAAGATTCCAATGCCATCCTTTCTTAAACTTCGCTCCCCCATGAGATAGATTTTATATCAAAATCCGTAAGTCCAATACTCAATACTCCTTCAAATACCTTTTAAATCTATCATGATGATAGATCAATGAGGATTAGTACAAGATCTAACGCTGGTGGACAAAGGGTCTACAGTGAACAGCGAAATGCAGGTCCAGGAGGAAAATCACGGTGCCCCAAGGCGCCGGCAGTATAAATTCAGGCATGGTCACCTCCGAAGAGGGCCAGTCGACCAAGAGGAAAAGACCAAAAACACCAAAAAGAATAAAGATAAAACCGAACCAAAGAACAAAAACCAAAAAAAAAAAAACAACCAAAAAACAAATCGGATCAACCCGCCCTCCCCTCCCCTTCACTCTCACCTCCGCCTCACATCATCACCCAGTTTTCTTCCTTCATCTCACCTCACTGAGGTTCTCGGAGAGAAGCAAAACCGGTCAAAAAGCCCAGAGGAACGCCACAAAAACATCGCCTCTCCGTCTCCAATATACGTGATACTTCCGTTTTCATTCAGCTCACCTCGCTAAGGTTCTCGGAGTGAAGAAAACGGTCAAAACAAGAGAGGAACGCCGTCGACTGAGGACCCCTTCATGACAGGGAGGCACCTTGCCAGCCGACCAACTCCCTGCCTCCGTGCCCGGCGTTGCGCAAGGAGGTCGTGATGGCTGCGGCGCCAGCGGGGTCTAGCCTAATGAGCCGGGGGCTGGCGGCCTCGGAGGCGCGCGAGCCGTCTGGCCGGCGGGCGGGGGTGGTCGGGGTGGCGGGGCGGGAGGGGCGGGGAGGGGCGGGCGCGGGAGGCGGGGCGGCCCGAGGCAGGGACTCCGTATCCCGGGGGGACCGGGACGAACTTGACACCCTCGTCGACAGCCAGGCTGTCGGCGGCGGGCTGGGCGACATTGGGACCTCGTGGCTCCACCAAGACGCGGAGGGGGCGACTGTTGTCGCCTTGATGATCCACAATCGTCAGCGTTTACTACTATGGCATAGGAGTAATGGTGAGGCTCTTGAGCCGTAACTTACCTGCCTGTCTCGCTCGGAGCCAGTCGGCGGTGAGCGCCGCTTGGGGACTTGGGACGTCCGGAGTCAAGTCATCCAATCTGTGCCACGGGATGTCAGCCAATATGCACAAAGACACTCCAAAAGAGCTCCCAAAAGACCTCCAAAAGACCTTCCAAAAGACCTTCCAAAAGACCTCCCAAAAGACCTCCCAAAAGGGCTTCTACGGGGATCATGGTCTTTAACTTACGGGATCTCTTCGGTCTTTGCGGGAGCCTCGGCCCCCTCCTCGCCCTTTTCCTCCTTCTTCTTCTTCTTGAAGAAGAAGAAGAAGATGCCGCCGCAGAGGAAGGTCACGACGACGAGGATTACCCCCCCAAAGGGGTGCTGGCAACTTTGCCAGGTTGTTGATGGCGGAGGGGGTGGAGGGGACAGCGGAGGGAGGAGGCGTGGGGAGCGTAGAGGACACTTGCACGAGTGTGCGAAAGGTAATGGTAGTACTACAGTCCATGATGAGAATGTTGTTGGATGAAAAAGCACCAGGGGGACTGGGGGAAAGACGATATACCTTCTACCTAGTAGGTTCGTGCCTGCCAAATGTGTACTATTTACGTCGTAACTACGTCTATAGCTTCCTATTTCACGAAGACAGTCCTATCTGGTCTCACGGTTTGATCTGCTTGATCTGGATGGCCAGAAGACCTAGCAACTTCAGTGTAGGATGGCCTTGAAAATAGTAGTAGTATGTTCTTTAGTACGCACCAAATTTGGCACTATTCTCTATAATCCTTGGGGAATTAACGATCATGAATTGAAATTGTCTTGGCCAAACCAAATATTAGATATAATATTATAACGACCGAATCATGGTGCGTTTCATATTAGCGAACGACGATATGATGTAGCGAATCAGAATCAGAATACTTTCCGCACTGGTTTTTTGCGTCTAATAAGGGCTAGGATAATAAGAACTGAATATCTGACCGTATCTGAAATTGATGTGAACGTTGCTGCTCGGAAATAAGTATACTGTTGGGATGAGAATTCTTGGGTTCTTAATGGAAATCAAATCCAGAGTAGCAGTCCTCTGACCGGGCAACTGCTCATACCAATCAACCCCCATCAACCAACACCTCCTACATAAACTCTCTAAATTCAGCCCAACGAGCAAAGAAGGAAAACAAAAACAAAAACATACAACAGTGAGGATTCGCTGGTGGTCACCCACCCAACTACTAACTCACCGGCGTGTGGCTTGAGTACGGCTGAGCGGACGGGAAGCCCTATTTTCCACACCCTATGGTCGTATGTACTTGGTTACATGTGGAAGGGAATTATAGAGTAAAGTCAGTACGTAGTCGGTCAAGTGTAAGGACCTGCAAATCCAGTTAAATGAGAAGTTTCCCCTACCTTCTGATCGTAGATCAGATTGTCCATATAGTCGCATGCTCTCCGTCTATTTTAATCCCCCATCCCTTCTTACGTCTTAACTTCCTACATATCTCTCAATAGGTCGTTTTCAACATATCCTTCGTACCCGAGGTCCCGCGGGCCTTCGGAATCACAGAGTGGGCAGTCTGTAACCCCCATGATGTGAACTGGAGACTCGGTTAAGGCATCAACAAGTTCATCATCAGATATGTTGGGATGATCGAGCTGAAAGTGACTCGTTATTCCTGCCAGGGAATTGAAATGGGCACTTTCGCAATATGGGCATTGGAATTTGGGCAAGTGATCATTTATAGAATGATCTTGCCATTCCTTTACAGTGACAAAAAGCTTGTAAGGGGTAGGTTAAGAATGATCAAAGCAAGGAAATTATGGAAGGCGTAGAGAGACTGGAGCCTTGAGTCGAGCCTTCATCGTGTCAATAAGATCTGGGACTAGTAATGCAAGTGCGACGGCCTGGAAGTTGTGTCTGTAGTCGGCGAATATGAGGCCCGCAACGGCCCCGGTCGAATCCATAACAAGTGAGCCAGAGTCACCAGACTCAAGAAAGGAACCTTGAACACCTATAATCATGAACTCCTCCATACGAAGATCTTTGCTGTCGACGGTGTTGTCATTGATATCGTATCGCGTCTTCCAGTTGCAAACAGCCGCCACACCGTTACACACATCACCTGTCACGTTGGTGGTGCGGCATTGTTTGATGTAGTATGTGTCTTTCTGTAAGGAGCTAAATTCATCCAGGCGGGTTCCAGCTGCAACTAGAGCTGGAGGTGGACCGGAGGGGCTGTAGGAGGCGATCAAAGTCGCCACGCATAGCAGCTACCCTTTGGGCGAATGGGTTAACCACAGGGTAGTTAAAAAAACATCGCTGGCATCCGTTCGAACCGGCCTACCAGCAGTCTGCGCAGTCGTTTGGTACGCCGGCCTGGTGGTTCACGATATAAACGGGAAAGACTCCATATCCTTAGAGGCAATAGTCGTACTGGACGTTAGGTTTAACGCTAGTTATAAAAATAAATAACGCTTCTACTCTCCGGATAGATTCCCCAATTGCTTGAAAGGACTCCTCTCTACCCTAGTGAATTATTTCGCGGAGGGTCGACTTATAGACTATCTCCTCCTAGCAGAGGGTTTGTAGGGTTAGGCTTAAAATCATTTGGCTCCGGCGGGTAGCGGGGTAAGGAAGGCGAAGGGCGAGCTCAACCTAATCGCCGGGGGAACCTACGGATTCCCTATGCCGGGCAACGGGGATAGTAGTCGGTGCGGCACTAGAAATGTTAGTGGAGATTCTAAGAGAGTATCTTAGGGATACTATCTTACTTTGCCATGGTTGGTACCTCGTATTGATTATTTCGTGATAAACCTGCCGAATGAGACGGAATGGAGCAGAGGGAGATGGATAGGAGGAGAAAGCAAAACGGAGATGAAGGGATTAAATAGAGATGCGAGAGATAGGAAATAAGGAAACCAGGGTAAAGTACCACCATTTTCCCCACCGCATTTAACGTCTTGTTTTGACCTACCCCATAAGCTGCTTGAACCTAACAGCAGTATTAACTTTACTCTCTACACTTTGCTCAATAGTACGTCTGTCTCCAGTCCCAGGTCACTCCCAGATCTCCCCAGGTCTTTCTTCCCCTAGATCAGACCTGATCTGTATAAAAGCTTGATCGTCTCATGGAGGAAGTGAGATTGAAACGAGAGCGGCAATTACGGAATAATAACGGTTTGTTTGATAGCGAATGTAGTAGTCCCAAGTGTCATATCTTACCCGGTTAATAGGCCTTACACCTAAAAACTATATACCTTAATAATTCTAATTCTTCTTTTTTAACTATCTAAAATATAATAGGCCCTCTAACTATATGTGGAGTAGACTTCTGTAAAGCCACTTAACTGTTCCAAAATCAAAAGAAACCCGGTTCAAATATTTTATATGTAGTTTAAAGAACGAATGGACTGCCACTTCAGACAGAAAAAGAAGAAATCACGCCTAATGCAAGGGATCCCAAATTGGAATACACATGTAGACGATACAAATCTGTTGTAACTGTTGTATAAAACTCGACGATCCTCCACACCATCAATGTTCATTTAGTGCTAGGTGTTGTCTCCAGCTCCCAAATCCGGCTCAAACCCGATTTTTGGACATTTAGTTGGACGGGTTAGGCTGGGGAGCAGCGCAGACCTTGTTGCCCTTCTATTGCAGAATATTGTTAGGTACTGCGTCCTAATATCAGCGAGAACACATCCACTTACGATAACCTGGCAAGTGTCCTGCTTGGGGCAGTCATCGTCGGTCTGGCACTGGTCATTACCCTCCAAAATAAGTCAGTACCCTTAGGTTATACTCATGCGAAAAGGTAGAACATACCTCGGAGCGCTTGTTGTTGGGAGCAATACAGACGTTCTTGTCCTGGTCACAGACATCATCCTTGGCACAGTCAGTAGTGGTGTTGCACTGCTGGAGCTGGGGAACGTTGTCACGCTTGTTGTTGGGGGCGTCACAGGTCTGCTTGACCTCGTCACAGACGAGACCCTTCACACAGTCTTTGGTGGTCTTACAGTCCTGACCTATCTGGGAGAGGATGTCCTATATAGGTTCATGAGAAAAGGATTATGGGTAATTGTCTGGTGTCACTTACACCACGCTTGTTGTGGGTGTTGAGGACATCGCAGATGTTCTTGTCCTGGTCACAGACAAGACCCTTCACACAGTCGCTAGTGAACTGGCAAGCCTGACCGACCTTGACCAGAGCAGCATCACGAGTGGTCTTGATTGGAATGCACTGTCCAACATTGTTGCACTGCTCGTTGGGCTTGCAGTCGTTGTCCACCGTGCAAGCAGGGGTAGGCTGAGGCTGGGTAGGAGAAGCCATGGCAAGGCTGGCAACCATGACGGAAACAACGAAAGTGGCCTTCATTTTTGCGGTTGGTGGTTGGAAATAGGAAAGGATGTAAGGATTGATGATAGTTTAGTTGGTAAGGAGTGCTAATTGATTGTAGATGAATAACTGAGGTTGTAGGGATCTAGTAACCCTTTATAGTTTCAAGGCCATCCATCTATAGAGCCCAAAGGTACTGAGCTTGGTGAGCTTGACTATGCTATTGTCCCATACTAGACCAACCCGCCCGGTATACGAAGCTCCTTTTCCCTTACCACGCAGTCTGAGGACGATCCTTCGTCGATATTACGCGTATACAGACAAAGCATCTCGAGTTTCTGTGTTGTAGGTTCTGACAATTCAAGCAAACACTTCTCCCACCAGCTAGCTATGCAATAGTGCGCTTTGAGGTCCGGCTGTGCCGGTGCAAGTATAGGTCATTATAGGCAGAATAAGCCGCTATACAGATGCATTGCCGTAGCTATAGATCCCCAACGCATTCCGGAACATGGGTTGAGATATGACATAGTTTTTTACAGTAAGCCCTAACTGAGCAGTTGGAATCAGAGAGTAGAGAGCTCGACAGGCCGAGCTTTCAAGGAGACCATTACTTGCGTCTACAGAGCATTCAGGAAATCAATATCTGCATATAATAATAAATTAAAGTAGCCAAGTAATCCGCAAGCCACAGTCCAATACATCACCCCCAAGGCTTGGTGAAGCTTAATTTAGAACGATCGCCCGCCAAGAACAGAACTCCACAAGTCCACGAATCCCAACGTTCATTTCACCACACAAGGTACCCGCAAGGCAGGTACGTAATCTATATTTCGTATCGCTTGGAGTGATCTGCAGTATATGTTGCAGTCCAGTTCCTGGTTGGTCTCAAATTAAGGGGCTTCATCGCGTTGCAGGAATTAGTGGTCACCGGTTACAGCAGTTAGTAGCATAAGGATTCACCCATTAGCGCAAAGCCTATGCAGTATTTGATATTGGGTCCTACTCCACGCGTAGCCGGAAAAGCCCTCTATTTTAGGAACAATATCCCGGTACGTCTTAGCACCAATTTCCGGTCCACAAGTAGACTCGCCGATCATACTGAACTAGTCACTAGCAGTCTTCAGGCACGTAGTACGGTTTTCACCAGCTTTCGCTAACAGGAAGGATGAAATTATGAGCTCCCATAATGAAAGCCACATCCACTGCTCCTTCCCTATCTGGTAAGGCTCCGTTGGATTAGGCACTAGCAATCTTTGCACACTGTGATCTTGACTCTCTTTCTATCGCATTTCTCTTTGGTGTGATGGCCGATAGCGGGTGGTTCGGTGGTTCTAGGACGACCTGGTCAGATCCAACGGGGCGTTAATGTTTTGTTCGTGTATGAGACGTCCTGACACATAGATCTATACATGCCGTGACATTATAATAATTTCTGCGCACGAAACAGCGCGTCAACTTGTAATCCAATCATATCGCGCTCCGTGTCACTTGAGGAGGTCAGTATGGGCGTCACGCTACCTAGGGTGGTTCTCACCCGCTTGTCACCCAGCTTCTCACCCCTACCTATAGCGCACTCACCTTTGTCCGGTCGCGCGAGCTCGCTCATATACTAACAGTCGATACTTGATTATCCTCTGTACATAAACCGGTACATACGACCATAGGGTGTGGAAAATAGGGACTAGGTCGCAAACACGCCTCAAATGGGTGCCGAAGCTCCTGATGGTGTCATGGAGCTTAACACTAGACTGGAAAGCAAAAGTAGCCAAAGTGATTAACCCATAAGCAAAACTAACAGGCTCTGCCATCGTGTAAACGACGTTAATGGACGTTGTAGAGATGACATAAAATAGCAAATGGTCATTAACTTGCTCATGGGCGTGATGGGCTTAATAACAGAACTGAAATTCCCCTTCAGACTTCTACAGTGGTTCTGAAAAACTTCCAAACCGATGCTCTACGTGAGCTTTGCACTGAGGATCAGCTGGACCTTCTGAATTCTATCGATACTCTCCGTTCTCAGGGGATCAGCCACTATATCACTTTGCCACAATTCATAGCCTGTGGTGATCAGTCTTCCGGCAAAAGTTCCGTTACTGAAGCTATATCTGGAGTGTCATTTCCTGTTAGGAGCAATCTGTGCACGCGATTCCCTACCGAGCTCGTCCTTCGAAAATATCCCCAAAGTGGTGTTCGTGTATCCATTGTTCCGCATCAGACGCGTAGTGATATCGAGCAACGGTCGCTTGGCGACTTTTATGAGGAGTTGGATGACTTTGAGGGCCTACCTATCTGGATTGAAAAGGCCAAAGGGGTCGTGGGAATAACAATGTACGGAAAGGCCGTCTCGAACGATCTTCTTCGGGTGGAGGTCTCCGGTCCTGACCACCCTCATTTGACTATTGTGGACCTACCTGGACTTGTCCATTCGGAAACCAAGCAACAGTCTGCGACAGATGTCCACCTTGTCCAAGATATCGTGCAGTCTTATATGAAAGAGCCTCGCAGTGTCATCCTCGCTGTTGTATCTGCAAAGAATGATTTTGCCAACCAGGTTATCCTCAAGCTGGCAAGGGATGCTGACCCATCCGGGAAGCGCACCCTCGGTGTGATTACCAAGCTTGATACCCTTGTACCAGGGTCAGAGAGCGAGACCATGGTTGTGTCACTCGCTAAAAATCAGAACGTGGAATTCCGGTTTGGATGGTATGTTTTGAAGAATATGGATATGGAGAAAGGGCAATGGACATTAGAACACCGTGAATTGGAGGAATAGGAATTTTTCTCCACAAGCGTATGGGAGAACATGCCACGGTCACTCGTTGGAATCGACAGCCTGCGTACACGACTGAGCAAACTACTTCTTTCACAGATCGCTACCAAGCTTCCAAGCTTGATCGAAGAAATCAAAGCCATGACCCACTGTTGCATGTCCCAACTCAAAAGACTTGGGGAACCACGGAGCACTATCAATGAAAAACAGTCATATCTTCTAGGTGTCAGTCAGTCTCTTCAGTGGCTCGTGAAGGCGGCCGTCGATGGTACTTAGAATCATCCCTTTTTTTGAGGACGCCCACTCGACCAACGGATATCATAAAAGAATACGAGCGGTGATGCGGAACCTGAATGAAGAATTTACTGAGCGTATGAGCCGGCGGGGCCACTACCGACGCATTTGTGAATCCAACGATGGACAGATTCCCGCTAAAAATCAGGTCGGGACCACCCGTGGGGAGTATATTAAACATATTAGCCACCTCCTCAACAGAACAAGGGGCCGAGAACTACCTGGGACATTGAAACCTATGATTGTCCGTGATCTGTTCCTGGAACAATGTTCTCCTTGGGAAAATCTCACGAGCAGTCTCACAGAAAGTATATGGACCGCTGCTAAAGATTTTCTCATTCTGGTAGTTAACTATCTGACCGATGATGCCACATCTGCCGCACTCACCGAGGAGATTATTATCCCGGCCTGCGACTTGACCAAACAGAAGATCGACCAAAAAGCAAAGGAGCTACTTATGCCACACCAAAAACGGCACCCAATTACTTATAACCACTATTTCACCGAAACCCCCCAAAAAGATCAGATCAGGCCGCCGGGAAAGCGAGCTTAGCATAACTCTTGAACAGTTTTTTGGCGTCAAGGGGTTAAAGGAGCCTTACATCTCGGAGCATTCTCCGAACCTTGATCAACTTCTCAAAGCCATTCTGCAACAATCTAACCCAAATATGGTGCGTTTCGCATCTATTGAGGCGTTAGGCTGTATGCTAGCTTTTTACAAGGTAACACATTACCTATGCTTTGGACAGTGAATCTGTGATTAATTTAATAACCAGGTCGCTGTAAAAAGATTCATTGACGATATCGCCAATGAAGTTGTCGAAGAGAAACTGATCTCCTCGCCCTCGGATATGTTGTCACCGGTAAGTGTGTTTGACATGCCAGCAGATTGTATCACACGAATCGCGGGAGAGTCAAGGGAAAGCCAAGCTCTACAATGGGCGGCCATCCTACGAGCGATATCTCCGAGGAATCTCTATGTGACGTGAGGTCATTTACTGAGTCTGAAATTTCTGCCTCACCCGTCGTTCAAGAGGATAATCCTGTGGCTATGGACGAGATTTCGGCCCCTCTTCCTGAACCGGGAACCCACGAATCCAATACTAGCCCAAAAAGGAATACAAAGAAGAAAGGAAGGATGAGCATATCACCACTGGTGGTAATCTAGTTTGGCAGTCCTAGTAATGGCATATCTACTATTCATTATCGACCATACCGTATTGAGAGTGCCTCGATATTTTTCCATGGGAAGCGTAACAACTGGTGGTCTTTTCTCGACATGAAAGAAGTGATCCTTTCACCAGCTACTATCGAGGACACACTGGATCTAACGAATGAAAGGCCCCCTAGTCTATTGCTTGACATGGAATGAGCAGTCCTCATTCCCAACAGCTAGACAGGAGGACCATGTCTTGGGCTTTCCTGAAGGGTCTGGCTAAATACATTGTTGTGCGCGCAGCATCCCCATTATCCAACCCGATATCTTCTTCGATATTAATCTATCGCGTAATCATGCAAGAATACGTAATATATGTTCTATATACGCCCCCGCTCAAAGATACCGCCCGTCTCCAATCTTACTCAATATTGTGCTATGTTTCTTGATCTGTTGAATCTCCCTAGTGTCACATGACGTTTCTTCCCATGTATGTAGTCTAGTACTACCCTTTCTTCCATCTTCATAGTTTACACATTACAATCCACATTGTACTGCCTTTTTCATGATCCCCCTTACGCTGTAGATCTTATCATGATCGACTACGAACATAGGCCAAGATTACATGCGACTACTAATCCACACCGGTAGGACATATAGAAGGAATTGATAACTTGCCCAGTTAGTACATGAAGAGAACCAGAAGGTGCAGACCTAACTCAAGGCCTGGGCCTCACACATCTTGCGGTACAATCCTCCACGCAAGAAGAGCTCATCGTGGGATCCGATTTCCGCGATTCTTCCATCCTGAAAGACGCAAATCACATCTGCATCCTTAATCGTACTTAGACGATGTGCCACGGCAACAGTTATCCTGTTGGATGTTTTTGCAGCCTCCTCGAGCGCGTTCTGAACAATCTTTTCGCTCTCAGTGTCAAGTGCACTGGTTGCCTCGTCCAGTAAAAGGATCTTCGGTTGACGGACCAGGGCGCGGGCGATGGCAATACGCTGTCTTTGGCCACCGGATAGCTGTGTTCCGCCGGAGCCAGCAGGTGTGGAGAGACCTTCCGGTAGGGACGAGACAAAGTCCCATGCGTTCGCAGCGCGTAGTGCAGACTCGATAATGTCATCTGAGACATTGTGAAGCCCTAACTTCAAGCAAGGCGCAGTCACAGGGTTTGTGTTGTCTCTGGCTACGCCAAAGCTACGTTATCGCGGATCGTGCCCTGGAAAAGGGTTGGCTCCTGCTGGACGAGAGCAACGGCATTCCGATAGAGTACAGGGTTCAAATCTGCAAGACCAAGTGTGTTGATACGGATCATGCCGACGGTTGGGTCATAAAAACGCTCGAGCATGGCGATCATTGTGGATTTGCCACAACCAGATGCACCGACAAAAGCGATGAACTGTCCTTTATCAATCTGTGTGATTGTCAGTCATTGTTAGCTGAAGGTGCATCCGGTTCTTTACCATACCTTGATGTTAACGCCTCTTAGTACTGGTGTGGCTGGTCGTAGTGGATAGGCAAAGCGGATGTTGTCGACATTGATTGGCCAGGTAAATGTCGGGTCATTGTCATGGTTGTCAGGCGTCACCTGTACAGTTGGCTCAAGCTGGTGAAGCCAGAAAATATAGTTGGCGGCGTTGACTCCCTTGGTGATGCTGGTTGAAAATTGAAATATCTGTGACGAGGCTTGACCGGAGAAGTAGACGGCCAAAAAAGCAACGAAGAAATCATACATGCTGATGTCGCCAGATGATAGTAAGCGGCATCCGTACCAGAACCCAAGGGCCATAAACCAGTATTCAATACTTTGTGTTAAAGCGAAACAGATCATCGTGGAAGCCATGGGCTTCACGGAGTTGGTTACTGCATGATCTAGTTCTGCAGTGTACTTGCGGAGAACGTTTCCCTCTATAGCAAGAGAAGAAACAGTTCGGATGGCATTTATGGCCTCCGAGGCAATTGATGAGCTGGCCGAGTACCTCTTTGAAATATTTCGGTCAAGTTTTGCATCCAGTCGAATCTTGAGGAAACCTGAGCATACCAGAGGGGGAAGGCCAGCAAATACGACCACCAGGCCAAGCTTCCAGGAGTGGACGATAGCAAGAATACTACAACTCATGAGATTTAGCATAGCAATCACGACAAGAGCGATATTGAAGCCCATCAACTCCAGGACAGATTGCGGGTATGAGTCGATCTGGCTGACCAAGGCGCCGGTCGTGTTCTCGGGACGATCGAAAAATTGGATATCTTGTCGGAGCATATCGGCAAACATAAGCCGACGGAACCAATGGCTCAAATGTTGAGCAACAGTGTTTGTTGCATAGCCAATGGTGAAGTATGCAATTAGACAGCCAGCAGCTAGGACGATGAACATAGTCGCAAAGAAATTTCCTCTGTTTTTCATTTCGTCCCCAACCAACATGAAAACGTCGACCACCTTTGCCATCAATATGGCCTGGCCTGGATACGCCGCGGCTGCTCCCAGACAGCCGAGAAAAGCAAATAGATATGCCCAGATCAGCTCTGGGCATTCCCTGACGAGATATTGTATTGATTTCAAGATTCCCACCGTTTCGTGGTGGTCATAATTGTCGCGCTCTCTGAGTGACTCTAGATTGCCTCTAACGGATGAGGTGTATCGCTCGAGGGTATTGGCAGTTATGGTGGTGGCCAATGCTGTATCATCATGCGTTCGGTTCTTCTCTTCTTCTATGTCGGCCGGGTTTGCAGCGGAGGAGACTTTGAGATTCTGCGCCTTGACCAGGCGTGCGTAAATGCCATCTTTTGCAATTAGAGCGCCATGGGTGCCCTGCTCTGAAATACAACCTTTGCTCATGACCACGATATTGTCCGCTTTCCTAATAGTTGCAAGTTTGTGAGCAATGACGATTGTCGTTCGTCCCATGGATGCCGTATCCAGGGCCTTCTGTACGATGCCTTCTGCTTGAGGATCGAGGGCGCTGGTCGCCTCGTCTAGCAGAAGCACCTTTGGTTGCGACACGATACTGCGAGCGATGGCCACCCGCTGTTTCTGTCCTCCAGACAATAAACCACCACGCTCACCGATCATTGTGTCGTAGCCTTTAGTCAGTCCACTGATAAAGTCATGTGCAAATGCCATCCGTGCGGCCACCTGGACACGTTCCAATTGTTCCTCTCTTGGAGAGTTTTCCCATGGTGTTCCAACTAGGCCATACCGGATGTTCTCAAAGACGGTCCCTTGGAAAAGCACTGGTTCTTGCTGTACAAGTCGGACGTTTTTCCGGAGCCAGTTTAGCTTCAGCTGGTCAATCGGTATTCCATCCAGTTTGATCAAACCAGAATCTGGATTATACCAACGTTCAAGTAGTCCGACTATGGTGCTTTTTCCGGAACCAGATGGACCGACCAAGGCAGTCACCTTGCCCGAAGGTACTCTCAGGCTGAAGTTCTCCAGAACGGTGACACCAGGGCGGGTGGGGTATGAGAATGTTATATCGTTGAGCTCAACCTCTCCGACAATGGCTTGCGGTTCAAGGCCTGAGTCGTTGTACGGATCAATGGCAGACTTCCTATCAATGATTTTAAATAGCTGAGACGCAGCAGAGGATGCCCTGCTAAAGTCGATCGAGTAAGGGGCTAGCGCTGTCAGGTTCATCGCTGCCATAACCACCGACAATAGGACCCTGATGACTAGCATTAGCAGCGAGCATGTATCTTGTCCACAGATCTAACGTACGTAAAAATGTCCCCGACAGACTTGATGTTTCCGTTTGCGACCATGTTAACCCCCTGCCAGAATGCAAGCCCAAACCCAAGATAGACAATTGCATACTCCGACGAGAAGAGGACTCCAAAAAGGGGTGATATCTTGTTGCCAACTTTGTGAGCTTCAGTCAAATATTCATCGAATTTGTGAACTAAACTCGGTTGCATTCCAAAAGCATTGACAGCCTTAATACCGGCGAGCACCCCCTCTGCAAAAGAATTTGCCTGAGCTTGAATTTCGAGTATTCGAGTCTCGTGTCCAGCCTCGACAGCGGCAACAAACCCTGTCACAATAATTGTCGCCGGTGCAATACAGAGGCAGATGAGTGTCAGCTTCCAGTGAACTGTGAACGCGATAATAAAGGCTGTCACGAAGGTAGCTAGTCCCTGGAACAATAGGCCGATTTTCTCGGCAACGCCCGCTTGAATCAGTTTTCCATTCGAGGTCGCTTGCGCTGCGATGGAGCCTCCAGTACCAAAATCGAAAAAGGAGATCTCTTGACTAAGGGCGGCTTTCAGATACCTGTGTCGGATATTGCGAATAACACGAAAAGCTGCGTATGTGAGGAGCGTGTTGTAGAGATAAGACAGGATGAAGCGTGCGATGCCGAGGTACACGAAGTAAAGGCTGCAAAAGTAAGAATATATCCCTTACAATGTATGTTTTGAAACATACGCTAGCTTGCTTGCATCTCCACGAAACTGTTGCGTAGTTGACTTCTGCTTCGCAAAGTCGGTGATAACAGACACAAATTCCCCGAAGATGAGGTTTTGAAGGGCTACACCAGCACCAGAGGCTATTGCAGCACAGCAAGCGATTGCTTGGAGCATCCATTCAAATTCACTGGCGTAGCTGAATATTTTCTTTTGCGTTCATGGTCAGCAGCGTCTTCTCGCCGTTGTGTACTACTACCCACCCAGTATGCAGCAATCGAGCCTCTGCTATTCTCTTCCTGTGAACTTGCGCCCTCGTGTCCCAGTGGATCTTCGAATGACCCATGCGGCCCTTCTGCGGATAGTTTCTCTCCGAGTGTCTGGGGATTCATTTTAGAAACTCCGGCCTTGCCCGTTAGAAGTACGAGGAGGAAAGGATTGGGCCCAGGTAGATTGTCGTAAGGAAGAGGTACACGGACCTGCAAATGAGAGACGTTGGTAAGAAAGGGAGGCGATCCTCGTGGTGGTGATGGTCCTTATAAAGGTCCTATGTCGATTATTTGGGATTGTAGGTAGCAATTTTGGATCATGTTGTATGTGCCAAGCTTGCCAATATTGCTAAACTGACAGTGTTTTGCCGTCCGCAGGCCGCGGGCCCCAGAGTCCGTGTGCGCCGAGCAACATTGCCAACATCCACTTGGCCTAAGTCGGAGGCCGAAAGCTCCATAACGCCGCAGTGAACCCATCGTACTTTGGAGTGTATGGTCTCTAGTAAAAATGTTATTTTATTATTTGTTCTTTCTAATGCTGCTTGCTGCCTTGCGTGCTTCCTCTGATCAGCAACGACTAGAGTGGCTGAGTGAATGCTCATGAGATTGGATGGAGCACAGGATGATTCAGCGTTATTACCTTCACTTGTCGTAGGTTTGTTATCATGGAGTTCATTCTTCGCCCCCTCACTGTGGTAGAATCCTCCCCAACTCATGCTCAGGACCTGCCTTTCAGCCATCCATCGTCGAGTTCCCTATCTCTCTCCAAATATGCATCATAAAACTCATTTCCTGCTACTGATGATGTTTTTGTGCGGATGCTGCTTTTCTATGGGAACACGGCGCAATGACGGAGAGATAGTATAAGTTAAAACTCATTCTCTTCTTCGAATTACCCTCGTCGACAACCACGATGTTCGTATCTTACTGCTACATTGGCGAGGCAATGACAGTGGCTTGATGAGTAGAGCCCACAGGCATCTTGTACGTACCAGGGATAGGCATAATGAAGAAGCTGCTAACAAAATAGTCGCTAGCATTTTCCGTTGGGTCTGCCGGGTTGGCTGTAAATAATTCAACCATCTTCCCAGCTTCAACTCCTGCCACCTTGACTACCATCATGCAATCGTCTTTGGATACCAGCTGGTCCAAGCAATTGAGCCTTCAGTACGGGATACGTATATCTTCCGGGAGTCGCTTCGCATTTTCAACACTAGATTCATTCCTCATCACTCTTGTCCTCTTTGACGAACTCGGGTATCTGATAACCTCGGCACCTAATTACCATCGCTATCGGCCGTGAGGGCGAGAAGTTAAGCATCACTCAAATCAGAGTGGATGAGGGTTTAGCGCGTATGGAACATAAGGTCTTCCAACGTCCGCCAGCCGGAACCTTTCAGATCTGCCCGGAGATGGTGTCTCTTTTCACGAATATGTGGACCTCAATGTTTTCTTCTGCAAAAAACCTGCGACAGCGAGAGATCCTACCTCAATTTGAATCGCCAATAAGGGGGACTATCGCTCGGTTGCCGCTGAGCTTATACCATAGCATATCCATTTCAGAATACAGAACCTTCATTGGTTCTGCCATTCTACCATTCTTTTCGGGCTTAATTGCGGCTGGTATTATCTACATTCTAGTGGTCATCATTAAGCAGCGTGATTTCTATAGGACATGTTAAAGATAATGAGTAACATTAGAAGGTCAGGAGGGCAAATCTGGTAAAGCTTCCAGTATATAGGATTCAAAGGTGCAGAGAGGAGAGAGAGTTGTATTGAGAGAGAAAGGAGCAAGCTCCCAACAACTATCTAAACTATAGAGGGGTAATGCCTAAGGCATCCAGGCATACATAACGAAATCGAAATCGAATGTAGCAGGGCTGTGAACTTTTGCAGATACCAGCTCATAGGCCATGCTTCTATCAAGTACCTGATGTCGCAAAGGAAGTACTTACATGTTACTGATGTGATGAGCGAAAAATCCGCACACACTCAATAGCCAAGTTAAAGTATATTATTCGGGAGAGGTTAAGTGACGACCACCACTGTAAAGCTGGTGGCCTGTGGCAAACCACTTTGAAAACACTATCATCATACAATCCATCGAATACGAACAACTACCGCAACTGTTCACAGATTAATTCATCCTGATCCATCGAGCCAATCACCTGCTGATTGAAAGAGTACCAGCTGGCACCCCAAACACCATACTGATCCAAACTATGACCAACAAAATTCATAAGCTCCAATGGCGTTGATGGGCCATACATGTAGGTGGAGCCCCGCTCTATGAGATATTGTTAGGGAGTCAGAAGGAAACTGTGCCTTACTGCGACGTTCCCGGAATCGGTCGCTCAACATATCAACGATCTCCACCCGCTTTTGAATGTCTTTTAGCGAGACTTATCGTCCTGTTCACTACTCGCGGTAACTTGCTCACTGTGTCTAGCCTCTCTAGTCCTAGGAGGAATTTATGCGGGGTAAAGGATCCACACGGAATCTCTTAACTAACAATCCTCGAACACCATACCCCTTGCCTACAACGTCCATTTCACCCTAAACATCGGTATCCTGCTCAAGTTCGAAATCATGCCACCCACCACGGGGATCCCGAATATCCACAATCAACTCCGGCCGCGCAGGTCCCGATGCAAAACAGGATGTCTGTGCTGTCGTCTTCGGAAAAAGAAATGCGACGAAAATAGACCAACATGCTCCAGCTGCAGTCGACTAGGACTAGATTGTTCATGGCTGACGTTTAAAGAGTTTGCCTGGCGGCGGCGCATGGGGCTGTCGTCCAGCGACCCTGATGGCCTGGGTACACCCGGAGGAAAGCCCCGACCGCTTGACAATTTATCTGGTCAAACCCAGCAGGACGACTCACGCGTCAACTTTGGGCATCATCCCATCCAGAGGCAAATATCAACACCACGTATCAATTTCACCGGCCTGCCTGGACAGAAGGCGTCATGGCTTTTGCAAACTTATGTCGACAGAATCGCGCCCCGTTTCCTGAGCATCCCGAAAGGCTTCCGAAACCCATTTGTGCAGGATGTTCTTCCCATGGCCTCCGCAGATACGCTTGTGATGAATGTGGTGCTGGCTGTGGGAGGATCAACGCATGATGTCGGTCGTCCAGTTGGCCGATCAGAGGAAAGAGAAGTCCTCCAACATTATGGGCAGGCAATTAGGGAGCTGGAGTTAGGTCTGACCAAATGGGTAGCTGGAACACCAGGGGAATGGGACGCCGTCCGGTTGTTTCTCACTGTCATCCTTCTAAGTCATTATGAGGTATGTTACTTGCACAGCATTACGATATATAGAAGGACTCCCGGGATCTAGGATTCTAATGCCTGTGTTCGTAGATAATCCGAGGGAACAAGAAAGGTCATCTCTTCCATCACCTCCGCGCTGCTCGAGTATTTGCGCCCACCATTTACACCTTCAAGGATGGCCAGTGGAGCGCGCTTGTCGGCGTCTTGCTCGAGAACTACGTCTACTTTGAACTCTGCTCCGGTCTGCGTTTGGTCCCTGACCAGATTGACATCCAAGCCGCAGCCCAATGCGTCGTCCCCCAGCTCGACAGCCTACGCAAATTGAACACCTGGGGAGTGATGTTTGGCAGTACGTCGGAGATCTTCGAACTCGTACCTGACATTTGTGAGCTGGCCTTGCGTCGGAAAGAGGAACTAGCTACTGGAAAGGATTTGCACTGCGAAGAGACATTCCAGAACCTCAAGACAGCCATCACCGGTTGGAGAAGGGATGCAGATGACGACGACGGCTTCTCTACAGATGAAGCATTTTCTCAGGGCAAGATCGCCGCCGGGATCGTCTCCCAGAATGCGCTATTCCTATTCCTCATGTCTTCTTATCTGCAGGACCAGGATCAGGAGTATCTTCGGCAGATCTCGGGACCCCTGGTCGACGCGATGATTGAGGTTGCACCTATCCTGCGCAAGACGACCTTTGTAAATACTAGTTTCTGGCCAGTGATCGTGACTGCATCATATGCCACTACAGCAGCACAGCATAAGAGCATTGTGGAGTATTTCCCACTGATCATGCCGGTTGTTGCGCGCGCCTTGGAGGTCTTGCAGTGGATCTGGGATGATCCAGAAGGCGTCTTTGGCTTATCAGGGATGGCAAAGGTGATTGAATCACATAAGACAAGTTACTGCTTTGGGTGAAGCCTACTTAGTGGTGTGATGAACATACTCTGTAGTACAATTCAGAGCTTGTCTTGTTGAACAATTGGAACACTTGGGAAAGATGTTGGCATGGAGACCATCGCTCTCCTCATAGGACATCCGTGCACCAAAGCGCATGATTTTTGCTTAGAAGACACACAGTACCTTGGCGTTGAAGTCAGAATTACAATGATGATCTATGTCTTTTATCAACGTACTAGAGGGTTATTTTTTCCATGTAAGACTGGCTGTCTTTCGTCACTGCATGACTGCTACACCTTTCAGCTTAAATATATATTTCCGTAATTTTGGATTGTCCTTTCCTGGTCCTGATTATTTTGTCGGACATCAGACCTCACGGTATGACTAAGGTGATTCGTCACTCCCCCCGCAATTCGTGGCACCCATTCTCAGGGGATCCGGAAACTGCCCGTGCATCCACTCCAATATACGCTACCCAAGCACCGTTGATCCTAATCTTTGTCTCGTCGTCCAATGAGAACAGAGGATGATCAAATCGGCCTAAGGCGCTTAGATAAGCCCCAGTAGACTTTCGGACAAGCCTGGTCACCCGGGATCCGAGATACATATCGCGGTCACCGGCGCTTAGATTCCAGTGGAGACAGGCACCCGACCCACCCCCGCAAAGATGATAGATAGGGCTAGAGTAAACACCGCATTGAGCTTGTTCTTCACTGGTTATTGAAGCGGGGTGGGATCTAGATAGGGCGTTGCGGAGCGTTGCGAGGAGAAATATATCCAAGTCGTGATGACTGCTGACCCCAGGGGTAGCTGTATATACTTCGCTCCCCTGCAGGTAGAAAACGTATCGATTCTGACAGAATAGTTTCCGACAACTCCGTTCTTTCTTTCGTTTTCTTCGGCCGTCTAGAAAGTACCCGAGTCAGCCCTCTTCCACTCTTATCTCTGTTTGACGTTAAAATGGATGACACCGTTCCGAGGGCCGATTCTGTTGCGCACGAAGAGAAGGCTGAGGAGAGCGGAAACTCACGGCCGCAAGTTCATTTCAGCGTCCTCAGTGCCCTGGGAGTCCAATTCTCAGTAACAGGCGCCCCGCTGACCTTAGGAACCTACCTGTCACTTACAATTGGGGTAGGAGGCTCTCCGGCATATTTCTGGGGGTTTATACTGGTGGGATTCTTCCAAGTTGTCATTGGACTGGCCGTGTCGGAACTGGCGTCGGCCATCCCTCACTCCTCCGGTTGGCCCGCTCCGCTTCATATAGCTTTGAAGACACAAACCTAATGGAACATGCTGTTAACTAGGTCCCGCTCACTGGGTTGTTGCCCTTGCTCCTCCTCAGTATCGACGCGGACTGGGATATACCATGGGCTGGCTTTTAAACTGCGCCTGGCTCTGCATAACATCCGCCTCATGCCTATACCCGGCCCAACTGACCCTCGCCTTGGTCCAAGCCAACCATCCCGACTTCATTCCGGCGTCATATCATGTCTACCTGCTATACATGTTCTTTTCTCTGGTGTTTCTCTCTGTGAACTTGCCAATCGCCCTGAAATCCCTGGGCTACATACTCAGCGCAGCTGTGTTCTTGTTCAACGGATCGGCCATCTACTGCCTCATCACCCTGCTGATCCGGGCGACACCTAAACAGTCAGCACAGGTGGTCTTCATCGAATTTGTCAATGAGACGGGCTGGGACTCAGATGGATGGGTCTTTTTTGTCGGTCTTCTGCCAGCTGCCGCGGTCCTGGGGGCCTTGGATTCGGCCACCCACCTGACCGACGAGCTGGAGAACCCCTCGAGACAGGTCCCCCTTGTGCTCCTAGGCTCGCTAGGTCTTAGTATCACTGTGGGAATTCCCATGATTCTGGTGTATCAATTTTGCAATATCGATCCCATCAGCATGCTGGAACCCGTGGGAGGCCAGCCTCTCGTACAACTCCTTCTTAACGCTACGTCTTCGCTCCCCCTCACCAACGTGGGTATATCTCTCATCATCTTCTGCTTCTGTCTCGCTGGGGCTTCCGCACTGGTTAGTTGGTCGAGGCTATACTGGTCTTTCTCTCGAGAAGGTGCTTTGCCCTTCTCCGGGACGATGAGCAAGCTAACCTCCCGACACGGAGTCCCGCTGAACGCCTTACTGTGGAATACACTGCTGTGCGTTGCCCTGGGGACAGTCAGTATCGGTTCCACAACTGCAATGAATGCACTGTTTGGTGCGTCGGGGCTGTGCAGCACAACGTCACTGATCGTAGCGATGGGGCTGGCCTTATGGAACGGTCGTGATCGTCTTGACAATCGCCGATGGTTGAATCTGGGTCGGTGGGGTAATGCTATATTTTGGGTGGCGCTGGTATGGAGCGTGCTTATGTGTGTCGCTATATCCATGCCGCTGTATCTGCCTGTTACACCGACGACGATGAACTGGGCATCGGTAGTTTTCCTGGGCTTTGTGTTCATATCTGGGGTTTATTGGGTGTGTGTCTTTTCGAGGATGAAGCATCCGCAGTCTACTAATATTGTTACTCTTGAGGATACCGGCAAGGCACGAGGTGATAGTGCCAATGCGCATTTCTACTAAGAATTTATCTTGCTGCATTTAGTTGTGTGTTACGGTTGGTGTGTAGGTGAATTATTGGCTTAGACTGGTTTTCGGTTCTTGTACACTAGTCGACCTCTACGTACGCTTAGCTTCCTGGAAGTTTGTCCCCTAGGGCGACCACTATATCTATAAAAATCGTAATTCATTTATGTATAAAACTAATGCTATAATTCAACTCTAAGGAACCTCAGTTTGTATGGGGATTTGGGGTTGCATTGAGCCGTCGCTATTCCTAACACAGGGATTCTCAAGTACTGGAAATGTGTAAATCAGATAGCCCGTTCTCTTTATGCCAAGTCTCAAGAACACCTATAAAGTCGAGTATTCCCCTGCCCCAAGAAAGTGTCTTTGCGAGTCTAAGCTTGTCTTCCGGTGTCTGGGCTTGCATGCGGGCTCCCTCGAGAGTGGCATAGCTGGGTGTACAGCCGGGAATAGCAGCGTATGCAAAGGCGTTCCCAGCAACAGCCAATGCCCAGGCCTCCTCGGCTTTCAAAGTTGGCTCGATAACCAGCTTCTCGGTCAAGCCGATTTTTTTCTGCGCGGCCGCAATAATCTTTGCTGCGTGAGAGCCCAGAACATCCATGGTGTGGACGACATTGATCGTCGAGCCCGCCTGTGTAAAGCCAGTGAGGAAGAGATTGGGAAAGCCGTTGGTGAGCGCACCATGGAGAGTCCCTGCACCATTCTTCCATTTGTCGTCTAGAGATTCCCCGCCGCGGCCTCGGACATCGATTCGGGCTCGATACGATGGCCCTCCCGCGGTGAAGGATTCAAATCCAGTGCCGAGGATCACCATATCGACGTCGTATTCCTGCCCGTTGAAGCGGACCCCCGTTGACGAAAATCCGTCGATCCCCTTGCCTACTGTATCAACGAGCTGGACGTTCGGCTGGTTGAAGGCATGTAGATAATCATCATGGAAACAAGGCCGCTTACACCAGCCCGGATACCACGGCTTTAGGCCTTCTGCTGTAGCCGGGTCCTTCACAATGGCATCAACTCGCTGCCGAATGCCTTCCTGACGCGGCATATCCAGATTGTGCAGCAGCTTGACATACTCGGCAACATTCAACTCGGTCACGTTAGCTACCGCCGGTCCACCAAGTAATGCGGAGTTGGACGGGAAATGCGTCCATCCGTCATTGACTAGGTTCTTCGTCGGCAGATCAGGAACGCGCGAAGCGAATGCGGCCATGTTCTCTCGGCGCTCCTGCTGCCATGCTTTTCTATTCTGGGTCACATTCTGACGCCATTCCTCCGGGTCAATTCTCTTCTGGCCCCGTGTGTCCACCGCTGACGGTGTGCGTTGGAAAACGTACAGCTGGCCAGCCCATTTCGCCAGCTCTGGCACAACCTGGATGCCCGTAGCTCCGGTGCCGATAAATGCGACTTTCTTCCCGCGCAACAGATTCAGTGTCGGGTCCGTCGGTGACCCACCAGTATAGTCGTAGTCCCAGCGGGAGGTATGGAAGATGTGTCCGGCGTAGATGTCTAGACCAGCGAGGCGCGGTAGCTTGGGTCGATTCAGGATGCCAGATGCGAGGATGACAAAGTCCGAGCATATCACGTATGTCTCCTCCGTTTTCGTGACGGGGTGTTTCCGGAAGACCTTCGTCGTCCATTCGGAGCGGGCCTCGTTCCAGACAGTTTCTTGAATTGTGCTACCGAAGAGCGGACGATGCTGAAAGTGAAACTGCTCGGCCACCAGTTCGGCATACTGTCTCAGCTCCGGACCGTAGGAGTACCGATGTGACGGGATAAAGCCGGTCTCGTCCAGCAAGGGCAGATAGCAAGAGCTCTCCACATCGCACATTAGACCCGGGTATCGGTTCCAGTACCATGTACCGCCAAATCCCCAGGCTGAGTCCACAAAGACAAAATCGTCGGCCTTAAAACCTGCCGTTTGGATGAGTCGGACAGCGTAAAGAAGTGCCCCGAATCCAGCGCCCGTGATCAACACCTTTGAATGACCGCCGTTGGGGACTGGAGCGGGCTGTGAGAGGTAGGGGTTCTCGCGCTGCTTCTCCTCGCCGCGCACCCAGGGGTCTTCGGCAAAGTGCTTGAATTTGTCGCTGAGGGCGATGTCAGCGTATTGTGCAACCCCATCGGCACGCAGGCGCTTCTGTGCTTCAGCGGCATATTTTTCAAGTGTAGCCGTGAAGTCGGCTTCGGAGATAGAAATTGAACCCATGGTGGGGGGATGGCTATTTGATATGTTGGGAAGAATTGTCTCTTAGCGATGACATTCGGAAATCTCGGCCTACTGTCCTATATATACTTGCTCTCCGACCAAATACGCCTTCTACTCCTCTATCTAGGCACGTTACACCCCGTGGGTAAAGCTGCATGCTATCTAGGCACTGTATACCCTGAGCCAGCGGACGATCTAAGCGCCGTGGGGTGAGAGATGGAGCCACCATCATGGCATGCTCCCACTAATCTTACTTCTTACCTAGGTTAACGTCCGAGAAGAGCCTGAACGGGTTGTCCTCGGTTGAAGGGCCCTTTTCGTCCGAGATCAATGTCCATCTGAAGATTGTCTTGACAGGAAGACCCCTCCTCACCTTATCTAAGCGCCCGTTTCGAATCTGATGCCGATAAGCGTACCTCACATTAAGCCTGTCCCTGGTGTCAACAAATGAGAGATCATCCCGTCTTTTACCGATGGAAAATCCTCGGTCCGAATCGTATTGTTTTTGCTTACAAACTTGTCCACACAAATTGTCAATCCGGACAGCTGTTCATTTTAGTTAGAGAATTCATACATTACCCTGTACGCTCGTATACCATTGATTTCTGTCACCTGGCAATGTCATGTTAGAGACTCTATGTCATGGGAATAAGGGGAATCATGCTATAGTCTATCTATTGACCCCTACCACAAGTTATTATTCATAGATCTAATAAATAGTTTCATGTCTACAGATGAAGCACTGGTAAGTTGCTACTAAGAAGAGGATCGATTGGCATTATCAGCTAGTATCCAGGGCCATTCCTTGGCAATATCTACAACTTCGCCTCACTCAAAGCTTGGATAACTTCTTTTGCTCCACGATCACCAGAACTCACGGCCCCATCCATGTATCCTTTCCATTCATACGCAGTCTCGGTGCCGACAAAGTGTACCTTGCCGTGGGTGACCCGGAGGGCATGCTCATGAAGGGTAGTAATCCCCGGCGGTGAAACCGGGACGGTACACACCCGTGACCACAGATCTTTACTCCACGTGCGTTGAACCACGGCAATAGGATCTATTATATCTGTGTACGGACCAAAGACTCGTTTGATATGCGCCAAGATGGCTTTGGTGCGCTCTGCCCTGGGATACTTACCCAGCCGGCGTCCAAAATCTCCATTGGCAAAGCAGGTCAACGAATATTGACCCTTTTGATAGTTGCTTGTGTCTCTAGTGGTTGATACAGGTCCGGTGAAAGACGTAAAAGCACCGGAAAGACCAGCCTTGCGCCACCATGTCTCTGAGTAGATTATGATGGTTTTGAAGGAACAAGACTGGACGACGTGTTTTGCGATTTCGAGCTTCGAGGGGGGCAGGGGAGGGTCGAAGGTGATGCTCTTGTAGAGGATTGTTTGCACCGAGAAAATGACTCGTTTACAGGAGAAGTCACCGCGCGCCGAAGACACCAGCGCTCCTGATGGTAACTGCGAAATCCTGAAAACGGGCGACTTGAGCACGACGGTGTTTGGCTGAAGCAAGTCCACCAGGCCGAGAGACACAGACTGAGAGCCTGTGGATGTTCTAATAAGCATACGCATAAAGGAGAGGTTGATGCTGTGACGTTCGACATCATACTCACCTGCAAGGAAACGGAGATATTGGGCTCCATGCTTGAAGTCGGACCGCATGCGAGCTGGCCCTCCTCCACTCTTCATGTAGTTTAAGAAGAACAACGCACTGATTTCCGACGCCTCAATACCCATCATGGCTCTCGTCCATAGGTTAACGACAGCTAATGCTGTCTCGGAGGACGTTTTCGTCTTCGCCCATTCAAGTAGAGTCAGTTTGTCGAGCCCTTCTCCGGTTCCAACTGGGTCACGGATATCCAGTTTATGGCAGGCATTCTCGGTCTCCTCGATAATCAACCGAATTGCCTCTACCGCACCGGGCTCAGCCAGAGACTGAAAATTCAGATTAGCTACCCAAGGTACATAAGGCGCAAAAGGGGAGGAGAGCAAACATCAGGCATGAGACCATAACCAGCTCTGCGGAGACCACCATTCAAGTCTTCGAAGATGGCGTCTCCATCCGACCTCTGGACCACAAGCTCCAAGTTCAACGTTTGAGCAAGCTTGTAGATCTCACTCTGGTTTGTGTCGTTGATCCACGCTCCTCCCAGATCTACCTTTCTCCCATCGCCCAGCGGATCAACCGAGTAGGTCTTGCCTCCGACACGGTCTCTGGCCTCAACAACCACGCAGGAGAAGCCAGCTTTTTGCACCTCCCATGCGGCCTTCAATCCACTCAGACCTGCTCCTACCACGACGACGTCGACCTCCCGCAGCGGCTCCTGTGGCACCGCGGCATACGCCTCGATTTCAAACTTCGTCTGCGGCGATGCGAGCGCCGGCACCGGTACCAGGGTCGTTGCAGGCCGATGCCCCTGCAAGAAGGCTTCAAGGTGTTTCGAATGTATTTTGTTCCTAGGATCATAATCAACCATGTAGTATACCAGCTTGTACACGTCCCTGACGGTGGCACCGGCAGCCTCCAGAGCACGGCTGAGGTTTTCCATTGCCAAGGCTATTTGCTCGTTCATGTCTTCGGGGAAGAGCTTGTTTTCATCGCATCCCACCTGCCCAGCTGTGGCAATCATACGACATGGGCCGGTAGTGGAAATAACGTGGGAGTAATATGGTGGCGGTTCGTAGAGCTCCGGGGGGTTGACATGATGCAAACTCGGGACGGACTTTGAGTAGGGCGACATGTTGAGAAGCAGCTAGTTGTTACTGTACAGCTCATATACAATCAAAAGGCACACAGCTTTATAATGACCCTATTCTCATGATATATTACCCCCATTGTCAGTAGCCCAACACTAGGGTGTTGACTTCATATCCCAGCGCTTAGATAAAGTTTCCGACTACCTCTAGCGAGGCCATATATTTCTGTTACATGCCTCGGCTTCTTTGATATGGATATTGGGTAGCTCTGCATATCCCCGCAATTTCCCGCGGTGCGATATGTCATCGGAATGGTCCAGAGCACTTTTGAGATCGCAGTGCGTAGATCCTGCCATCCTTCTGGCTGGGCGGATGTCAGGGTATGGATCAAGGCCAGAATATTGTAATCCGAAGTAACGCGATGAGGTGTTACCCAGGGTTGTGAACTGCACCGACAGAGCTATCTCTCGTCTTATTTACTCAAAATTACAGGTTAGTTGCCCTACACCTATTTGCGATTTTGCCATAACCGTCGTCGGTGCAAGGACTTGTTCTTTCATATTACTATGACCCATGAATTACCGAAATCGCTGCAGTACACGAACACCAATCAGGATGTAGATCTTGGTCCATCTAACTTGAACCCTCCCACCTGGAGTCTCTGGAACACCCCATTTGGATCATACTTGGTCGCCACTTCCTTTAAAAACGCCTTGTTCTTCTCACCAAAGCTAGCAATCACATCCTGTCTCTGGTGAGCATAATTCATATACCTGAAAGATTGAAACTTCCCATGCTCTCGCGATAAATCTTCGATTGCTGCACCCGACCTCCCTAAGACCAACGCTACTTCTTCGTCATCGGCCTCGTCTGTCCACGTACTCGTAAGAAGAATGTTGGTAAGCAGCTCGTTAGGGCCCTCCAAGCCATAAACATTCCCATAACCTTCACTAGCACCTTTATTCCTCATCGCCGGGGTGATATGATTGACATCAAAGGCGAATCGAAGTCGCTTGGCATATGGCTCCGTAATTTGCGCCCAGGCTGTGTATGCAGACTTAAGCAAATCAATATCATAAGCCATACAGACTGTCCAGTACGCATTTCTCTTCCCTCGGCTGTCTGTGACCTTTTGCATTTCCGCGGCTAGATTGCTGTAGTCGGCCAGGCGGAGGGTATTATCGACGCTCGGGATACGGCAGATCTCATCGTAGATAGGCGGGTGAGCAAGTGGTTCAGGATATCCCATGAAGTGAACAGCGATCATCACGCCGTCGCGGTGGAAAAAGTCAACGATCATATGCGCTTTCCCGTTGGCGGGGAGGCTCCGGGTGTAGTTGTCGTATGCTGTGAAGACAGCGTCGAAATGGTCTTCCTGTACGGCGTAGTAGCCCCCCCCCACATTCCCTGGTACGGGTGGAGCTTCAGGGTCAAATTGGTCACGATGCCGTAGTTGTGTGCGCCGCCTCCATGGAGGGCTCGGTTGAGGTCTGGATGGGAGTTCTTGTCGACGGTGATCTGCTGCCCGTTGGCCAGCACAATGTCGACGGCAAGAAGATGGTCGATTCCCCAGCCTTCCTGAGCGGATAGGTACGAGATACCTCCTAGGAGATGATGAGCGGTTTGTTATACTTCATGCATCCATCTGTAGTCTGCGACTTCCTACCGCCAAATATAAAGCCAGGGACCCCGACTCCATAGTCCCGTCCTCCCACTGCAATGACGCCCTGTGGCTCCAGAACCTTGAACAAATCGCCCCATCGCACCCCGGGCCCGACCCGGACGCTTAATTTGTCCTCCGCAAGTGCAATGTGGTTGAGATTGGCGAGGTCGAACTGAAATCCAGCGTTGACGGTGCAGCCGTCGGGATTTGATGAATGACCACCCCCTTTGATTGCAAACGAACAGTCTCGCTTTACAACCTCGAGGATGGCCATGGCAACCTGGTGAGCCTCTACCGGCTGAAAAAAACATTCTGGGGTCTTTTGTCTCTGAACTTGGTTCCAGAAGGACTTCTGGGCCTCTTTGAATGCAGGCGACGAGGGATCGATCAACTGTGTAGGGCAGAGTTCTGCGACTGCGTCTCGCTGGGATGTTGTTTAGTTATTTCGTTCTTATTAATCACCTAGCGGTAGAAGAATAGATGCCTTACCAACGCAGAAAGAGCATTGTGGGTGAATTCAGTCGCCATAATAGCTTTTCAAATGGCAGTGGTATTTCTAATGGTTACTGTTGTCCTACACTTCCTACGGGGCCCCCAGTCTGTAATAAAGACATCGCCCGAATATAGTCGACGCAGATAAAATGCGCGATAATGGCATCTGTCTTGGCGTTATGACCCACTCTGCCAATCCTACAGGATTGCCATCCGGTTCTGCGGGCGCTGCGTCAGACTCCTATCTAAGCGCCATCGACCCCCACCGGCAATGATGTCCGTCTCAGGCGCTGCTAGGCATGTAGGTATCTTAGCGCCACATTTTCCTTCCCCCGCAATCGATACGAGATGGGGAACATGCAACATGTGCTTTCCTGTCGTTCTTGTGGATATTTTTGTTTGGCCCAGATACAAAGAGCGTGTTATAGAAGAGATGTGAATTCCACCCTACGACAACACTTCCATCTGGTCAAAACCCAATTAGGTGAGTCGGTCACTTCGTCAACACTCAATCCCCATGTCAAAGTCAACATAATCTCAATACTCCTACTAATCTTTCCCAGCGCTGTTCCACCCTCTGCCATGACTAGCTTCGATGAACCTATCCCCAATAAAGGGAGGTCTGCAGTTCGTCCATCGGGCCCTGGCGTATGCCACCAACCAACCAAAAAATTACTAATCGCTACCACAGGTTGACCTACTGAGCGCAATTCGGCCACAATGTACCCTTCTCCGCGGCACGCCTGAATATGAAAACGCGCGCAAAGGATACTGGGCGGCCGAGCAGGCTCGCTGTACCCCATACTGCATCTTCCAACCCACCAATTCAGAGGATGTAGCGCAGGCAGTCCACGTACTCCGGGAGACTGGGTGTCCATTTGGAATCAAGAGCGGCGGACACGGCCGATGTGAGGGGGAGTCCTCGATCACTGCTGGTGTTCTCATTGACTTGAAGCCATTGGATGATATTAGGCTCTCCGACGACAAGACGTCGTGTCGGGTCGGTCCAGGAAATACCTGGGCGAATGTTTATGGGACGCTCAACCCGCAGGGACTGACGGTTATTGGGGGTCGGGCATCCACGGTAGGAGTAGGTGGGTTTTGCGTTTCTGGTGAGTCTGCGTCTCTACCGAAAGAACATCGGTGTCATGCGACGGAGCTTCTCTAACGCGTTTCTCGTATCATGACAATCCCTAGGTGGCATCTCATTCTTCTCCAATCGCCACGGCTGGGCCCTCGACAACATCCACTCATTCGAGGTCGTCCTTGCGGACAGTCGCATCGTTACCGCCAGTCCGTCATCAAATCCAGACCTCTACAAAGCCCTGCGCGGCGGCGGCGCCAACTTCGGCATCGTCACCAGCTTCGACCTGATGGTACATCCATACCAGGGCATGTGGGGTGGCGGCATTAACTGGGCCTGGGAGCATGGGGACGCCATCATCGACGCCTTTATCGAATACGGCAATGACAATCTACACAATGTCGACTCCTCTTTGCTGATAGGGGTGATCAACTACGACGGAACTTGGGTCTGGCACGCGGACATCGAGCATCTCCTGCCTACCTCGGCGCACAAAAACCCCACACTGAAACGCCTGCTCGACATTCCTGCCGTCAGCGACTTTACAGGGCCGACGAGCCAGATTCAACGCACAGACGGTATTCTCGACCACTACCCTCCCGGCTGCTACAACGGGTACTGGACCTTCTGTACGAAGGTGGACAAACGACTCATCAAGGTCTTCATTGAGACCTGGCGGGACGAGATCGATCCCATCCTCCACATCGAAGGAATCGAGAAGTCGGCGCTGGCGGATATCAACTTTGTCTCTGGGAACATCATCAATGCCATGCGGAGGAATGGCGGAAATGCGCTTGGGGTCGTCGAACAGGGTCCCTTCCTGGTCTTCCTTATGGAGCCGTTCTGGATTAAGGAAGCCGATAGTCCGACAGTGTGGAAGGCGATGGAGACCACAGCGACGAGAACGCAAAACGAGGCGAAACGCCTGGGTCTGCATCACGAGTACATTTACTTGAATTATGCGAATCCATTCCAGGATGTGTATGATGGGTATGGGGAGAAGGCGAAACGCTTCCTGATAGAAGTCAGCAGGAAGTATGACCCCGAGGGGTTCTTCCAGGCACAGCGTGGTACGGGTTGGGATCTTCGTGGGCCGTTGGTGCCGTCGTCGAGGATCTAAGGCCTACTACACGTGCAGTTTATCAATGTTCCGGACAGTCTTCGCTTAGGATATACCGGAAGGCTACATTTACCTGTTTCCTTCCGTTATGATTTGCATTTTCGCTTATTTAAACCCTCTGTTTTAAAAGTCACGTTACTATCACTACCCAAACAACATACTAGAGCCCCGACTGTGGCTTCTGACTGATCCACAACGACTTGGCCGTGGCCCGTACCTTGCCATCCCCCGTAAACAGCTTAGCATCCAGACGCCACTTCCGACCCTCTCTCTCCGGCGCAACCATGCCTTGATAATTAAAATGCAAGATGGTGGCACCGGCGCCAGATAAGAAACATCCAGCCGAGCAGTATAAAGGGCCGTTTTCGCATCAGAGAAAGCAGCTCGGCATTGCTCAGCGCAGCAGCTCAGACCCTCGTCGAATAACGAAGCAAGGACACCTCCATGAATGTATCCTCAAATCCGTTCAACCAGTCGCCAGCTTTCACAAGCTGGATAAAGGGCGGGTCGCCGCGCATCTCCTCGTCCATTTTCGCGATTTGCTCTAAGACGGTGGGATGTCGTTTTAATCCAAAGATCGCGCGGTGCACTAGCCCCATTGCGTGCTCAACGGTGTCAAGGGTGTTGATAGTGCGACTGAAGAACGAGTTTGCCGTCCTGTTGGGGGCTGGGAATTGAGCAGTGAGGGGGACCGGCTGGTAGAAGCCGGAGCTCAGGTACCGCTTGACGCACGGAGATTCGGCAAAGAAGGCCTCACTCGGCATGGGGATGGAAAATTTCATAAGAGCTTGTGTGTAGCCTTCGTCGCTGTATTGCTTGTTCATGCTGGTTGAACAAGTCGTTGGGTAACATGAAGTGCCGGTGTGCAGTCTCGGGTGTGACCTGAGATTCAACATCTGAAAGATCAAGGGCTGAATGGACTTAAGTACCTTCCCTGGTATGGGCGGAGGTGGCTTACTGCCAAGGTATCGTACACCCTCGGTTGAATTATCGCATTAATTCACGCTGCTCCAGGCATATGGCAGGTCTAGTTTTTTGCCCAGCACGGCAGAACATTCATGGTGGCCGATTATGAAAGTTCAGTCAACTTCATTTGCGAGGTTGTACTCTGTTGTTCAATTTTCTATGTATCTTTTGCGTCGTTGCATATAGAACCTTGCTCTGGGCCTCCTTCACTAACACACCACCGGACACAGGCATATTAGGCGATAAGTATAACAATGCCTTCAGGACAGTTTCCTATATACATTCTCTCTCCATATTCGATTTGAGATACTTAAACCTGCTCCGCTTGAAAGTTTTTGAACCTAATAAAGTAATAGATAGCGCTGATCACCATGATTCCAACAAAGATGACGCTTGCGTAATTCATCGACTGCGCTGTCACCGGAATGTACAAGGGAATGAAATCCAGATACACATCCAGACAATCCAAAGAATCGCAATTGCATCCACTGCCACACCATATTTACCCAGGTTCAACCATCTGTCTCTCGGAAGTGAGTCTCTACCTCGCCACAGGAGCAACGCCAGGGCAATACCGAAGGAAGACTTGCCGCATAAACTGGCACCCCCGAGTAAGGCGTTCATGGCGGTTGTGGAACCCAGCTGCACAGCGCCCAGCGCGATAATGAGGAGAAGGTTTATATATAACGCGTTGATGGGTAGATCATCCGATGAAGAGAGTTTGGCTGAAAATTGAGAAAATGGAAATCCTCTATCCCGGGAGAAGGACCAGTAGAGGCGATTCCAGCTCGTTAGAGCAGCCCAGCCCGCGATTGTAAAACACATTATAAGAAATGTGGAGGCGAGAATACTGAGAGCTTTAGAGTCGTATGCGTCGAAGAAAAGCTGGATGATGGGCTGTCCGCCGACTGGGTCAAGCAGGCCTTCCGGATTCGTGTTGCAGAAAAGATATATAATGATAGACGGAATTCCGGTAAAGAAACTCAGTAGGGCTGAGCTAATCATGACCATAGGGATTTGCTTGGAAGGACGATCTACCTCATCTGTGAGATGGAGGGCAGAATCCAGGCCACCGACACTGGCAGCACCCGGAAGGATGCTCAAGAAGAATACAACGACATCGGAATCCCACCCCGTTTTGTTGACAACATCGACAAACACGGTCCGGGCGGATTGCTTCGGGTGGGCGCGGACGAGCAACGAGATGAAGATAAACAATGCGGAGGCATTGATAATGAAGACCGACGCCGATAGGGACCAGGATATGACTTTGAACACACGAGGCAGATTGACGAGAAAGCCATTGGTAGCAAAGGCACAGTAAATCAGGTATGTATGCCAGACTTTCGGGTTATAGCTAGGCTCAGCTGCCTCAACAAGAGCCATGGTTAGCTGTGCCAGGAACAGGAATGATGCACAACTGATAAAAAACCAGCATGCATTCGTGAGCCATCCCACGACATATCCTAATGGCCGTGATAGAGCCTTCGGCCCCAAAACGACAACCCAATAAGCCGGGCCTGGGCGAGTAGCAGTGAGTATTCGTATCCTATCCTTGCTTTCAGGCATAACTTACCAGATGAGTGTGGGAGGCCAGATGCCATCTCAGCCAAAGCAACACATAATACGATCTGACCAAGCCCCGCGAAGATGAACTCATAGAGGAAAAATGGAGGACCGCCAGTCCCAATACTCAGCGAAAGATAAGTCCCAATAGCCAGCGGGGTCATGGATATCGAGAAGTTCATACCCAGACATCCCAGGAAATTGAAATGCGGTTTAGCATTGACCATATCATCGTGGGTCCCAGATGTTGTTGTTTCATGGGTGTTAGAAGCTGTGATCCCCATCTCAGTACTTTGTGCAAGAGAGGCCATATTTTGTTTTATTTTTTCGCTTTGACTAAATGAGCTGCTGCATACGGTCAGCTAGCAATTCTATATAGGCCTATCATCTTATATAGCCTTTCCATCCGGTATTAGGGGATGAATGTCATGTACGATAACTCGATGGCCGAAAAGGGTTCGATACGCCGTAACGTTGAATCAATCCATAGAGCTACAGGGGTAGCCGTGAAATCAGCACAGCCAATCCATCGATTGCGCACCGGATCTACCCCAGGTGACTGGCATCTTTGCGGGGTTCGCTATCAGCAGCACAGGTTCTCCTTGACGAGGACGATAAACTTGAGCAAACCCCATGTACTATCGTTATGCTATTGGATAATGAGAGACTATCTAAGCGCCTTAGGAGTGGCCCGGAGCAAAGGAGGTTTCGGAAACGAGCACGGATCATGATGTTGTGACTCTCCTGTAATAAGGATTGTCCACGGGATTAGTCGCCACGCTCAACAAAAATCAGATAGATACATATGAAGCCCGGGTATCCTTTTGAAAAAAAAGATGTTGACCACCTCCACTACCCCAGACGTATATCAGTGTGGGTCCTTGGAACGATCAAGTGCACAGCAAATACACTTATAGCTCAGATACAGCCTCATGCGTTGGAGAGGGTAGGACTTCTCATCCCAAAGAGGCAGTTTAGTCGATGAAAGATAGTCGCATAATGTTCCGTATAACGTATTAAGTATCATCTACCTCGTGGTGGCGCTTACTGACAACTAGGCGACAGGTGGATTGATTCGCTTGTGTCAACAAATACGAGATCATCCCGTCGTTTACCGATGGAAAATCCTCGGTCCGAATTGTATTGTTTTTGCTTACAAATCTGTCCACACAAATTCAAGGTTGTCAACCGGACAGCTGTTCATTTTAGTTAGTTAGAGAATTCATACATTGTGATTTTACGCTGTATACATTGATTTCTATCAGCTTGTAATATTGAAAATTCGATGCTCGCATGCCAAGCCGATCTCGGGGTCCTCGGGAACCGCCTCCAGGTGGCGACACTAAGTTATCAGTAGTTACCTAGGTACAGTAGACTGCCTTTATCTAAGCGCTCTTGAATCTAATCGGGTTATCCATCCAATAAGGAGGGAGGGACCGGCAAAAGCTGGCGACGGCGTAATCCTTGGACGAAACCCATGCTATCAGAAACTACCACATGCATTCTTTGCTGTCATCTCATATCGCCCCCGGTGGCCTTTAGCAGAGGAAATACGGGCGTTCGAGTGTAGGTTAGCTTTGCTCTCGGGCAAGACTCCAGTCCCTGAAGCCAACCTTGTAAGCAACCGCCACGGATATCCTGTGTAGAAATTCTCTGCACCTCTGCATTCTCACTATAATAGTTTTACTTAAATGACCGTAAGCTTGGGTCTCAAGAATAGTAAACCGTCAATATTACGACGAGTGTGCTCCATCTACATTCTTGCTGCAATGGATGAACCTCCATCGAGTGAAATCTTAGCTCCATTAACAAACGATCCGCCCCGGCTACCCAAGAACAAACATGCCCCCGCAATATCCTGTGGTGTTCCCGTTCTCTTCAAAGGAACTGACTGGGTGATTTCTGTTTCGGATTTATCGATCGTCGCCGCCATCATATTGGTGCGGAACGGCCCACACCCCACCGTATTCGACCTGTAATCTGTGTTCAGCCGAGTTCGATAGAGAGCTTGTGGCACGAAGCACAAGGAAGAGGAATTCAGACGCATACGTGATTCCGCGGGCGTCCTAGGTGGTTTGCTAAAGCCCGGCTCAGGTGGTGCAATCCTGCCTTGCTGGCGCTGTAGGCGAATGTCTCTCGGGCAGGCACCGGAAGCCCATTGATGCTTCCGATGTTTATAATGCGGGCAGGGTCACTGGCTGTGGTGGCTCGTTCGAGTAACGGTGTCAGGAGCTGGGTGATGGTGAACACGCGGTGGACATTGAGGGTCAGGAGTTTTGTCCATGCAGCGGATGGGTATTCGTCGTATGGTGCACCCCATGTCGCCCCAGAATTATTGACGAGAATATGCAGCTCTGGAAAAGCAGCTTTAAGAATGGTATTCATGGAGAGAATAGGGGACCATAAATGAAAGGACTTAGAATAATAGACAACGAGAAGGGGAAATATGCGTCTTTCTCGAGTGGATAGCTCCTCTGCTAATCTCTTGCAATCTCCCTCGTGGGAAAAGTCGGCCGCGCTGTAATAACCGGTGCCTTTCTGTAGGGAGTTGAGATCCTTTACAGCTTTGACGCAGGTGTTTGCATCTCTTCCAGAAATGTAGACTGTCGCATCATTGGTGATGAATGCCTCTGAAATCATACGACCTATTCCTTTCGCACCCACAGTGACGAGGACCACTTTCCCCTAGATGCAGCAATGCATTAATGACACCTCGGCAATTGGAGATAAGAAGTGAAGGAGGTTTTTTGCACCTTAACATCAAACAACTTCTGAGCATCCATGTTTATTTCAGGTGACTTATTTGTGAGTTTGTATGATGGAAGTAACTGGGGGAAGCCTTGATATTTCTCTGAATGCATACGCTAGAGGTAATTATCCAAACAGTGGCTCCCCGTGGCTTGGCATCAGAGCTAGATACTCCATACAGCGCCTAGATCTTACCGCGGCCGATTAATTCAGGGGAACTCCGCCCCTTCGCTATACCGACTTCTACGACAGGCTATGACTCGGCCGATATGGCTCAACCCCGCAGTCTGTTGACAGTCTGTCTCATTGATATTTCTGGGCTTATCTTCTCCCTATGGTCATATCGATATGAAACAGCAATTTCGAGGTCGCCCTACCCACAAGTGTCTGTGCATCAAATGAATTAGTGATCAAGGTGCTTAACATGGCCACCTTCACTAGTCTCTTCAACAACATCACCATGACATCTCATGAGCGAGAGCTACTGACCGAGCTTATGGGCGAACGTGAAATTTATCCCGACGACTCACTTCACCTACCAAAGGATGCGCCTATGAAAAGGAACACGTCCTGTGCCGTCCATCATCACCCATCAATAGAAATGCCGAAATCTGCACCAAAACATGTCCCTAACTGCTGGAAAGTCGAGAATTTCGACTCTCTTGCCGAATCCTTCCGCATCGTGGCGACTGATATAGGTAAGTGGTATTCAAGCACACTCACTATCAGGGCATTTTGCTTATGGTTGGCTTGTGTATAGTAGCTCAGCCTGATTCCAAGTGTATCATGGTCTCATGTGGTGCGAGTGAGGAACTAGTCGTTAAGGAACAGAAGATATAGCACATTCTTATTCTTTCCCTTCTATATGCCGTGCTCTTGAGGCCTTTCTTTTTGTATCAACTGGGATACCTTTGACCGCGAAAGTTCTCTTGTGTCATGGTAAAGATACTGCTAGCTTTCTACCTTACGATAATGACGAAAATTATTGTGTACTCTTGGACCTTACTTAAATCGATAAAAGGCATGGATTCATAATGATACGTTGGCACGAGTTAGTCCCTATTGATTATCTGTTATAAAACTTTTCTAATTCTGACAGAAGATTAGTTCAGGCTATGGTCGCCATTCAAAAAGAAGCGGAAATATATATAACAATGTGAAGGTCGGAGTGATTTCCAGTTAGTTTGAATTCTAAACCATAATAAACCCAGTGTATGAAGCCCTTATCATCTACTGTGTGCAGTCTTGATTTGAAAATGGCAAACGACGCTGTGCCATCCACATGCCGTCGTTCATCGGCTTCACTAGCATTCGTTGCTGGGATACAGGCGAATCCCTGTTCTGAGACATCAATAGAGTCTAGATGAAAGGTGGAGACCGATACGACCTATGCCTGCTTGGCGGACAAAGTTAAGCCCGTGATATCGAATTGCTGACACATATTCGTACTCTTGACGGCAATACTCCGGAGTACTCTGACCCCCGGATATGAACAGGAACCTGGGATATGGTAGGGATCGTGTATCGCAGTAGTTTTCTTATTAGATCAGATATATTCTTGGGCTGAGAGACCATTTCATTTAAGTGCCAAGTGGCTACAGTCTTGAAACTCCGCATCTGGGAAACATGTATCCTCAGTTCGGGCGCTTGGATTGCATCTTTGCGGGGCGAACCCCACCCTTCGAATTGATCCAGACACCTCCAGATATGCACCAAGGCTAATTCTTCTACCCATACGCGAAGTCAAGAGAGTGAAACCAGGCCGGCATATTCAATACGCTACCATGTACTTGGACATTATAGCTTTAATTTATCATAAGTTACGCGATGTTTTGCTACCTGACTTGTCAAACACGCGGTCTATGCCAAACAGGCAAGGCAATGAATTACCTAAATCTTGGGGAGGACTTGCAAGGTGGACTCATGGATAAACCATTGGACTTCTTTTATTGTCCCGAAAAAAAGAAATCCGCTAAAATCCCCACACTGCAGTATTCTTGTCTATCATTGACAGAAGAAATGAAGACCATGTGGCCCCTTGAGAACACAACGGCAGACTATGAGATTCTGCTTTTGTGTGATCAGGGTAGCCTGACGTAGTCCTGAGTACTATTTGAGTGCTGTGCTTCGTTGAGACCCGCCGGTAGAAATCTGTCTATATGTAAACTTGTGTGCTGGATAAATCCGAATTTGATTCGTACTTTTCAATTCTAATTGTTATCTAAGCGCTCCGTACTCTAGAAAATGGCTAGTCAGTTAAAGTGACGAGATTTTACCTAAGCGCTGTATATTCCCGAGGTCTAGAAAAGAGCTAATTAGACTTACCTGATCCCTATCTAAGCGCCGACAACAAATGTTAAATAACGTGAGAACTGAGAGTGTCTGCCGCTCCACAACAAGGGTAGATCTTATAATGAGGCAGTAAACCTGCCAGGCTTGGAATATCCTTTCGCTTACCCTTTACCTGCTGACCTCTACTGTCGTCCTTCAATTTGTACATCATTCAAGATGACCTTTTCGACCCACACAAATTCCAGCAGGGCTTCCAACCTCCTGGCAAACCTGATACAGCAATATGTTGCTGCGAACCCCAGATCTGCCAGCGAGAATGAACGTGCGTGTAGAGTCATGCCCGCGGGCAACACGCGCGCTGTCTTCGTGTACCAGCCATTTCCACTGGTAATGGTGGCTGGAAGCGGCTGCTACTTGACGTCCCTTGATGGCATTGTATACCTCGACTTTGTTTCAGAGTATTTCGCCGGTATGTTCGGTCATTCGCATCCCGCCATAAAGCATGCCCTTGAAGAAGCCACCACTATGGGGTTCAATCTCGGGGCTCCAAATAGCAAAGAGATTGAACTTGCGGAGTCTATTACGTCTCGCTTCCCCAGTATGGACATGGTGCAGTTCTGTACTTCAGGAACGGAAGCCAATACGTTGGCCATCGCAGTGGGGTTGAATTACTCAAAGCGAAAGAAGGTAAGCGTATCGCAGACGCACTTCTGGGGATGAAGAACTTGGATCAATCTGATCCGGTATCAAGGTCCTTGTGTTCGAAAACGGTTATCATGGAAATACTCTGTCCTTCAAAGCTCCCAATGCACTACGGCTCCCTCATGAGTTTGTCCTTGCCCCATACGATGATATCGCGGGAACACGGAAAATCCTCCAGCCAGACGTCGGCGTTATTATCGTGGAGCCTATGCAGGGCGCAGGAGGCATGGTGCCCGCAAGTTATGACTTCCTACTTTTCTTGCGTAAGCAAGCCACCAAGTACGGCGCGGTCCTCATTTTCGACGAAGTGGTCACGGCCCGCACACACTACCACGGTCTGCAGGGATACCACAATATAATTCCTGACATGACTACCATTGGCAAATTTTACGGCGGCGGATTGCCCTTCGGCGCATATGGAGGTCGCCGAAAGATTATGAATACCCTTGATTCGCGGTCCATCAATAGCCTACATCATTCAGGAACATGGCACAATAACATCTTCACCATGTCTGCTGGTCTTGCAGCCGTGAACTTGCTTTCTACTGAGAACATTGACAAGGCAAACCAGCTTGGCAAACAACTCCGCGAAGGCTTAGATGTGATCTTCAATGCGTCCAGTCCTGGTACGGTCATTGTCCGAGGTTTTGGGAGTCTTGTTGGGGTTCACTTTATGGGGCCCGACTCGAACACACTACGAGATGCGTTTTATTTCTTCCTGCTGACACGGAAGATATATATTGGTCATCGGGGTTTCCTGTGTTTGAGCATTGTTCATGAGGAGAAACATGTCCGTGCTGTACTGGAGGCAGCGAAGGAGTTCTGTCGGGCGGCCCTTGTCCTCAAGCCTACCCTGTAGTAGGAGATATTATACGGCACACACACACACACACTACAATACACATTTGTACTGCCTTTTCATGATCTCTCTTACGCTGTAGATCTCATCAGTTTTGTAAGGTAAGATATAGCACTTTACGATGCTATTCTTAATGAAAAACAGGCTAGGTCTTGATAGGTGTTGATGATGATGATTGTTGACAGGTCATGTGACCTTTGCTCCTACACCCTGTAGATAGTTTCTTCCTTTCTCCACGCAAACAATTTTTCCAGAGCTCTCTATTTCTCCATAGTAATAGTAGATATCTCTCAGATTATGAGCGTCTTTTGAGGCCTATACATTATTGCAAGCTTCAAATCCCCTCACTTCCTCCCTCACGCGAAGGTAAACCCCACTGGTCCCAACCCCCGCGAACCAGTGTTTTACCAATCAGTCGAGATCTTCAACCTTGACTACCACTAATTCGACCAATCCGTCGAAGTTTGGATCCCTCCTCCGCCATGAGGTAGGAACGCTCCTCTTCAATTCAAGAATTTCTATACTTTTCTCTTTCCTCTCTTTATTTTTACTGCCTTGACTGCTTCGCCCCCACCGCTTCTCACCATACCGTCTTACGAACCGTTCATTATACACCGTTTATTTATCACATTCACTCACCGGCACCATGCCATCAACCTTCGAATTCAATCTCAAACTAAGCACTGAGGAGAATCAAGACAAAATATGCTGCATTCAATCTATCAAGAGAATGCCTTTTATAGAAGGCCTGAGCAAGCAAACAAGCTAGCAAAAGGCTCAGACTGTCTATCACTAAGGTATCCATCTTTGGAGGATGGGATGATCCAGCGATACTTCAATCGGAAGACGGTGAGTCCAAGGGATTCGACGCACTGTAGTGCATTGCTAAAATTTTTGACAGCCATGGATCGCATTGGGCTCAATTCCTCGACCAAAGACCAGCCCTCCGAAACCCTAGAAAACCTAGTATATGCCGCTTACGGCGAGGCTGAACGAAAACCTGGATACTAGGCCGGAAGAGCGATCAGATGCCACTGGCCGAGAGGTTTGGCCTATTCCAAACGGCCCTAAACATTACTTTATAAGCTCCGCTAGATAGACCTTCAACGGGAGCTAACGCTACAAATGAATACTACAAACCTTAAGCGTAAGGGGGGGCGGCTTGTTATTCGATGAAGTGTCGAACCGGAGGGAGAACGTTAAGGCTCTACTAGGCTAGGCAGTTGGTAAAAAGCTCACGTATAGCCTAGCCTACAAAAACTATCTGATACTAGATAGCAAATTTACGTCTTGTGTTTGTATGCCTAGCATATAACACTGTAATAATTGCTATTTGAGGGTGAAAGGAGAGGGGGTGGTCGAGTATGGCGGGTGTAGCTTGTTGCAAATATCTAATAAGAACCCTAGCATTGTCCCAACGGACGGAAAGATGTATAAGGATGTTCGTTCGCTAGATACAGCTCTAATAGCCCTCGAGGGCAAAGTTTCCCGCACTATGGCGACTATCGTGACGGTCCGAAAGCAAAATGTTAGAGAATCCCCCCTAGATGGGATGATTCTTTATGTCATGCAGACTAAGCCTCTACTTTGTCAGTTTGCTTGTCCTTTGTCAGTGCAGGCCTTTATAAAGGCCCTACTTGACTAGTTTCTGTAGCAAGACTTCCTTCCTCCTCCATCTCCCTGGCAGCATGTAGCCTCAAGGCAAAAGAAGAAATTGGAAACCACATTGAAGGAGCAGCCAAAGATCAACTCGACTCAACCATGAGGATCTGCACTCATTACGCACAACCCTAGCAGCCTATGAACATAGGCTCGCTCGCACCCAGAAGACTATGAAAATGGTCCGAAAGCAAAGAAGGAGATGATGAAGGAAATCCAGGAGGCGGGTGTAAATTGAGATTGCAGCAATTCTCTTCTGAACATAAACCGATACATACGACCATAGGGTGTGGAAAATAGGGCTTCCCGTCCGCTCAGCCGTACTCAAGCCACACGCCGGTGAGTTAGTAGTTGGGTGGGTGACCACCAGCGAATCCTCACTGTTGTATGTTTTTGTTTTTGCATCTCTCAGCCCATTCACCTGAATGCCCCTAAACTAAATATGCTGCGCCCCAATTCGCTCTTACCCCTAAGCTCATTATGCTTGAGGATTTGAGCCTTACGAGCTCCACCTTCGAGAGGGATGGTTTCATTGCTTGGGGGCTAAATATCCCTTTTTCGTTCTGCCTCGTATACAAGTTTGGCCCCCACGATAAAGTTCGCTACTGGGTTAAGGGGCGAAAGCCTCATGTCTTTGTTTTTTCATCTCTGGCAGATCGAGCGTATGGACAAGCTCATGCCAAGCCTCTCACAGGTATGCTTAATACGAGGGGAACAGTGGACGAGTGAGATTCCAGCCTAGCGCTAATGTCGATTCTACCAAAATTTGATCGTCAATACAATTGATTGGTCCAAATGTCGATCTTTGTTGTCAACGTGGCGCAGTGGCTGATGGATGGACAAGAGATATACCGAACAAGGACGTCCCACATGGATGACCCTAAGGCCTGTTCGTCTTATTTATCGCTTCTCCTTCTTTCTCTTCTGTCTGTTGTCTACTCTCAGTCAAGATAGAACGAAAGAAGTGGTATTTCCCCAGGGCTGACTTACACAATGACCAACTCCCTCTCTGCCGCTACCTGCGCCATCTACGCAGTCCTCGCCATCCCAGTACTCTACCTTCTCGTTCGACACGGTCGCTACGGCCTTCTAGGATGGCTCTTCCTGTTCTTCTTTTGCATCCTCCGCATTATCGGTGGCGCGCTGGCAGTCAACGACACCAGCGCCGCCGCTAATATTATCTCCAGCGTCGGTCTTTCTCCTCTCCTCCTCGCAACAGCTGGCATTCTACACGAGGCGTAAGTATTCAGCCCATAAATACGAGATCTATGCTAAATCCAGCAGTCGACACTATCGCATCCAGTTCCTCGACAAGAAAATGCAATGGGTCTCCGTGCTTGCCTACCACATGCTCGTCGTCGCAGGCGTGGCCCTGACAGCTGCCGGCTCTTCGAAACTCCAGGAACACGAGCAACCCCTCAAGGCAGAGAAGATTTCCAGGGCTGGTATCTCTATTATGGTGATCGCGTGGGGTATTTTGGTGGGCTGGACTGGGTTCTCGTTTGTCGGTCCCTGGGGACGGAATTCCTCACTCACGAGGGCAGGGAATGTCGTAAGCACTTAAGCCTCGCGAGTATCAAAACGCTGTGCTAACGTTCCATACGCAGCTTCTTATGGCCGTAGCCTTCTCGCTCGTCTTCATCGGTATCCGAGTCTTCTACAGTCTTGCTGCGTTGTGCACGCAGAGGGCGTCGCTTAATCCCGTCACAGGCTTGCTGGCTATCCGTGTGGTGCTGGGATTTCTGCCTGAGGTAATTGCCGCGCTTGTGTGTATCTTTGCGGGAATAAGGACACAGGATGCGGCGCTGTTGGCTTATGCCGAGGAGGAGAAGGTAGTTTCGGTTCCGCCGAAACCGCCTCAACCTTGCATTTAGCTGGCCCAGAATGCGTGCGTTGTTTATGTTTGTCATCCGCTATACACCTAGATGATAAGAGTTTACAATGGCCCGAGTAATTATAACCGATCATGTGGACCTCTTATAGAGGGACGTCTTACTAGCTTCGCACTCAACGCCTTTTCCCTATAATTGCTTGGGTAAGATCAGAGCAGGTTATTGGTATCTCACAAACTAAACAAACGGGCTTTGATTATGAGCCCCCAAAGCCCTCACAGCTTGCGATCGAGAGTGTGGATACTGAAGATTGTTGAGCACAGTGGATAAATAATAGGTTATGAAGGCGCTGATCACGGGAAGTTTAAGATACTTGAGGATGTCCGCAATGAAATGTCGATACAAGGGCTCGAAAAATTGGAGGCTTACTTGGCCATCGCTTCGTAGTAGTTAACTAACTAGGAGAGGAAGTGAGAGATAGCGCAGCTGAAACACTAGAAAAAGACAAGGAGTGCTAATGCTAGAAGATGAAAGAATGTGAAGATGGTTGAGGATAAGAATAAGAAGATGAATGACAAAATAAAGAAGGTGGATGAGATAAGAAAACGAGTCCATTTCATTTGTATTATGCATATTTAGCTATATTTACATCATCTTGCTTCTGCTATTCGTATCACGAGTTCTTTTCCTTCCCCCCTAAGCGCCCCTAGAGTTTACAGAATGTTTTTGCGCCTGATCTCTTTATTCTTGATCATTGCCTAGAGCGATACGATATCGGTGTCTATACCCAGAATGCAAAGCTCTAAAGTTACAATGGCCTCCGAGCTGACGTTTTGAGCTAGGGGTTCCGTTAGATGGCGGCCTGGACTTGAGGGTAGGCGCGTGTTATCCGGTGCATTAGGTTCCTCCTGGTCAAGGCTTGGGACAGGCTGGTTGGGTGTGCAGGGCTTTTGGGCGCTAGCCGAAGAGTGTGGTTGTGGCGTGACGGTCTTTAGACTGCATCGTCTGCCCTGACCACCGAAGTGGCAGTTGCCGCATTCACCAGCCTTGCCAGACTCACTCGGGATCCGGACGCAGCCAGGAAAGTAAGTACCATTTCCCGCGGTACAATTGCTCCAGCTCATGTCTTTAGGGAGAGCCCTACTGACCACGTGTAAGGCCTCGGTATTGGCTTTCTTGCTCTAAATCATTGATGGAGTCTGTAAGGTGGGCCATATACTCGTCGGCAAAGAAAGTAGGCTCTCCCTGGCTTACAATAAGCTGTTCTAGTAGTCGACCTTTCTCACCTGCGTAGTAAGGCATCCCTATCCGTATTATAATTCTATTCCACACATAACCTAATACATACGACCATAGGGTGTGGAAAACAGGGCTTCCCGTCCGCTCAGCCGTACTTAAGCCACACGCCGGTGAGTTAGTAGTTGGGTGGGTGACCACCAGCGAATCCTCACTGTTGTATGTTTTTGTTTTGTTAGAGATTTTTCATCTCTCAGCGGCACTCTGCGGTGATATGTGTGAGAAGTCTGGAGACTGGGGTGATAGAATAACGGGGTGACAGTTCTCACCCTTAGGACCAACTCACACCAAAACTATGTCCGTCCTAAGAAAAATATATACATAGCCAAGCCCCGACTATGATTTCTTTGGATTTCTTTACTAATTAAACTATATTCTCTAAAAAAGAATATCCTGAAAACACTATAGAAGCGTCTTACGTGCTATAACGTATTAAGACAAGAAAAAGAGGGCAATACAATATGCTGCCCTAGCTAGCGCCTACTATGCTACACAATTCCTTGTGGGGATTGTGCTTACATGGATTTACTTTTTCTCGCCTATGATATTCTAATGAATATTGGCTCAACAAAGTAACAAAGTGGGTGGATTAGAAAGGTACAAGTACAAGTTGGAGAACCCCTCCAACGGAGGCGATCACCAGTACCCCGCCCGCTGCTTATCCAGCAGGGAAGGGAAAAAAGAAAACACCGAAGAAAAAGTAAAAAAGCTAAAAGAAACCCCTTTGGACCGAACCAAGTGCGTTGGATGGTGACGAACTGCTCCTTGATATTGTTGATCATTGTGAGGACGCGATCGAACTGGGCCTGGTGGTCATCGGCCGTGGTGGTAGGGATGAATTCTCGAGCAGGGACGACAAGCTCGGCAAAGTTAGCCGCCTGTATTGCGCTGTGGATGGCGGCATTTCGAGAATCGTGGAGGCCGACTGCGAAGGGGCTTTTTATATGTCTTTTTATATGTCTTTTCAGTGGTCTTTCCACACCCGGAGAATGGGCCAAACACGTCAAGAAGCTCAATTACACCGTGGCGAAGCAAGGGGTCGCCCTGAAGACCGAGACTCTAGTGACCCTCGACAAAATGGAGGCCAAGCGAGAGCTCCTGGTACGAAACAACAGACCGTACCTACCTAGCTCTCTTGAACACAACATTGGAGAGAGCGCCAAGAAGGTCGAATCTGCCCTCGTTTACATTATTGGGAACCTCTTAAGCTCACAATGCATGTGCTGCGAGCGCGGGATAGGCCCGTTTCCGTATTATGTGCGGGTTTTCGACTGTGAGAATTTGACGGCCTACGTGAACTGTCATTAGACAGGCTATTATATCCGCTGCGAATACTATAATCAAACCTAGCAAACCGATCCCGCCTAATATAACACCACACTTAAGGAAATTCTCAGCGACGCAGCAACCTCCCTTCTTTTAGCGGAGAAGTCTTTCCGAGAGAATCATAAGATCGCTGTCCACGCACGACACAGTCGGGATACCGTACACGCGATGAACGCGGCAGACGTCATAAAGGACACTCAACGCCTGGCTGAGGAATACGGGATTAGCAACGAGCATGCCAAATCAGTCGCCGCAAAAGTTGAAGACGGAAACCTTGACCTGTATCAACTCGTGGATCGGCTGAAGAAGGTCACTGTGGCAGTTGAAAAACTGGTAAAGGAGGAGGAGGAAGCAAGCGCCAGGCTCAACCACGTGAGCCACGGAGGGGAAGACGGTTTTGAGCCACTGCTCCTTAGATCTGTTGGCGCTGCCAGCTCTTTTTAGCTTTGTAAATGAACTTTTTATTCTCTTCATTTCCTCGGAAAGCCATGATATCGGCATCGGAATAGAAGTTTACCTAAGCACGGGACTCATCCCAAGAAGACAGAGCATATAATTTCAACAGCATAGCACCGTGATGTAAAGGACTTCACTTGCTTACAACCTAGTACAACACTGGGGGGTATCGGGCCTTCGCTTATTCGAGGTCAGCTCCGAGAAGCTCCTACAGTTCCCACGAGAAAACCTTCCATTTAGGGATATCTGAGTAAAATTTAGGTGCAGGTAGTGTTCTCTATATTTGTAGTCTGTTAAAGACTTTCAAAGCAATTTTCGAAGACATCACTGAAAGGTGTTATATATGGTAAGGGGGAGATACCCACGAGATAATTGGCCCGACACAATATCAGACACGTCACATAGAAGATGTCACTATGGAGTATATCTGTCTACCTTTTCCCTGGGGTGAACCAACATTTACCCGCAGACTACCCGAGGAACGGCATAAAGTCCGCAAAAACGCCCGCGCATACCCGGCTGGACACTACGGAGTAATATCCGTCGGCTACGGTGGCGGTTACAAAGTACTTGGCGCTACAAAAGACCCGAGTGAAGAATACCAAAACAGCCATAAAGGCAGATAAATTGACCCAAAGGAATTGCAATTTGCAAGACAAGTGCAACGCCTAGGCTATCGTAAACGCATCTCCAAAAGCATACCTCAACCTCCAAAAGGTCGGAAAACGAGGCCATAAAAAGATAAAGAACCGACAGAGGAAGAAATAAATCCAAGAAAAGCCCGGGCACGCTGCCAGGTTTCCGTGCCGTCCCAAAAATCGCTCGAAACAAATTGGCCAAAGACCAAGAGAGAAAGAAAGGAAACCCATTTGACAGTAAACGAATAATCAGCCTGGGTTTCACGCCACCTTGGCTGGAAACCACGAGGAACGCCTTGCACGCATTGAGCATAACCCAAACAAAAGAAAAACATGTAGCAAGTAAACAACAGCAAGAACAAAACAAAAAGCAAAGACGAGGTCGCGCGCACTGGGTATAGGTGATAATCAATCTTCGTGATCCCGTTTTCAACTCCCGGTCTGGGCCTGGAGATAGTGTGGCCTCAGACCAGGAGAGGAAATGTTTGGATTTGGAGTTCAATTCGCCTGCCTTCGGCAATGGGATTTTCCGCAGGCTTGAATGTCTCATTTTTTTGAGTCGCCGGCAATCATAGATAGGAAAGGAAAAAGGTGAGAGATGATCGTACAGTACGTAAGCCGTAACGGACGAGGGATGTCGTAAAGAGTAATAATACAATGGAGCAAGGCGGTTGGTGCCATTGCTTGGATGGGCGCCGGCAAAAGAGATGGGAGAGAGATAATGGTTCTCTGGGAACTTTAGCGGCTGAATGGGGACCAGACCGTACTCAGCCAACCGGCGGGAATACCAATCTCGGAAGGCGCAAGCATGGATAGCTGGCCCCAATCACACCCATCAAGGAAGGCGAGGACGTCGTCTCCGCCGAGACTTGTTGATAGCAAGCTTGAGTCTGGGTATTCGGTCGAGGTCAGAGGCGGGGAGGGAGCCAACTGAGTTACGGATCCGGGTGGAGGGAGGACAGGGATGGTGTGTGAGGCGGCTGCGTTGATGGGAGGGAGGGATTGGGAGTACGGTGGGGGAGGAGCCTGCGGGCGGGCTGGAAGCCAGGAGTTGATGGGGTTTAGGCGGTTTGTTGTTGCCGTCATGTACTGGGAGGGGGACTGCGTAGTTGCGGATAGAGAGGGGAAGCTGGGGGATGAGGTGGTGTAAATGGGGCCGTCTGGGTGGTGTTGCTGAAGGGATGGCAGAGAGTACGGGGATCCAGATGGCATTTGGCGGCTGTTGGGGAGTGGTAGACTGGGACGACGATCGCCTTCATGTCCAGGTAGCGACAGACCGGGGCTGTTGATCGGGACCCACGACTCGCGACGACCACCGGCACCATCGAGCATCTGGTCACCGGGATCGCCGGTTTCGCTCCTGACGGCGTTGCTTCCAGCGTCACTCATGTTCGTGCGCTCGTACATGGACTCGTTTGCTGCGGGCACTGCGATACCGTCGTCGTCCATCCCAGAATCTGTTAACTGGTCCTCGATGCTTCCGAAGTCGAGGAAAAGTTTTTCGAGCATCTTGAATTCCTCGAGGCCGCCACCAGCACCGCCTTCGCGGAGGAGGCGAATCCCGTTGAGGCCGTGGTCAGAGGCATCCGACATGCTATCCAGGCGGTTCCGTGAAACCCGGCGGAAATCGCGCTTAACTTTAGAGAAGTAGCTGTGAAGGCGGTTCAGGGTGCGGAACCAGCCCATGGCCATCTTCAGACGAGGCCGCATCTCTCGGATGATATCCAAGGCCTTGCGTGCTTGTGCGACACCAAGCTGGTGGCTATCGTGGCTCGCAGGAGGTGGCTTAGTTCCCATCAACCCATCCGGATCCATGTGTGGGAAATGTGTTCCATAAACACCGACAAAGGCGGCATTATAGATAGCAAATCCGACCAAAGGGTTCTCAACAAGAGCACCGCGGGCCTGGCAAGTGGCCACAAGGTCGATCATCTGCCGCGCTGCCTTGAACAGCTCACGGGCACTATCCCGCCAGAAACCATCGGGTGGCCCATTGACCTTGTCGACAGGGAACAACGGCTCATCCAAGGGGCCCGAAGGCTCATTGCAGCGGAGAGGCAGGAATGGGATGTAGGCACGGTGAAGGACAATCACCGATAGGAAGTAGACAACATGCATCACGGTATATGAAGCCAGAGTGGTCTTGTACATGATATGTGTGTCGGTATTTCGCAGGGAATATTGTAGGTTGCGGGAAAGACTATCCTGGAACTCATTCAACTGCTGGCGGAGCGAGGCGAAGCGAGATTCAGGATGCCATGGGGGATATTGCTCCGTGCGTCGACCGCCGGCGCAAGACCACTTGGCGATGCTTCCCCAAACACGAATGATCCGGATAACCCGGCTGAGCACCGATTCCTCTGCGCCAACCTCCCATCGATCAACGTCCTCTTCGCTGGAGTCCTTGCGACGAGAGATAGGTGACCAGGGCTTGTTATCGGGAGTTCCATTGGGTCCTGGGAGTTTTTCATCGCCAAAGCCTCCTATACTTTGACGGATGCTGGGGATTTGCATGCTTTGCGAACCGAAACTCTGCGGACGCCGAATGGCCGGTTCATTAAGTCGGGCCGTTCGAACCCGCTCGCCGAAAGCAAAAGCGTTGTCGCTCGGAAGCTGAATTCCGAGTTCCTTTACTCGGACCATCCGAGGCCGATACTTTCCACTGCTGAGACATCGGTCGAGGATGAAACAAGCCCAAAACGTCCGGCGCTTAGTCTCTTGCGCGATGATATCATCAGAGGTCGGCTCCCTGGGCTCTACACGTCGTGGCAGACCAAAATGATCTGCCTCGGTTCTCAAGCCGGGAGACGAGCGCGAAGGGTCTCGCGCTGGGAATTCATTTTCAAGTTCAAAAGGCAGGCCCATGGCCTGTGCAAGCCGGATGGCCATACCCACGTAGACCCAAGCACTTTTGCCTCGGCACATCCCCCACTCGTGCAAGGCTAACATCAATAGCGCCTGTACACGCGTAAGGTCCGGTTGAGCGAGGCAAGCGCCATCCAAGCCGGCCAGCCGGCTGCGAAGGGCTGCGGCATAGTATTCCGATGCGGCAAGCGGATTCGAGGAATGGCTAGGCGATGCTGGTGAATGAGCTGCAGCCAACGGAGGGTGGAATCGAGCAGTCAAGGCCAGTACACCCAGCGGAATGAGTGAGGAGGATGGGTCCATTTTATAACCGGGATTCCGGGGATCTTGTCCATCAAAGGTCGCGGGAGGAGGGGAGGAAAGCTGTCGAATCTGACCGAGAAAGGTCGCGGGATGTAGGAAGGGTAGAAGAGTGGCAAAATGCGATTGGAAGAGATCGAAGACGGCCTCCCAAACTTTTGTTGTAAGTATTGAGGAATCAAGCGCATCCACACCGAGCTTCGAACCAGCCGACGAGCCAGAGATGCCTACCACCTTGCGCGAACGATGTCGTTTCGGGCCATCCCAGTCTCCATTTCGATCCTCGCCTTCTGCCAGGGCAGCCAGATCTCGTTTGGCGCTGCTCACTCCGATTGCTGGGGTTGGGTAGACACATTCACGCCCGGATGATTCGCACGCGCGACAGGTTGTATCGATACCGGCATTGACACACTTGATTTTACTGCGCCGGCATCGAGCGCAAGCGATGCTGGACCGCATGTTGTATTGGACAGACCTGAAGTCTGCGAATATGCGACGAGTCGATTTGTGTCAATCGCAATTGTCCCATTTACCGTATCAGGGCCACACGTTGGGTATATTTTTGGGGGTGAAGAATCTCGGTAAATTATGTGGACGTTTTCTATCAATAATCAGCATTGCATATGCCAGGATCCAGCTTGGAAACCTACCAGAAGACCCTAGCGAAGAGGAAAAGAGAAAGAGGGAAGGCCCAAGGGAGAAGAAGAAGAACGGAATTGGCGGAGTGTGGGGGAAACTCAAAGAGTTCGGGGCACCGGACCGGGAGAAACACAAGTCGGAAGGGAACGGGAATTGGTCTCCGGGGAAATAGGGTCTGAGAAGAGAAAAAAAAGGTGAAAGGGAAAAAGGATAAAAAAGCGAAAAGAAAAAGAAAAAAGAAAAAGAAAAGAAAAGCCGAGAAAAATCAAGAGCCGCTGAAATTGCGGAGGATCCCAAAGTATGCAAGGACGCGCCTTTTCGTGGAGGTGGAGCCCCCCCAGTTTCTGTGCCGATTGACTGGGATTATTAGTACGGAGGTATTAGTATATTTACTATGTACAAATTTATTATATCCAATTATTAGATATAAATATTTATATATATTTATATATATTTATATATACTATATATACTATATATGCTTCACTACATGTATCTATATCCAAATACAAATACACATCTACCTCTCCATACGTAATATATACC